CTTTTGTGCCTGTGTATTCTAGGCTCCTTCCCACTTTCCTTTCTATGAGGTTCTGTATGGCTGGGTTTATATGGAGGTCTTTGATTCATTTGGACTTGAGTTTTGTGCATGGGGATAGATATCCACCTCTTTGCATCCTTTAACAACCCCACATCACACAGAGGACTGATCTCTAAAATATATAGAGAACTCAAGAAACTAAATGCCAAAATACCAAATAATCCAATTAAAAATAGGGTACAGATCTCAACAGAGAATCTCAACAAAAGGATCTCAAATGACCAAAAGTCCCTTAAGGAAATGTTCAACATCCTTAACCATCAGGGAAATTTAAATCAAAATGACTCTGAGATACCATCAGAATGGCTAAGGTCAAAAACACCAATGATATGTTTTACTGGAGAAGATGTAGAGTAAGGGGAAGACTCTTCTATTACTGCTGGGGAGTGCAAACTTGTACAGCCACTTTGGAAATCAATATGGCAGTTCCTCAGAAAATTAGGAATCAACCAACCTGAAGACCCAGCAGTACCACTCTTGGGTATATACCCAAAGGATGTTCAATCATACTATAAGGACATTTGCTCAACTGTGTTCATAGCAGTATTATTTGTCATAGCCAGAACTTAGAAACAACCTAGATACCCCTCAACTGAAGAATGGACAAAGGAAATGTGGTATAGTCACACAGTGGAGCACTACTCCATGGGTAAAACAAAACAAAACAAAACAAAACAATGGCATCTTGAAAAATGCAAATAGATGGAACTTGAAAAAAATACTGAGTGAGGTAACCCAGACCCAGAAAGACAAACACAGTATGTACTTATTCATAATTGGATATTAGACATAAAGCAAGGAATAACTAGCTTATGTATAGTTTATGACCCTAGAAAAGCTATGTAACAAGGAGAATCCTAAGGGAAACATACATGAATCCCCCTGTAAAGTGAAAATAGACAAGATCTCCTGAGAAAATTGGGAGCATGGGGGCCAGGGAGAAGAGCCAGTGGAAGGGGAGAAGTAGGACAGACGGGGAGTGGGGAAGAAGAACATAAGAGAATGAGATTGTCAAAATGGAGGAAGAGCAAAGAGGCAGAGCAAGAAAAGAGATATTTTGATTGAGGGAGCCATTATGGGGCTAGCAAAAAAACCTGGCCCTAGGGAAATTCTCTTGAATTGACAAGAATGATCCCAGCTAAGAGTCTAAGCAATGGAGGAGAAGGTGCCTTAAGTGGCCTTCTCCTGTAATCAGATTGATGACTACCTTAATTGCCATCATCGTACCTTCTATCCAGCAACTGATAGAAGTGGATGCAGAGATCCACAGTGAAGCACTGGGCTGAACTTCCAAAGCTCAGTCGTAGAGAGGGAGGAGTGAGAATATGAGCAAAAGGGTCAAGACCGTGATGGGGATACCCACGGAAACAGCTTACCTGAGCTAATGGGAGCTCACTGACTCTAGAGTGACAGTGGGGGAACCAGTATAGAACCAAACTAGGCCCTATGAATGTGGGTGACAATTTTAGATCTGGGGCAGACTGTGGGGCTGCTGGCCACACAGGATTTATCGCTACTTCTTGAACTGGTATTTTGGAGCCCATCCCTTGGAGGGATACCTTGCTCAGCCTAGATAGAGTGGGGAGGGCCTTGGTCCTGCCTCAAACTGATGTGGTAGATTTTGTTGAGTCCCCATGGAAAGCCTTACCCTCTCTGAGAAGTGGATGAGGGGTGATGTGGGAGGAAATTGGAGGGAGCGGGAGGAGGAGTGTGAGAGTCAGAGCTGGGATTGGTATATTAAATGAGAAATTATTGCTTTTGGAACATAAGTAAAAAGACTAAATGTAACAAACTTAACATTGCATTTCAAAAGAAAAAGAAATGTGTGAGTCTTTAATTTCCAAAAGTATAAAATTTAATTTTGACTTTTGTTTGAGACAAACTCCCACTTTGTTGTCCAAGCTGGTCTTCAAATCAACACTTTCCTGTTTTATATCTTCCTGAATGTGAAGATCACACGCATGTGCCTACACTTGGCTAATTGTGAGTAGTTATGGGAACACATATTTTATGAATGAGTACATTTTTCAGTGTTTTCAGTTTGAATTTTTAGTGGTTTGCAAATACAGATTTATTTTTAAATGTTAAACCAAACTTAATTCCATACTTATTTTGATTTAATTGCAAACCATGTCTAAATATTGTTAAATTTCATTTTCTAAAAATTTGAACACAGATATATGCTCATGAAAGATGTTGCTATATACCCTTCATTTTACATGTAGTATTGTTTTCTGTGAAGGCACATTTAGATATTAAACAAGGGAATAATTCCAACATTTATATCTTCTAGAAGATCATATGGAATTCATGTTTTAAAAGTGTAATCTATACTTCCTTGCAAAAATGCTTTTAATAAAACTTAATTTGTTTAGAAAATACTCTTTTTGGTTATCTACTTACTAAATTTTTCTATTTGTGTCATTATATTTGCATCTTTTGATTTTTTTTAACTTTATCTAAGTTGCTGAGTTTATGGGCACTTCGTATTATTTAACATACACATATCCTACAATATCATTTCTCATGTGTCTTAATATTTATATTTGTATCTTGATTTGAAAAATTGTTCCCTTTAGATATTTCTGAACAATATCCTCTTAATGGATTTTTTTTAAATTGTGTATGTTCATTCAAATAATCTCCTCATCCCTATACACACAAGTTTGTTTTTTTAAAAAAAAACTAAAAATTAATACAATAACCCCCAAACAAAGAAAACAAAATGAAATAACACTCAAAAAGAAAAAAAATAATACTGTGATCCAAGAAAAGCACACAAACAACAACACCAGAAAAAACCAAAACCAAAATCCCAAATGATGAGTCTATTCTATTTTGACTAGCTATCCCTGAACAGAAGCTCTGCCATTGGCTAATTTATATACCCAATGCCTTTCATTGGAGAAAGCTGATTTTTCCTCTCTCAGAAGATATAAATGACAGCTCTGTTATTAACCTTTACACTAGTGGCTAGGTTGTCCTTCATTCTTTCATGCCTTCTTTAATTGGTGTGTTTTAATTTAACTGACTTTCATTTTCTCTCGCCCCATACACACACACACACACACACACACACACGAGGCAGATATTTACATATGTGTATATGTACATATATACACAAATATATTTGATTACTTTCTGTTCTCTTTATGAATGTCCTGTTTCTCTTATTCTGTGTCATTTTGTTCTTAAGTTTCTTTTACTAGAGTATAAAGCCATTCATTGGAATATAATATCACTTATTTAAGGCTTCTATTTACTTGTAATCTAAGAATCAGTTCTAAAAAATATCTTCCAAACCAGTTTAGCTACATTTGAATTTGAAGATATTAATTTTTATATGTATTTAGTTTGAAATGCTTGTCAGTTTCTCTTTTTATGTCTTCTTTTATCAGTGAACTACTTAGAAGTTCTCATTTTATTTTTCAAATATTTTGGAGATTATCAATAAATATTTCCCTATTTTTAATTTCAATCCACTGTGGAATTAAATCAACATGTTTTATATGAATTGTACATATTTTAAATGTATCCACTAATTCCATGTCTATCTTATCACTTGTAATGACAAAAGAATCTGCTCATTTCTATTCCTGAACATGATGTTACCACGGCTATTCTACCCAACAAGGAAATAAATGGCAAAAGAAAAAACCAAACAAATACATTTCAAAAATAATAGCAGTTATAATGAACTTAACTAATTGTCTTTAGATACTATTTGTGTCTATATTCCCATAGAAATTTCCCAACATTACTGATAGTTACATTCCTCTTTATAAGAATTTGGTCATGTTTTATTTCTATACTAAAGGCATTTATTTATATTTCTTTAATCAATTATATATGTATTTATATGTTTTTTAAATCAAGTATTCACTGTAGTACTTGAACACAATCGATATCAAACTGTTCACGGTGATTAATTAATACAGTTTCTATGTGATTATTTCAGTTCTGGGCAGCCGGGATGAACAAGCAGCTCCTTACAACACCACACTAGGCCTAGCTTGAGCATCTGAAACCCTAAAGGTGTCACTTCTTAGTGACACACTTCTTCTAACAAGGGCACACATACTTCAACAAGCTCATATCTCCTAATAGTGCCACTCCATGGTGGCCAAGCATTCAAACACATGTGTTTATGGGGCTATTCCTATTCAAACTATTGCACTACCAAAGTATTATATATTAAATCATTGATTTCCTTATGAATATTTGTCCAGTTTTGAGCACATCAGTCATTATGCACCAAGTAAAATACCATGTACAAGACAACATTCTCAAGAAAAACCTTAACCAATATGTACTATACTGTTGGTACATTTTACTTTCTATTGAAATATGGAAAACTTGTATAAAGGGACATATACTGAATTTCTACAGCTCAGTAAATTTACACCATCCAAGCAGCAATTAACTAATAGAGAAAAGATGTTCTTTAAAATTCCAGAATCCATACAAATGTCTTATATCTATGACTTGTAAGCCATAGAGAAGCTATAAAAATAAGACATATATTTCCATATTGGAAAAAGAGTAGTGAACTCATGTCAGCCTTCACGGAATAAACTAGAAGTGAAGAATATTATAGTATGAACACAGACTCCTTATAAGTTATGGGCCTCTATTCTGAAACTCTAGTAAATAATCAAAAAAGACAGTGTGATTATGTTTTGCAAGAAATTGATCATACTGATTATTAGCCAATATAAATTTCTAAAATAATCCTTCATTTTATATCTTTTACATAATATAGAAAATAGTTAAAATTAAAAGGAGAGAACAGAAACAACAAATACTCAGTAATTAATCTTTGGATAAAATTTTTAAAATATCACAACAGTAACCTCCAGTAAGACTGCAAAAGATACATAGACCTCAGAAAGTTGCATACAGAACAATACATAGAGTCTCTAAAGTTTATAGTTACTTACCTGTATTTTCTGAAATGAATTTTCCAGTCTTAGATTTCTAAGATAATACAAAATAAAAGAAATCTCCTTAAAAATACTCAACACTAGTAGTAGCAGATGTAGAAATATCTCCTATTATATTTACCTAACAGGAGGACAATATTATTTTTGAAATGCTAGTATAATTGTCAGTGTATATCCCAGTTGCTTGCCCTGCTTTTGATTCCATATTTCCATTGTTCCTATTGGTTATATATTTACTGGATGAATGTGTCAGCAGCTTGGTTCTCAGTAAGAAAAGTGATGCAAATTTTGGGTCACTAGACAAAATTACTGTGCATATTACCTCAAAAGCGAGGAGACAAAACCCACATATAGTGCTTAGAGAATGTCACCGAAAGCACACTAGACAAAGGCAGGCCTGGAGAATCTTTATTGTCTTATCTGAGAGACTCACCTCTGGATCTCTGATTGCCATTTCTATGAGTAATTCACCATATTCAGAGAACTGTTTTCATCATCAATCCAGATAAGTCATTTTTTTTAACAGATGAATGCTTTTATAGCCAGGCAAAACCTGGGTAAGTTTGTGTACTCAGTTTTGAAAGAAGGATATGATTGTGCAGTAGACAATTTGCCTATTCTCTGAACAAGGTACCTGCTGGCAATATGAAAGGTGGTCAGGAGGAAGGAACATCTCTGAACAGTTTTGAGATTGGTTTCTGTATGCCTTAGATCATGTCATCAATGAATAGTTCCATTGAACAGAAAGATCTCCAGCCCCTGGATCCTGAACTACACAAGGCCTAGCACACACACCAATTATTAGCAAGGGTAAGGAAAGTACAAATGGCCCCACTCACCCTGCGACTCACTTATGTCACTGCTTGTACTAGTTAGCTGATGTTTCATCATACAAGAATGTCTTTAAAAGACTGCATCTTGCTTTGCTAATTTTAATCTGTCTCATAGCATTCAGGTCCCAAAGAAAATGCCTGCTGTGATGTATTCTTCTACCAGGGTGTGCTACCGGAAGGTTTGTAGAACGATCACTAAGTCAGAAGTGCTATGATGTATTCTACCAAAAAGTGTGCTACTTGAAGGTTTGTAGAGCAATCACTAAGTCACAAGTGCTATGATGTATTCTCTTACCAGAGAGTGGGCTACCTGAAAGTTTATAGTGGGATCACTAAATCACAAGTGAAGGACTCACAGTCAAGGATACCAAGAACAACAGTCCAACACCAGAACTTTTTAATTAGCCATATATCCAACTGGCTTCAGAAGTGATATTGGTATCCTCAGTATGCTCCAAGGCTGCCAACCTGGCAACTCCTGATTAGAGCTATGCATAATCCCCTTTTGTACTTGAGCAGATGCTTATGTCCATGTCTCTTGGAATTTACCCAAGCAAAATAATTTGGATCACTAATTATTGATACACAGGCACAAGTAACAGAGTTTTGTAGAAAGCACAGCTACCATGGGTGGTATGATTTGAATGTCAGGAGAATGAGACAGAGATTATAAAAGATGGAGGAGCATCTTGGGCCTTTCTGAATGCAAACCATAGGTCTTATCTTCCAGTTACCTGAAAGGTATTATGTGGTGGGGTCCAAAAGGCAGCTCAGATCTCTGAAAGAAAAAAGAGAAGACCGGAACTGACCAATGTTGTTAGGCCATTGGAGACTTGTGCAACCGTGGTAAGTCACACAAAAGGTAGGCTCCTTGTAGACTTACATATCTATCTCTGTCAAAAGGATTCAATACCCACATCCATCCGCATTACATCAATTGAACGCTAGAAAAATCATTCCCTAACCCGTCAACACAACTTTTCAGACTCCATGTACCATATCTGAATATACCTAAATCCATTTGTTACTTTATCCCAGCTGTCTAAACAACAAATGTCAGCTGTTGAAAAACAGGACAAACCTGACAGTTGTTATTGACCATCCAAGGGAGAGTTAGGTCTGGCCTGCCCTGCTTCTCTAGGGATATTCCTAATCCTAGGCAGAATGTTGAAGGCAATGTCTTCCAGGGAAGATGGCTATGCATGGGGCTATGCATGATAGGCACGGCCTCTGCTGTGTGCTACAAACTTCTCAAAATCAGACTGCCTTCCTGGCTCCAGCGCCCTGAAGAGACCATCTGTCTTGGTAGAGCATCCAGAATTGTCTCCCTTTTTGCCTTGCTGGAAAGGTAGGTCAAGTTCACTAAATCACAGGTAGAGGAGGCAAGGTTGAGGATGCCCAGGTGCCATTTGATATACTAGTGTTCCCTGTGTTGAATTAGCACTGGGAAAGAACTCTGGACCGCCAAATGTGTCTCGGACATGCCAAATGGCAATTCATCCCGAAAGTCCATTATGGCAAGGCATTCGCTTCGAAAGCCACTGCCAAAGCTGACTAGAACTTCTTTCTCAGGCAGTCCCAATCAGGATCATCAGCTGATGTAGGAGGGTCATCTGTCTATGTGTCACTTTCATTGGTTATTTAAAAAGGAAACTTTCATGGCCTATGTATAGCACAGAAAATCAGGTGGGCGGAGTAGACAGAACAGAATGCTGGGATGGAGGGAAGTGAGGCAAACGCAAAGAAGCTCTGGCCCAAGATGGCCCAAGATGGACACCTCCTGTTGCTATACACATTAATAGAAATGGGTAAATCAAGATGTGAGATTTAGCCGGTAAGAGGCTAGATCTAATGGGCCAAGCAGTGTTTAAATGAAGACAATTTGTGTTTTGTAATTTTGGGTGTAAAGCTAGCCGGGCGGGAGCCGGGCGGGAGCCGGGTAGGACGAAAAACAGGCCTGCTCTGCTCCAGACTAAGATCGGCCATAATGAAAACAAGAGTCACAGAATGAAATTTCCAGTTCTTCTCTAGGTGTCATGGGAACCGTAGAAGGACCCACCATTATGACTCCTCCTTGTGACCTATTCTGAGGCCCCAGATGGGTGGCTCATGTCCATGTCCTTTGGAATTTTCCAAGGTTGTCCATTTGGAATGCCATTCTGGACACCGAGGCCTATGGGTTTTCACATTCTAGGAATCAAGGCCAAAACTACTGGATCCTGGGCTTCTAACTTGAGTATCTTCTCTTAGAGTTTCCGAAATATGAACGTGTGAAGGAACAGGGCCTGGAGAGATCAAAGCCTATGGGCTAATCTTTCCACTTACCTGAAGAAAAGTGTGTTGACGTGTGCTCCAAGTCAGCATCCCCAGTCACTGAAAGGCAGAAGAGATGATGGGAACGTGAGCTGGGCTTTGGACATGGAGACTGGCTCAAGAGCAAAGTTTGACATGAGGTGCCATTTGAGGGAGCACTCAGTGTTCTTCTAAGGTCGTGCCCCTGGACCAAATGGGGGTCTTTGATGGGGAGAAACAGCATGGGGATTTTGGCCTGCACCCTGGCCCAAGCGGGCCCCAGGTAGACCAGGAACCCCACTGCCCCCGTCTTTTAGTCTGGGCCTCAGCGTAATCCTATTGAGCATGATTTTTATGTCATCATCTCTCTTCGTGACATTGGTTTGTCATCATTGACCCAGCTCTCGAGAGAGCGAAGCTCCGCCTGGGGTTTGGACAAAGTACCATTGCTTACCAGTGCCGCAAACAGTGTCTTGGAGGTATGTATTCACATGGTTGGCACAAAGGTTCAGCACGATGGATGCCCTGCTCTGATTTGATCAGAAGCCCTTCTGTTCTTGTTAACGGCCCCTTTGGGAAAGAAGAAACGTGTTGTCAGGGCCATCCTCGGCATGCACTTGATGACCAGAAAAGGACTGCTGATGCTGACCAGGGCCCGAGAGCATGATGCCGTGGAGGGGGATCATTGTGCCACGTGAGATATCACTGATCAATGGCCCGAGGACTAGTGCCAACCCTGAGTGATGGCCCCTTTTTAGCCTGCCCAAGCAAAGTTCAGTCACTCAGGAGCATGCTCTTCCCGCTGACTGCTCTGATTGCTAGCATGAGACTGCTGCCGATTGTCAATCAGTAGGAAGGGCTTTGATACCTTGGAATCTTGCCTTTCCAGCATCAGGCATTCAAAGTTCTGAGACCTGGCCTCCACTTGATATGCTACCCATGTGTCTCATTCATCTCTGCCTCCCATCATCCACACACTAATGGAGAAAGAATCCATTCTCTTATGACTGTTTTTGCACCACCAGAGATTGTGCCGGGTCTGGCCTTCTCTGCATCTCTGGGGATATTCCTAGTCCTTGGCAGAATGTTGAAGGCAATGTCTTCCAGGGAAGATGGCTATGCATGGGGCTATGCATGATAGGCACGGCCTCTGCTGTGTGCTACAAACTTCTCAAAATCAGACTGCCTTCCTGGCTCCAGCGCCCTGAAGAGACCATCTGTCATGGTAGAGCATCCAGAATTGTCTCCCTTTTTGCCTTGCTGGAAAGGTAGGTCAAGTTCACTAAATCACAGGTAGAGGAGGCAAGGTTGAGGATGCCCAGGTGCCATTTGATATACTAGTGTTCCCTGTGTTGAATTAGCACTGGGAAAGAACTCTGGACCGCCAAATGTGTCTCGGACATGCCAAATGGCAATTCATCCCGAAAGTCCATTATGGCAAGGCATTCGCTTCGAAAGCCACTGCCAAAGCTGACTAGAACTTCTTTCTCAGGCAGTCCCAATCAGGATCATCAGCTGATGTAGGAGGGTCATCTGTCTATGTGTCACTTTCATTGGTTATTTAAAAAGGAAACTTTCATGGCCTATGTATAGCACAGAAAATCAGGTGGGCGGAGTAGACAGAACAGAATGCTGGGATGGAGGGAAGTGAGGCAAACGCAAAGAAGCTCTGGCCCAAGATGGACACCTCCTGTTGCTATACACATTAATAGAAATGGGTAAATCAAGATGTGAGATTTAGCCGGTAAGAGGCTAGATCTAATGGGCCAAGCAGTGTTTAAATGAAGACAATTTGTGTTTTGTAATTTTGGGTGTAAAGCTAGCCGGGCGGGAGCCGGGCAGGACGAAAAACAGGCCTGCTCTGCTCCAGACTAAGATCGGCCATAATGAAAACAAGAGTCACGAATTTAAATTTCCAGTTCTTCTCTAGGTGTCATGGGAACCGTAGAAGGACCCACCATTATGAGTCCTCCTTGTGACCTATTCTGAGGCCCCAGATTGGTGGCTCATGTCCATGTCCTTTGGAATTTTCCAAGGTTGTCCATTTGGAATGCCATTCTGGACACCGAGGCCTATGGGTTTTCACATTCTAGGAATCAAGGCCAAAACTACTGGATCCTGGGCTTCTAACTTGAGTATCTTCTCTTAGAGTTTCAGAAATATGAACAGGTGAAGGAACAGGGCCTGGAGAGATCAAAGCCTATGGGCTAATCTTTCCACTTACCTGAAGAAAAGTGTGTTGACGTGTGCTCCAAGTCAGCATCCCCAGTCACTGAAAGGCAGAAGAGATGATGGGAACGTGAGCTGGGCTTTGGACATGGAGACTGGCTCAAGAGCAAAGTTTGACATGAGGTGCCATTTGAGGGAGAACTCAGTGATCTTCTTAAGGTCGTGCCCCTGGACCAAATGGGGGTCTTTGATGGGGAGAAACAGCATGGGGATTTTGGCCTGCACCCTGGCCCAAGCGGGCCCCAGGTAGACCAGGAACCCCACTGCCCCCGTCTTTTAGTCTGGGCCTCAGCGTAATCCTATTGAGCATGATTTTTATGTCATCATCTCTCTTCGTGACATTGGTTTGTCATCATTGACCCAGCTCTCGAGAGAGCAAAGCTCCGCCTGTGGTTTGGACAAAGTACCATTGCTTACCAGTGCCGCAAACAGTGTCTTGGAGGTATGTATTCACATGGTTGGCACAAAGGTTCAGCACGATGGATGCCCTGCTCTGATTTGATCAGAAGCCCTTCTGTTCTTGTTAACGGCCCCTTTGGGAAAGAAGAAACGTGTTGTCAGGACCATCCACGGCATGCACTTGATGACCAGAAAAGGACTGCTGATGCTGACCAGGGCCCGAGAGCATGATGCCGTGGAGGGGGATCATTGTGCCACGTGAGATATCACTGATCAATGGCCCGGGACTAGTGCCAACCCTGAGTGATGGCCCCTTTTTAGCCTGCCCAAGCAAAGTTCAGTCACTCAGGAGCATGCTCTTCCCGCTGACTGCTCTGATTGCTAGCATGAGACTGCTGCCGATTGTCAATCAGTAGGAAGGGCTTTGATACCTTGGAGTCTTGCCTTTCCAGCATCAGGCATTCAAAGTTCTGAGACCTGGCCTCCACTTGATATGCTACCCATGTGTCTCATTCATCTCTGCCTCCCATCATCCACACACTAATGGAGAAAGAATCCATTCTCTTATGACTGTTTTTGCACCACCAGAGATTGTGCCGGGTCTGGCCTTCTCTGCATCTCTGGGGATATTCCTATTCCTTGGCAGAATGTTGAAGGCAATGTCTTCCAGGGAAGATGGCTATGCATGGGGCTATGCATGATAGGCACGGCCTCTGCTGTGTGCTACAAACTTCTCAAAATCAGACTGCCTTCCTGGCTCCAGCGCCCTGAAGAGACCATCTGTCATGGTAGAGCATCCAGAATTGTCTCCCTTTGTGCCTTGCTGGAAAGGTAGGTCAAGTTCACTAAATCACAGGTAGGGGCCAAGGTTGAGGATGCCCAGGTGCCATTTGATATACTAGTGTTCCCTGTGTTGAATTAGCACTGGGAAAGAACTCTGGACCGCCAAATGTGTCTCGGACATGCCAAATGGCAATTCATCCCGAAAGTCCATTATGGCAAGGCATTCGCTTCGAAAGCCACTGCCAAAGCTGACTAGAACTTCTTTCTCAGGCAGTCCCAATCAGGATCATCAGCTGATGTAGGAGGGTCATCTGTCTATGTGTCACTTTCATTGGTTATTTAAAAAGGAAACTTTCATGGCCTATGTATAGCACAGAAAATCAGGTGGGCGGAGTAGACAGAACAGAATGCTGGGACGGAGGGAAGTGAGGCAAACGCAAAGAAGCTCTGGCCCAAGATGGCCCAAGATGGACACCTCCTGTTGCTATACACATTAATAGAAATGGGTAAATCAAGATGTGAGATTTAGCCGGTAAGAGGCTAGATCTAATGGGCCAAGCAGTGTTTAAATGAAGACAATTTGTGTTTTGTAATTTTGGGTGTAAAGCTAGCCGGGCGGGAGCCGGGCGGGAGCCGGGTAGGACGAAAAACAGGCCTGCTCTGCTCCAGACTACGATCGGCCATAATGAAAACAAGAATCACAGAATGAAATTTCCAGTTCTTCTCTAGGTGTCATGGGAACCGTAGAAGGACCCACCATTATGACTCCTCCTTGTGACCTATTCTGAGGCCCCAGATGGGTGGCTCATGTCCATGTCCTTTGGAATTTTCCAAGGTTGTCCATTTGGAATGCCATTCTGGACACCGAGGCCTATGGGTTTTCACATTCTAGGAATCAAGGCCAAAACTACTGGATCCTGGGCTTCTAACTTGAGTATCTTCTCTTAGAGTTTCAGAAATATGAACAGGTGAAGGAACAGGGCCTGGAGAGATCAAAGCCTATGGGCTAATCTTTCCACTTACCTGAAGAAAAGTGTGTTGACGTGTGCTCCAAGTCAGCATCCCCAGTCACTGAAAGGCAGAAGAGATGATGGGAACGTGAGCTGGGCTTTGGACATGGAGACTGGCTCAAGAGCAAAGTTTGACATGAGGTGCCATTTGAGGGAGCACTCAGTGTTCTTCTAAGGTCGTGCCCCTGGACCAAATGGGGGTCTTTGATGGGGAGAAACAGCATGGGGATTTTGGCCTGCACCCTGGCCCAAGCGGGCCCCAGGTAGACCAGGAACCCCACTGCCCCCGTCTTTTAGTCTGGGCCTCAGCGTAATCCTATTGAGCATGATTTTTATGTCATCATCTCTCTTCGTGACATTGGTTTGTCATCATTGACCCAGCTCTCGAGAGAGCAAAGCTCCGCCTGGGGTTTGGACAAAGTACCATTGCTTACCAGTGCCGCAAACAGTGTCTTGGAGGTATGTATTCACATGGTTGGCACAAAGGTTCAGCACGATGGATGCCCTGCTCTGATTTGATCAGAAGCCCTTCGGTTCTTGTTAACGGCCCCTTTGGGAAAGAAGAAACGTGTTGTCAGGGCCATCCTCGGCATGCACTTGATGACCAGAAAAGGACTGCTGATGCTGACCAGGGCCCGAGAGCATGATGCCGTGGAGGGGGATCATTGTGCCACGTGAGATATCACTGATCAATGGCCCGAGGACTAGTGCCAACCCTGAGTGATGGCCCCTTTTTAGCCTGCCCAAGCAAAGTTCAGTCACTCAGGAGCATGCTCTTCCCGCTGACTGCTCTGATTGCTAGCATGAGACTGCTGCCGATTGTCAATCAGTAGGAAGGGCTTTGATACCTTGGAATCTTGCCTTTCCAGCATCAGGCATTCAAAGTTCTGAGACCTGGCCTCCACTTGATATGCTACCCATGTGTCTCATTCATCTCTGCCTCCCATCATCCACACACTAATGGAGAAAGAATCCATTCTCTTATGACTGTTTTTTTTTTTTATTTTAATTCATTTATTTATTAAGGATTTCTGCCTCGTCCCCACAACCGCTTCCCATTTCCCTCCCCCTCCCCCGATCAATTCCCCCTCCCTCATCTGCTCGAAGAGCAATCAGGGTTCCCTGACCTGTGGGAAGCCCAAGGACTGCCCACCTCTATCCAGGTCTCGTAAGGTGAGCATCCAAACTGCCTAGGCTCCCACAAAGCCAGTACGTGCAGTAGGCCTAGGTCTGAAAAAACATGGGATAAATCCGGACTAGCTGAACATAGCGGACAATGAGGAATACTGAGAATTCAAGAACAATTGCAGTGGGTTTTTGATCTTATGACTGTTTTTGCACCACCAGAGATTGTGCCGGGTCTGGCCTTCTCTGCATCTCTGGGGATATTCCTAGTCCTTGGCAGAATGTTGAAGGCAATGTCTTCCAGGGAAGATGGCTATGCATGGGGCTATGCATGATAGGCACGGCCTCTGCTGTGTGCTACAAACTTATCAAAATCAGACTGCCTTCCTGGCTCCAGCGCCCTGAAGAGACCATCTGTCATGGTAGAGCATCCAGAATTGTCTCCCTTTGTGCCTTGCTGGAAAGGTAGGTCAAGTTCACTAAATCACAGGTAGGGGGCAAGGTTGAGGATGCCCAGGTGCCATTTGATATACTAGTGTTCCCTGTGTTGAATTAGCACTGGGAAAGAACTCTGGACCGCCAAATGTGTCTCGGACATGCCAAATGGCAATTCATCCCGAAAGTCCATTATGGCAAGGCATTCGCTTCGAAAGCCACTGCCAAAGCTGACTAGAACTTCTTTCTCAGGCAGTCCCAATCAGGATCATCAGCTGATGTAGGAGGGTCATCTGTTTATGTGTCACTTTCATTGGTTATTTAAAAAGGAAACTTTCATGGCCTATGTATAGCACAGAAAATCAGGTGGGTGGAGTAGACAGAACAGAATGCTGGGATGGAGGGAAGTGAGGCAAACGCAAAGAAGCTCTGGCCCAAGATGGCCCAAGATGGACACCTCCTGTTGCTATACACATTAATAGAAATGGGTAAATCAAGATGTGAGATTTAGCCGGTAAGAGGCTAGATCTAATGGGCCAAACAGTGTTTAAATGAAGACAATTTGTGTTTTGTAATTTTGGGTGTAAAGCTAGCCGGGCGGGAGCCGGGCAGGACAAAAAACAGGCCTGCTCTGCTCCAGACTAAGATCGGCCATAATGAAAACAAGAGTCACAGAATGAAATTTCCAGTTCTTCTCTAGGTGTCATGGGAACCGTAGAAGGACCCACCATTATGACTCCTCCTTGTGACCTATTCTGAGGCCCCAGATGGGTGGCTCATGTCCTTGTCCTTTGGAATTTTCCAAGGTTGTCCATTTGGAATGCCATTCTGGACACCGAGGCCTATGGGTTTTCACATTCTAGGAATCAAGGCCAAAACTACTGGATCCTGGGCTTCTAACTTGAGTATCTTCTCTTAGAGTTTCAGAAATATGAACAGGTGAAGGAACAGGGCCTGGAGAGATCAAAGCCTATGGGCTAATCTTTCCACTTACCTGAAGAAAAGTGTGTTGACGTGTGCTCCAAGTCAGCATCCCCAGTCACTGAAAGGCAGAAGAGATGATGGGAACGTGAGCTGGGCTTTGGACATGGAGACTGGCTCAAGAGCAAAGTTTGACATGAGGTGCCATTTGAGGGAGCACTCAGTGTTCTTCTAAGGTCGTGCCCCTGGACCAAATGGGGGTCTTTGATGGGGAGAAACAGCATGGGGATTTTGGCCTGCACCCTGGCCCAAGCGGGCCCCAGGTAGACCAGGAACCCCACTGCCCCCGTCTTTTAGTCTGGGCCTCAGCGTAATCCTATTGAGCATGATTTTTATGTCATCATCTCTCTTCGTGACATTGGTTTGTCATCATTGACCCAGCTCTCGAGAGAGCAAAGCTCCGCCTGGGGTTTGGACAAAGTACCATTGCTTACCAGTGCCGCAAACAGTGTCTTGGAGGTATGTATTCACATGGTTGGCACAAAGGTTCAGCACGATGGATGCCCTGCTCTGATTTGATCAGAAGCCCTTCTGTTCTTGTTAACGGCCCCTTTGGGAAAGAAGAAACGTGTTGTCAGGGCCATCCTCGGCATGCACTTGATGACCAGAAAAGGACTGCTGATGCTGACCAGGGCCCGAGAGCATGATGCCGTGGAGGGGGATCATTGTGCCACGTGAGATATCACTGATCAATGGCCCGAGGACTAGTGCCAACCCTGAGTGATGGCCCCTTTTTAGCCTGCCCAAGCAAAGTTCAGTCACTCAGGAGCATGCTCTTCCCGCTGACTGCTCTGATTGCTAGCATGAGACTGCTGCCGATTGTCAATCAGTAGGAAGGGCTTTGATACCTTGGAATCTTGCCTTTCCAGCATCAGGCATTCAAAGTTCTGAGACCTGGCCTCCACTTGATATGCTACCCATGTGTCTCATTCATCTCTGCCTCCCATCATCCACACACTAATGGAGAAAGAATCCATTCTCTTATGACTGTTTTTGCACCACCAGAGATTGTGCCGGGTCTGGCCTTCTCTGCATCTCTGGGGATATTCCTAGTCCTTGGCAGAATGTTGAAGGCAATGTCTTCCAGGGAAGATGGCTATGCATGGGGCTATGCATGATAGGCACGGCCTCTGCTGTGTGCTACAAACTTCTCAAAATCAGACTGCCTTCCTGGCTCCAGCACCCTGAAGAGACCATCTGTCATGGTAGAGCATCCAGAATTGTCTCCCTTTGTGCCTTGCTGGAAAGGTAGGTCAAGTTCACTAAATCACAGGTAGGGGGCAAGGTTGAGGATGCCCAGGTGCCATTTGATATACTAGTGTTCCCTGTGTTGAATTAGCACTGGGAAAGAACTCTGGACCGCCAAATGTGTCTCGGACATGCCAAATGGCAATTCATCCCGAAAGTCCATTATGGCAAGGCATTCGCTTCGAAAGCCACTGCCAAAGCTGACTAGAACTTCTTTCTCAGGCAGTCCCAATCAGGATCATCAGCTGATGTAGGAGGGTCATCTGTCTATGTGTCACTTTCATTGGTTATTTAAAAAGGAAACTTTCATGGCCTATGTATAGCACAGAAAATCAGGTGGGCGGAGTAGACAGAACAGAATGCTGGGATGGAGGGAAGTGAGGCAAACGCAAAGAAGCTCTGGCCCAAGATGGCCCAAGATGGACACCTCCTGTTGCTATACACATTAATAGAAATGGGTAAATCAAGATGTGAGATTTAGCCGGTAAGAGGCTAGATCTAATGGGCCAAGCAGTGTTTAAATGAAGACAATTTGTGTTTTGTAATTTTGGGTGTAAAGCTAGCCGGGCGGGAGCCGGGCAGGACGAAAAACAGGCCTGCTCTGCTCCAGACTAAGATCGGCCATAATGAAAACAAGAGTCACGAATTTAAATTTCCAGTTCTTCTCTAGGTGTCATGGGAACCGTAGAAGGACCCACCATTATGAGTCCTCCTTGTGACCTATTCTGAGGCCCCAGATTGGTGGCTCATGTCCATGTCCTTTGGAATTTTCCAAGGTTGTCCATTTGGAATGCCATTCTGGACACCGAGGCCTATGGGTTTTCACATTCTAGGAATCAAGGCCAAAACTACTGGATCCTGGGCTTCTAACTTGAGTATCTTCTCTTAGAGTTTCAGAAATATGAACAGGTGAAGGAACAGGGCCTGGAGAGATCAAAGCCTATGGGCTAATCTTTCCACTTACCTGAAGAAAAGTGTGTTGACGTGTGCTCCAAGTCAGCATCCCCAGTCACTGAAAGGCAGAAGAGATGATGGGAACGTGAGCTGGGCTTTGGACATGGAGACTGGCTCAAGAGCAAAGTTTGACATGAGGTGCCATTTGAGGGAGCACTCAGTGTTCTTCTAAGGTCGTGCCCCTGGACCAAATGGGGGTCTTTGATGGGGAGAAACAGCATGGGGATTTTGGCCTGCACCCTGGCCCAAGCGGGCCCCAGGTAGACCAGGAACCCCACTGCCCCCGTCTTTTAGTCTGGGCCTCAGCGTAATCCTATTGAGCATGATTTTTATGTCATCATCTCTCTTCGTGACATTGGTTTGTCATCATTGACCCAGCTCTCGAGAGAGCGAAGCTCCGCCTGGGGTTTGGACAAAGTACCATTGCTTACCAGTGCCGCAAACAGTGTCTTGGAGGTATGTATTCACATGGTTGGCACAAAGGTTCAGCACGATGGATGCCCTGCTCTGATTTGATCAGAAGCCCTTCGGTTCTTGTTAACGGCCCCTTTGGGAAAGAAGAAACGTGTTGTCAGGGCCATCCTCGGCATGCACTTGATGACCAGAAAAGGACTGCTGATGCTGACCAGGGCCCGAGAGCATGATGCCGTGGAGGGGGATCATTGTGCCACGTGAGATATCACTGATCAATGGCCCGAGGACTAGTGCCAACCCTGAGTGATGGCCCCTTTTTAGCCTGCCCAAGCAAAGTTCAGTCACTCAGGAGCATGCTCTTCCCGCTGACTGCTCTGATTGCTAGCATGAGACTGCTGCCGATTGTCAATCAGTAGGAAGGGCTTTGATACCTTGGAATCTTGCCTTTCCAGCATCAGGCATTCAAAGTTCTGAGACCTGGCCTCCACTTGATATGCTACCCATGTGTCTCATTCATCTCTGCCTCCCATCATCCACACACTAATGGAGAAAGAATCCATTCTCTTATGACTGTTTTTGCACCACCAGAGATTGTGCCGGGTCTGGCCTTCTCTGCATCTCTGGGGATATTCCTAGTCCTTGGCAGAATGTTGAAGGCAATGTCTTCCAGGGAAGATGGCTATGCATGGGGCTATGCATGATAGGCACGGCCTCTGCTGTGTGCTACAAACTTCTCAAAATCAGACTGCCTTCCTGGCTCCAGCACCCTGAAGAGACCATCTGTCATGGTAGAGCATCCAGAATTGTCTCCCTTTGTGCCTTGCTGGAAAGGTAGGTCAAGTTCACTAAATCACAGGTAGGGGGCAAGGTTGAGGATGCCCAGGTGCCATTTGATATACTAGTGTTCCCTGTGTTGAATTAGCACTGGGAAAGAACTCTGGACCGCCAAATGTGTCTCGGACATGCCAAATGGCAATTCATCCCGAAAGTCCATTATGGCAAGGCATTCGCTTCGAAAGCCACTGCCAAAGCTGACTAGAACTTCTTTCTCAGGCAGTCCCAATCAGGATCATCAGCTGATGTAGGAGGGTCATCTGTCTATGTGTCACTTTCATTGGTTATTTAAAAAGGAAACTTTCATGGCCTATGTATAGCACAGAAAATCAGGTGGGCGGAGTAGACAGAACAGAATGCTGGGATGGAGGGAAGTGAGGCAAACGCAAAGAAGCTCTGGCCCAAGATGGCCCAAGATGGACACCTCCTGTTGCTATACACATTAATAGAAATGGGTAAATCAAGATGTGAGATTTAGCCGGTAAGAGGCTAGATCTAATGGGCCAAGCAGTGTTTAAATGAAGACAATTTGTGTTTTGTAATTTTGGGTGTAAAGCTAGCCGGGCGGGAGCCGGGCAGGACGAAAAACAGGCCTGCTCTGCTCCAGACTAAGATCGGCCATAATGAAAACAAGAGTCACGAATTTAAATTTCCAGTTCTTCTCTAGGTGTCATGGGAACCGTAGAAGGACCCACCATTATGAGTCCTCCTTGTGACCTATTCTGAGGCCCCAGATTGGTGGCTCATGTCCATGTCCTTTGGAATTTTCCAAGGTTGTCCATTTGGAATGCCATTCTGGACACCGAGGCCTATGGGTTTTCACATTCTAGGAATCAAGGCCAAAACTACTGGATCCTGGGCTTCTAACTTGAGTATCTTCTCTTAGAGTTTCAGAAATATGAACAGGTGAAGGAACAGGGCCTGGAGAGATCAAAGCCTATGGGCTAATCTTTCCACTTACCTGAAGAAAAGTGTGTTGACGTGTGCTCCAAGTCAGCATCCCCAGTCACTGAAAGGCAGAAGAGATGATGGGAACGTGAGCTGGGCTTTGGACATGGAGACTGGCTCAAGAGCAAAGTTTGACATGAGGTGCCATTTGAGGGAGAACTCAGTGATCTTCTTAAGGTCGTGCCCCTGGACCAAATGGGGGTCTTTGATGGGGAGAAACAGCATGGGGATTTTGGCCTGCACCCTGGCCCAAGCGGGCCCCAGGTAGACCAGGAACCCCACTGCCCCCGTCTTTTAGTCTGGGCCTCAGCGTAATCCTATTGAGCATGATTTTTATGTCATCATCTCTCTTCGTGACATTGGTTTGTCATCATTGACCCAGCTCTCGAGAGAGCAAAGCTCCGCCTGTGGTTTGGACAAAGTACCATTGCTTACCAGTGCCGCAAACAGTGTCTTGGAGGTATGTATTCACATGGTTGGCACAAAGGTTCAGCACGATGGATGCCCTGCTCTGATTTGATCAGAAGCCCTTCTGTTCTTGTTAACGGCCCCTTTGGGAAAGAAGAAACGTGTTGTCAGGACCATCCACGGCATGCACTTGATGACCAGAAAAGGACTGCTGATGCTGACCAGGGCCCGAGAGCATGATGCCGTGGAGGGGGATCATTGTGCCACGTGAGATATCACTGATCAATGGCCCGGGACTAGTGCCAACCCTGAGTGATGGCCCCTTTTTAGCCTGCCCAAGCAAAGTTCAGTCACTCAGGAGCATGCTCTTCCCGCTGACTGCTCTGATTGCTAGCATGAGACTGCTGCCGATTGTCAATCAGTAGGAAGGGCTTTGATACCTTGGAGTCTTGCCTTTCCAGCATCAGGCATTCAAAGTTCTGAGACCTGGCCTCCACTTGATATGCTACCCATGTGTCTCATTCATCTCTGCCTCCCATCATCCACACACTAATGGAGAAAGAATCCATTCTCTTATGACTGTTTTTGCACCACCAGAGATTGTGCCGGGTCTGGCCTTCTCTGCATCTCTGGGGATATTCCTATTCCTTGGCAGAATGTTGAAGGCAATGTCTTCCAGGGAAGATGGCTATGCATGGGGCTATGCATGATAGGCACGGCCTCTGCTGTGTGCTACAAACTTCTCAAAATCAGACTGCCTTCCTGGCTCCAGCGCCCTGAAGAGACCATCTGTCATGGTAGAGCATCCAGAATTGTCTCCCTTTGTGCCTTGCTGGAAAGGTAGGTCAAGTTCACTAAATCACAGGTAGGGGCCAAGGTTGAGGATGCCCAGGTGCCATTTGATATACTAGTGTTCCCTGTGTTGAATTAGCACTGGGAAAGAACTCTGGACCGCCAAATGTGTCTCGGACATGCCAAATGGCAATTCATCCCGAAAGTCCATTATGGCAAGGCATTCGCTTCGAAAGCCACTGCCAAAGCTGACTAGAACTTCTTTCTCAGGCAGTCCCAATCAGGATCATCAGCTGATGTAGGAGGGTCATCTGTCTATGTGTCACTTTCATTGGTTATTTAAAAAGGAAACTTTCATGGCCTATGTATAGCACAGAAAATCAGGTGGGCGGAGTAGACAGAACAGAATGCTGGGACGGAGGGAAGTGAGGCAAACGCAAAGAAGCTCTGGCCCAAGATGGCCCAAGATGGACACCTCCTGTTGCTATACACATTAATAGAAATGGGTAAATCAAGATGTGAGATTTAGCCGGTAAGAGGCTAGATCTAATGGGCCAAGCAGTGTTTAAATGAAGACAATTTGTGTTTTGTAATTTTGGGTGTAAAGCTAGCCGGGCGGGAGCCGGGCGGGAGCCGGGTAGGACGAAAAACAGGCCTGCTCTGCTCCAGACTACGATCGGCCATAATGAAAACAAGAATCACAGAATGAAATTTCCAGTTCTTCTCTAGGTGTCATGGGAACCGTAGAAGGACCCACCATTATGACTCCTCCTTGTGACCTATTCTGAGGCCCCAGATGGGTGGCTCATGTCCATGTCCTTTGGAATTTTCCAAGGTTGTCCATTTGGAATGCCATTCTGGACACCGAGGCCTATGGGTTTTCACATTCTAGGAATCAAGGCCAAAACTACTGGATCCTGGGCTTCTAACTTGAGTATCTTCTCTTAGAGTTTCAGAAATATGAACAGGTGAAGGAACAGGGCCTGGAGAGATCAAAGCCTATGGGCTAATCTTTCCACTTACCTGAAGAAAAGTGTGTTGACGTGTGCTCCAAGTCAGCATCCCCAGTCACTGAAAGGCAGAAGAGATGATGGGAACGTGAGCTGGGCTTTGGACATGGAGACTGGCTCAAGAGCAAAGTTTGACATGAGGTGCCATTTGAGGGAGCACTCAGTGTTCTTCTAAGGTCGTGCCCCTGGACCAAATGGGGGTCTTTGATGGGGAGAAACAGCATGGGGATTTTGGCCTGCACCCTGGCCCAAGCGGGCCCCAGGTAGACCAGGAACCCCACTGCCCCCGTCTTTTAGTCTGGGCCTCAGCGTAATCCTATTGAGCATGATTTTTATGTCATCATCTCTCTTCGTGACATTGGTTTGTCATCATTGACCCAGCTCTCGAGAGAGCAAAGCTCCGCCTGGGGTTTGGACAAAGTACCATTGCTTACCAGTGCCGCAAACAGTGTCTTGGAGGTATGTATTCACATGGTTGGCACAAAGGTTCAGCACGATGGATGCCCTGCTCTGATTTGATCAGAAGCCCTTCGGTTCTTGTTAACGGCCCCTTTGGGAAAGAAGAAACGTGTTGTCAGGGCCATCCTCGGCATGCACTTGATGACCAGAAAAGGACTGCTGATGCTGACCAGGGCCCGAGAGCATGATGCCGTGGAGGGGGATCATTGTGCCACGTGAGATATCACTGATCAATGGCCCGAGGACTAGTGCCAACCCTGAGTGATGGCCCCTTTTTAGCCTGCCCAAGCAAAGTTCAGTCACTCAGGAGCATGCTCTTCCCGCTGACTGCTCTGATTGCTAGCATGAGACTGCTGCCGATTGTCAATCAGTAGGAAGGGCTTTGATACCTTGGAATCTTGCCTTTCCAGCATCAGGCATTCAAAGTTCTGAGACCTGGCCTCCACTTGATATGCTACCCATGTGTCTCATTCATCTCTGCCTCCCATCATCCACACACTAATGGAGAAAGAATCCATTCTCTTATGACTGTTTTTTTTTTTTTATTTTAATTCATTTATTTATTAAGGATTTCTGCCTCGTCCCCACAACCGCTTCCCATTTCCCTCCCCCTCCCCCGATCAATTCCCCCTCCCTCATCTGCTCGAAGAGCAATCAGGGTTCCCTGACCTGTGGGAAGCCCAAGGACTGCCCACCTCTATCCAGGTCTCGTAAGGTGAGCATCCAAACTGCCTAGGCTCCCACAAAGCCAGTACGTGCAGTAGGCCTAGGTCTGAAAAAACATGGGATAAATCCGGACTAGCTGAACATAGCGGACAATGAGGAATACTGAGAATTCAAGAACAATTGCAGTGGGTTTTTGATCTTATGACTGTTTTTGCACCACCAGAGATTGTGCCGGGTCTGGCCTTCTCTGCATCTCTGGGGATATTCCTAGTCCTTGGCAGAATGTTGAAGGCAATGTCTTCCAGGGAAGATGGCTATGCATGGGGCTATGCATGATAGGCACGGCCTCTGCTGTGTGCTACAAACTTATCAAAATCAGACTGCCTTCCTGGCTCCAGCGCCCTGAAGAGACCATCTGTCATGGTAGAGCATCCAGAATTGTCTCCCTTTGTGCCTTGCTGGAAAGGTAGGTCAAGTTCACTAAATCACAGGTAGGGGGCAAGGTTGAGGATGCCCAGGTGCCATTTGATATACTAGTGTTCCCTGTGTTGAATTAGCACTGGGAAAGAACTCTGGACCGCCAAATGTGTCTCGGACATGCCAAATGGCAATTCATCCCGAAAGTCCATTATGGCAAGGCATTCGCTTCGAAAGCCACTGCCAAAGCTGACTAGAACTTCTTTCTCAGGCAGTCCCAATCAGGATCATCAGCTGATGTAGGAGGGTCATCTGTTTATGTGTCACTTTCATTGGTTATTTAAAAAGGAAACTTTCATGGCCTATGTATAGCACAGAAAATCAGGTGGGTGGAGTAGACAGAACAGAATGCTGGGATGGAGGGAAGTGAGGCAAACGCAAAGAAGCTCTGGCCCAAGATGGCCCAAGATGGACACCTCCTGTTGCTATACACATTAATAGAAATGGGTAAATCAAGATGTGAGATTTAGCCGGTAAGAGGCTAGATCTAATGGGCCAAACAGTGTTTAAATGAAGACAATTTGTGTTTTGTAATTTTGGGTGTAAAGCTAGCCGGGCGGGAGCCGGGCAGGACAAAAAACAGGCCTGCTCTGCTCCAGACTAAGATCGGCCATAATGAAAACAAGAGTCACAGAATGAAATTTCCAGTTCTTCTCTAGGTGTCATGGGAACCGTAGAAGGACCCACCATTATGACTCCTCCTTGTGACCTATTCTGAGGCCCCAGATGGGTGGCTCATGTCCTTGTCCTTTGGAATTTTCCAAGGTTGTCCATTTGGAATGCCATTCTGGACACCGAGGCCTATGGGTTTTCACATTCTAGGAATCAAGGCCAAAACTACTGGATCCTGGGCTTCTAACTTGAGTATCTTCTCTTAGAGTTTCAGAAATATGAACAGGTGAAGGAACAGGGCCTGGAGAGATCAAAGCCTATGGGCTAATCTTTCCACTTACCTGAAGAAAAGTGTGTTGACGTGTGCTCCAAGTCAGCATCCCCAGTCACTGAAAGGCAGAAGAGATGATGGGAACGTGAGCTGGGCTTTGGACATGGAGACTGGCTCAAGAGCAAAGTTTGACATGAGGTGCCATTTGAGGGAGCACTCAGTGTTCTTCTAAGGTCGTGCCCCTGGACCAAATGGGGGTCTTTGATGGGGAGAAACAGCATGGGGATTTTGGCCTGCACCCTGGCCCAAGCGGGCCCCAGGTAGACCAGGAACCCCACTGCCCCCGTCTTTTAGTCTGGGCCTCAGCGTAATCCTATTGAGCATGATTTTTATGTCATCATCTCTCTTCGTGACATTGGTTTGTCATCATTGACCCAGCTCTCGAGAGAGCAAAGCTCCGCCTGGGGTTTGGACAAAGTACCATTGCTTACCAGTGCCGCAAACAGTGTCTTGGAGGTATGTATTCACATGGTTGGCACAAAGGTTCAGCACGATGGATGCCCTGCTCTGATTTGATCAGAAGCCCTTCTGTTCTTGTTAACGGCCCCTTTGGGAAAGAAGAAACGTGTTGTCAGGGCCATCCTCGGCATGCACTTGATGACCAGAAAAGGACTGCTGATGCTGACCAGGGCCCGAGAGCATGATGCTGTGGAGGGGGATCATTGTGCCACGTGAGATATCACTGATCAATGGCCCGAGGACTAGTGCCAACCCTGAGTGATGGCCCCTTTTTAGCCTGCCCAAGCAAAGTTCAGTCACTCAGGAGCATGCTCTTCCCGCTGACTGCTCTGATTGCTAGCATGAGACTGCTGCCGATTGTCAATCAGTAGGAAGGGCTTTGATACCTTGGAATCTTGCCTTTCCAGCATCAGGCATTCAAAGTTCTGAGACCTGGCCTCCACTTGATATGCTACCCATGTGTCTCATTCATCTCTGCCTCCCATCATCCACACACTAATGGAGAAAGAATCCATTCTCTTATGACTGTTTTTGCACCACCAGAGATTGTGCCGGGTCTGGCCTTCTCTGCATCTCTGGGGATATTCCTAGTCCTTGGCAGAATGTTGAAGGCAATGTCTTCCAGGGAAGATGGCTATGCATGGGGCTATGCATGATAGGCACGGCCTCTGCTGTGTGCTACAAACTTCTCAAAATCAGACTGCCTTCCTGGCTCCAGCGCCCTGAAGAGACCATCTGTCATGGTAGAGCATCCAGAATTGTCTCCCTTTGTGCCTTGCTGGAAAGGTAGGTCAAGTTCACTAAATCACAGGTAGGGGGCAAGGTTGAGGATGCCCAGGTGCCATTTGATATACTAGTGTTCCCTGTGTTGAATTAGCACTGGGAAAGAACTCTGGACCGCCAAATGTGTCTCGGACATGCCAAATGGCAATTCATCCCGAAAGTCCATTATGGCAAGGCATTCGCTTCGAAAGCCACTGCCAAAGCTGACTAGAACTTCTTTCTCAGGCAGTCCCAATCAGGATCATCAGCTGAGTAGGAGGGTCATCTGTCTATGTGTCACTTTCATTGGTTATTTAAAAAGGAAACTTTCATGGCCTATGTATAGCACAGAAAATCAGGTGGGCGGAGTAGACAGAACAGAATGCTGGGACGGAGGGAAGTGAGGCAAACGCAAAGAAGCTCTGGCCCAAGATGGCCCAAGATGGACACCTCCTGTTGCTATACACATTAATAGAAATGGGTAAATCAAGATGTGAGATTTAGCCGGTAAGAGGCTAGATCTAATGGGCCAAGCAGTGTTTAAATGAAGACAATTTGTGTTTTGTAATTTTGGGTGTAAAGCTAGCCGGGCGGGAGCCGGGCGGGAGCCGGGTAGGACGAAAAACAGGCCTGCTCTGCTCCAGACTACGATCGGCCATAATGAAAACAAGAGTCACAGAATGAAATTTCCAGTTCTTCTCTAGGTGTCATGGGAACCGTAGAAGGACCCACCATTATGACTCCTCCTTGTGACCTATTCTGAGGCCCCAGATGGGTGGCTCATGTCCATGATCTTTGGAATTTTCCAAGGTTGTCCATTTGGAATGCCATTCTGGACACCGAGGCCTATGGGTTTTCACATTCTAGGAATCAAGGCCAAAACTACTGGATCCTGGGCTTCTAACTTGAGTATCTTCTCTTAGAGTTTCAGAAATATGAACAGGTGAAGGAACAGGGCCTGGAGAGATCAAAGCCTATGGGCTAATCTTTCCACTTACCTGAAGAAAAGTGTGTTGACGTGTGCTCCAAGTCAGCATCCCCAGTCACTGAAAGGCAGAAGAGATGATGGGAACGTGAGCTGGGCTTTGGACATGGAGACTGGCTCAAGAGCAAAGTTTGACATGAGGTGCCATTTGAGGGAGCACTCAGTGTTCTTCTAAGGTCGTGCCCCTGGACCAAATGGGGGTCTTTGATGGGGAGAAACAGCATGGGGATTTTGGCCTGCACCCTGGCCCAAGCGGGCCCCAGGTAGACCAGGAACCCCACTGCCCCCGTCTTTTAGTCTGGGCCTCAGCGTAATCCTATTGAGCATGATTTTTATGTCATCATCTCTCTTCGTGACATTGGTTTGTCATCATTGACCCAGCTCTCGAGAGAGCGAAGCTCCGCCTGGGGTTTGGACAAAGTACCATTGCTTACCAGTGCCGCAAACAGTGTCTTGGAGGTATGTATTCACATGGTTGGCACAAAGGTTCAGCACGATGGATGCCCTGCTCTGATTTGATCAGAAGCCCTTCGGTTCTTGTTAACGGCCCCTTTGGGAAAGAAGAAACGTGTTGTCAGGGCCATCCTCGGCATGCACTTGATGACCAGAAAAGGACTGCTGATGCTGACCAGGGCCCGAGAGCATGATGCCGTGGAGGGGGATCATTGTGCCACGTGAGATATCACTGATCAATGGCCCGAGGACTAGTGCCAACCCTGAGTGATGGCCCCTTTTTAGCCTGCCCAAGCAAAGTTCAGTCACTCAGGAGCATGCTCTTCCCGCTGACTGCTCTGATTGCTAGCATGAGACTGCTGCCGATTGTCAATCAGTAGGAAGGGCTTTGATACCTTGGAATCTTGCCTTTCCAGCATCAGGCATTCAAAGTTCTGAGACCTGGCCTCCACTTGATATGCTACCCATGTGTCTCATTCATCTCTGCCTCCCATCATCCACACACTAATGGAGAAAGAATCCATTCTCTTATGACTGTTTTTTTTTTTTTATTTTAATTCATTTATTTATTAAGGATTTCTGCCTCGTCCCCACAACCGCTTCCCATTTCCCTCACCCTCCCCCGATCAATTCCCCCTCCCTCATCTGCTCGAAGAGCAATCAGGGTTCCCTGACCTGTGGGAAGCCCAAGGACTGCCCACCTCTATCCAGGTCTCGTAAGGTGAGCATCCAAACTGCCTAGGCTCCCACAAAGCCAGTACGTGCAGTAGGCCTAGGTCTGAAAAAACATGGGATAAATCCGGACTAGCTGAACATAGCGGACAATGAGGAATACTGAGAATTCAAGAACAATTGCAGTGGGTTTTTGATCTTATGACTGTTTTTGCACCACCAGAGATTGTGCCGGGTCTGGCCTTCTCTGCATCTCTGGGGATATTCCTAGTCCTTGGCAGAATGTTGAAGGCAATGTCTTCCAGGGAAGATGGCTATGCATGGGGCTATGCATGATAGGCACGGCCTCTGCTGTGTGCTACAAACTTATCAAAATCAGACTGCCTTCCTGGCTCCAGCGCCCTGAAGAGACCATCTGTCATGGTAGAGCATCCAGAATTGTCTCCCTTTGTGCCTTGCTGGAAAGGTAGGTCAAGTTCACTAAATCACAGGTAGGGGGCAAGGTTGAGGATGCCCAGGTGCCATTTGATATACTAGTGTTCCCTGTGTTGAATTAGCACTGGGAAAGAACTCTGGACCGCCAAATGTGTCTCGGACATGCCAAATGGCAATTCATCCCGAAAGTCCATTATGGCAAGGCATTCGCTTCGAAAGCCACTGCCAAAGCTGACTAGAACTTCTTTCTCAGGCAGTCCCAATCAGGATCATCAGCTGATGTAGGAGGGTCATCTGTTTATGTGTCACTTTCATTGGTTATTTAAAAAGGAAACTTTCATGGCCTATGTATAGCACAGAAAATCAGGTGGGTGGAGTAGACAGAACAGAATGCTGGGATGGAGGGAAGTGAGGCAAACGCAAAGAAGCTCTGGCCCAAGATGGCCCAAGATGGACACCTCCTGTTGCTATACACATTAATAGAAATGGGTAAATCAAGATGTGAGATTTAGCCGGTAAGAGGCTAGATCTAATGGGCCAAACAGTGTTTAAATGAAGACAATTTGTGTTTTGTAATTTTGGGTGTAAAGCTAGCCGGGCGGGAGCCGGGCAGGACAAAAAACAGGCCTGCTCTGCTCCAGACTAAGATCGGCCATAATGAAAACAAGAGTCACAGAATGAAATTTCCAGTTCTTCTCTAGGTGTCATGGGAACCGTAGAAGGACCCACCATTATGACTCCTCCTTGTGACCTATTCTGAGGCCCCAGATGGGTGGCTCATGTCCTTGTCCTTTGGAATTTTCCAAGGTTGTCCATTTGGAATGCCATTCTGGACACCGAGGCCTATGGGTTTTCACATTCTAGGAATCAAGGCCAAAACTACTGGATCCTGGGCTTCTAACTTGAGTATCTTCTCTTAGAGTTTCAGAAATATGAACAGGTGAAGGAACAGGGCCTGGAGAGATCAAAGCCTATGGGCTAATCTTTCTACTTACCTGAAGAAAAGTGTGTTGACGTGTGCTCCAAGTCAGCATCCCCAGTCACTGAAAGGCAGAAGAGATGATGGGAACGTGAGCTGGGCTTTGGACATGGAGACTGGCTCAAGAGCAAAGTTTGACATGAGGTGCCATTTGAGGGAGCACTCAGTGTTCTTCTAAGGTCGTGCCCCTGGACCAAATGGGGGTCTTTGATGGGGAGAAACAGCATGGGGATTTTGGCCTGCACCCTGGCCCAAGCGGGCCCCAGGTAGACCAGGAACCCCACTGCCCCCGTCTTTTAGTCTGGGCCTCAGCGTAATCCTATTGAGCATGATTTTTATGTCATCATCTCTCTTCGTGACATTGGTTTGTCATCATTGACCCAGCTCTCGAGAGAGCAAAGCTCCGCCTGGGGTTTGGACAAAGTACCATTGCTTACCAGTGCCGCAAACAGTGTCTTGGAGGTATGTATTCACATGGTTGGCACAAAGGTTCAGCACGATGGATGCCCTGCTCTGATTTGATCAGAAGCCCTTCTGTTCTTGTTAACGGCCCCTTTGGGAAAGAAGAAACGTGTTGTCAGGGCCATCCTCGGCATGCACTTGATGACCAGAAAAGGACTGCTGATGCTGACCAGGGCCCGAGAGCATGATGCCGTGGAGGGGGATCATTGTGCCACGTGAGATATCACTGATCAATGGCCCGAGGACTAGTGCCAACCCTGAGTGATGGCCCCTTTTTAGCCTGCCCAAGCAAAGTTCAGTCACTCAGGAGCATGCTCTTCCCGCTGACTGCTCTGATTGCTAGCATGAGACTGCTGCCGATTGTCAATCAGTAGGAAGGGCTTTGATACCTTGGAATCTTGCCTTTCCAGCATCAGGCATTCAAAGTTCTGAGACCTGGCCTCCACTTGATATGCTACCCATGTGTCTCATTCATCTCTGCCTCCCATCATCCACACACTAATGGAGAAAGAATCCATTCTCTTATGACTGTTTTTGCACCACCAGAGATTGTGCCGGGTCTGGCCTTCTCTGCATCTCTGGGGATATTCCTAGTCCTTGGCAGAATGTTGAAGGCAATGTCTTCCAGGGAAGATGGCTATGCATGGGGCTATGCATGATAGGCACGGCCTCTGCTGTGTGCTACAAACTTCTCAAAATCAGACTGCCTTCCTGGCTCCAGCGCCCTGAAGAGACCATCTGTCATGGTAGAGCATCCAGAATTGTCTCCCTTTGTGCCTTGCTGGAAAGGTAGGTCAAGTTCACTAAATCACAGGTAGGGGGCAAGGTTGAGGATGCCCAGGTGCCATTTGATATACTAGTGTTCCCTGTGTTGAATTAGCACTGGGAAAGAACTCTGGACCGCCAAATGTGTCTCGGACATGCCAAATGGCAATTCATCCCGAAAGTCCATTATGGCAAGGCATTCGCTTCGAAAGCCACTGCCAAAGCTGACTAGAACTTCTTTCTCAGGCAGTCCCAATCAGGATCATCAGCTGAGTAGGAGGGTCATCTGTGTATGTGTCACTTTCATTGGTTATTTAAAAAGGAAACTTTCATGGCCTATGTATAGCACAGAAAATCAGGTGGGCGGAGTAGACAGAACAGAATGCTGGGACGGAGGGAAGTGAGGCAAACGCAAAGAAGCTCTGGCCCAAGATGGCCCAAGATGGACACCTCCTGTTGCTATACACATTAATAGAAATGGGTAAATCAAGATGTGAGATTTAGCCGGTAAGAGGCTAGATCTAATGGGCCAAGCAGTGTTTAAATGAAGACAATTTGTGTTTTGTAATTTTGGGTGTAAAGCTAGCCGGGCGGGAGCCGGGCGGGAGCCGGGTAGGACGAAAAACAGGCCTGCTCTGCTCCAGACTACGATCGGCCATAATGAAAACAAGAGTCACAGAATGAAATTTCCAGTTCTTCTCTAGGTGTCATGGGAACCGTAGAAGGACCCACCATTATGACTCCTCCTTGTGACCTATTCTGAGGCCCCAGATGGGTGGCTCATGTCCATGTCCTTTGGAATTTTCCAAGGTTGTCCATTTGGAATGCCATTCTGGACACCGAGGCCTATGGGTTTTCACATTCTAGGAATCAAGGCCAAAACTACTGGATCCTGGGCTTCTAACTTGAGTATCTTCTCTTAGAGTTTCAGAAATATGAACAGGTGAAGGAACAGGGCCTGGAGAGATCAAAGCCTATGGGCTAATCTTTCCACTTACCTGAAGAAAAGTGTGTTGACGTGTGCTCCAAGTCAGCATCCCCAGTCACTGAAAGGCAGAAGAGATGATGGGAACGTGAGCTGGGCTTTGGACATGGAGACTGGCTCAAGAGCAAAGTTTGACATGAGGTGCCATTTGAGGGAGCACTCAGTGTTCTTCTAAGGTCGTGCCCCTGGACCAAATGGGGGTCTTTGATGGGGAGAAACAGCATGGGGATTTTGGCCTGCACCCTGGCCCAAGCGGGCCCCAGGTAGACCAGGAACCCCACTGCCCCCGTCTTTTAGTCTGGGCCTCAGCGTAATCCTATTGAGCATGATTTTTATGTCATCATCTCTCTTCGTGACATTGGTTTGTCATCATTGACCCAGCTCTCGAGAGAGCAAAGCTCCGCCTGGGGTTTGGACAAAGTACCATTGCTTACCAGTGCCGCAAACAGTGTCTTGGAGGTATGTATTCACATGGTTGGCACAAAGGTTCAGCACGATGGATGCCCTGCTCTGATTTGATCAGAAGCCCTTCTGTTCTTGTTAACGGCCCCTTTGGGAAAGAAGAAACGTGTTGTCAGGGCCATCCTCGGCATGCACTTGATGACCAGAAAAGGACTGCTGATGCTGACCAGGGCCCGAGAGCATGATGCTGTGGAGGGGGATCATTGTGCCACGTGAGATATCACTGATCAATGGCCCGAGGACTAGTGCCAACCCTGAGTGATGGCCCCTTTTTAGCCTGCCCAAGCAAAGTTCAGTCACTCAGGAGCATGCTCTTCCCGCTGACTGCTCTGATTGCTAGCATGAGACTGCTGCCGATTGTCAATCAGTAGGAAGGGCTTTGATACCTTGGAATCTTGCCTTTCCAGCATCAGGCATTCAAAGTTCTGAGACCTGGCCTCCACTTGATATGCTACCCATGTGTCTCATTCATCTCTGCCTCCCATCATCCACACACTAATGGAGAAAGAATCCATTCTCTTATGACTGTTTTTGCACCACCAGAGATTGTGCCGGGTCTGGCCTTCTCTGCATCTCTGGGGATATTCCTATTCCTTGGCAGAATGTTGAAGGCAATGTCTTCCAGGGAAGATGGCTATGCATGGGGCTATGCATGATAGGCACGGCCTCTGCTGTGTGCTACAAACTTCTCAAAATCAGACTGCCTTCCTGGCTCCAGCGCCCTGAAGAGACCATCTGTCATGGTAGAGCATCCAGAATTGTCTCCCTTTGTGCCTTGCTGGAAAGGTAGGTCAAGTTCACTAAATCACAGGTAGGGGGCAAGGTTGAGGATGCCCAGGTGCCATTTGATATACTAGTGTTCCCTGTGTTGAATTAGCACTGGGAAAGAACTCTGGACCGCCAAATGTGTCTCGGACATGCCAAATGGCAATTCATCCCGAAAGTCCATTATGGCAAGGCATTCGCTTCGAAAGCCACTGCCAAAGCTGACTAGAACTTCTTTCTCAGGCAGTCCCAATCAGGATCATCAGCTGATGTAGGAGGGTCATCTGTGTATGTGTCACTTTCATTGGTTATTTAAAAAGGAAACTTTCATGGCCTATGTATAGCACAGAAAATCAGGTGGGTGGAGTAGACAGAACAGAATGCTGGGATGGAGGGAAGTGAGGCAAACGCAAAGAAGCTCTGGCCCAAGATGGCCCAAGATGGACACCTCCTGTTGCTATACACATTAATAGAAATGGGTAAATCAAGATGTGAGATTTAGCCGGTAAGAGGCTAGATCTAATGGGCCAAGCAGTGTTTAAATGAAGACAATTTGTGTTTTGTAATTTTGGGTGTAAAGCTAGCCGGGCGGGAGCCGGGCAGGACAAAAAACAGGCCTGCTCTGCTCCAGACTAAGATCGGCCATAATGAAAACAAGAGTCACAGAATGAAATTTCCAGTTCTTCTCTAGGTGTCATGGGAACCGTAGAAGGACCCACCATTATGACTCCTCCTTGTGACCTATTCTGAGGCCCCAGATGGGTGGCTCATGTCCTTGTCCTTTGGAATTTTCCAAGGTTGTCCATTTGGAATGCCATTCTGGACACCGAGGCCTATGGGTTTTCACATTCTAGGAATCAAGGCCAAAACTACTGGATCCTGGGCTTCTAACTTGAGTATCTTCTCTTAGAGTTTCAGAAATATGAACAGGTGAAGGAACAGGGCCTGGAGAGATCAAAGCCTATGGGCTAATCTTTCCACTTACCTGAAGAAAAGTGTGTTGACGTGTGCTCCAAGTCAGCATCCCCAGTCACTGAAAGGCAGAAGAGATGATGGGAACGTGAGCTGGGCTTTGGACATGGAGACTGGCTCAAGAGCAAAGTTTGACATGAGGTGCCATTTGAGGGAGCACTCAGTGTTCTTCTAAGGTCGTGCCCCTGGACCAAATGGGGGTCTTTGATGGGGAGAAACAGCATGGGGATTTTGGCCTGCACCCTGGCCCAAGCGGGCCCCAGGTAGACCAGGAACCCCACTGCCCCCGTCTTTTAGTCTGGGCCTCAGCGTAATCCTATTGAGCATGATTTTTATGTCATCATCTCTCTTCGTGACATTGGTTTGTCATCATTGACCCAGCTCTCGAGAGAGCGAAGCTCCGCCTGGGGTTTGGACAAAGTACCATTGCTTACCAGTGCCGCAAACAGTGTCTTGGAGGTATGTATTCACATGGTTGGCACAAAGGTTCAGCACGATGGATGCCCTGCTCTGATTTGATCAGAAGCCCTTCTGTTCTTGTTAACGGCCCCTTTGGGAAAGAAGAAACGTGTTGTCAGGGCCATCCTCGGCATGCACTTGATGACCAGAAAAGGACTGCTGATGCTGACCAGGGCCCGAGAGCATGATGCCGTGGAGGGGGATCATTGTGCCACGTGAGATATCACTGATCAATGGCCCGAGGACTAGTGCCAACCCTGAGTGATGGCCCCTTTTTAGCCTGCCCAAGCAAAGTTCAGTCACTCAGGAGCATGCTCTTCCCGCTGACTGCTCTGATTGCTAGCATGAGACTGCTGCCGATTGTCAATCAGTAGGAAGGGCTTTGATACCTTGGAATCTTGCCTTTCCAGCATCAGGCATTCAAAGTTCTGAGACCTGGCCTCCACTTGATATGCTACCCATGTGTCTCATTCATCTCTGCCTCCCATCATCCACACACTAATGGAGAAAGAATCCATTCTCTTATGACTGTTTTTGCACCACCAGAGATTGTGCCGGGTCTGGCCTTCTCTGCATCTCTGGGGATATTCCTATTCCTTGGCAGAATGTTGAAGGCAATGTCTTCCAGGGAAGATGACTATGCATGGGGCTATGCATGATAGGCACGGCCTCTGCTGTGTGCTACAAACTTCTCAAAATCAGACTGCCTTCCTGGCTCCAGCGCCCTGAAGAGACCATCTGTCATGGTAGAGCATCCAGAATTGTCTCCCTTTGTGCCTTGCTGGAAAGGTAGGTCAAGTTCACTAAATCACAGGTAGGGGGCAAGGTTGAGGATGCCCAGGTGCCATTTGATATACTAGTGTTCCCTGTGTTGAATTAGCACTGGGAAAGAACTCTGGACCGCCAAATGTGTCTCGGACATGCCAAATGGCAATTCATCCCGAAAGTCCATTATGGCAAGGCATTCGCTTCGAAAGCCACTGCCAAAGCTGACTAGAACTTCTTTCTCAGGCAGTCCCAATCAGGATCATCAGCTGAGTAGGAGGGTCATCTGTGTATGTGTCACTTTCATTGGTTATTTAAAAAGGAAACTTTCATGGCCTATGTATAGCACAGAAAATCAGGTGGGTGGAGTAGACAGAACAGAATGCTGGGACGGAGGGAAGTGAGGCAAACGCAAAGAAGCTCTGGCCCAAGATGGCCCAAGATGGACACCTCCTGTTGCTATACACATTAATAGAAATGGGTAAATCAAGATGTGAGATTTAGCCGGTAAGAGGCTAGATCTAATGGGCCAAGCAGTGTTTAAATGAAGACAATTTGTGTTTTGTAATTTTGGGTGTAAAGCTAGCCGGGCGGGAGCCGGGCAGGACGAAAAACAGGCCTGCTCTGCTCCAGACTAAGATCGGCCATAATGAAAACAAGAGTCACAGAATGAAATTTCCAGTTCTTCTCTAGGTGTCATGGGAACCGTAGAAGGACCCACCATTATGACTCCTCCTTGTGACCTATTCTGAGGCCCCAGATGGGTGGCTCATGTCCTTGTCCTTTGGAATTTTCCAAGGTTGTCCATTTGGAATGCCATTCTGGACACCGAGGCCTATGGGTTTTCACATTCTAGGAATCAAGGCCAAAACTACTGGATCCTGGGCTTCTAACTTGAGTATCTTCTCTTAGAGTTTCAGAAATATGAACAGGTGAAGGAACAGGGCCTGGAGAGATCAAAGCCTATGGGCTAATCTTTCCACTTACCTGAAGAAAAGTGTGTTGACGTGTGCTCCAAGTCAGCATCCCCAGTCACTGAAAGGCAGAAGAGATGATGGGAACGTGAGCTGGGCTTTGGACATGGAGACTGGCTCAAGAGCAAAGTTTGACATGAGGTGCCATTTGAGGGAGCACTCAGTGTTCTTCTAAGGTCGTGCCCCTGGACCAAATGGGGGTCTTTGATGGGGAGAAACAGCATGGGGATTTTGGCCTGCACCCTGGCCCAAGCGGGCCCCAGGTAGACCAGGAACCCCACTGCCCCCGTCTTTTAGTCTGGGCCTCAGCGTAATCCTATTGAGCATGATTTTTATGTCATCATCTCTCTTCGTGACATTGGTTTGTCATCATTGACCCAGCTCTCGAGAGAGCGAAGCTCCGCCTGGGGTTTGGACAAAGTACCATTGCTTACCAGTGCCGCAAACAGTGTCTTGGAGGTATGTATTCACATGGTTGGCACAAAGGTTCAGCACGATGGATGCCCTGCTCTGATTTGATCAGAAGCCCTTCTGTTCTTGTTAACGGCCCCTTTGGGAAAGAAGAAACGTGTTGTCAGGGCCATCCTCGGCATGCACTTGATGACCAGAAAAGGACTGCTGATGCTGACCAGGGCCCGAGAGCATGATGCCGTGGAGGGGGATCATTGTGCCACGTGAGATATCACTGATCAATGGCCCGAGGACTAGTGCCAACCCTGAGTGATGGCCCCTTTTTAGCCTGCCCAAGCAAAGTTCAGTCACTCAGGAGCATGCTCTTCCCGCTGACTGCTCTGATTGCTAGCATGAGACTGCTGCCGATTGTCAATCAGTAGGAAGGGCTTTGATACCTTGGAATCTTGCCTTTCCAGCATCAGGCATTCAAAGTTCTGAGACCTGGCCTCCACTTGATATGCTACCCATGTGTCTCATTCATCTCTGCCTCCCATCATCCACACACTAATGGAGAAAGAATCCATTCTCTTATGACTGTTTTTGCACCACCAGAGATTGTGCCGGGTCTGGCCTTCTCTGCATCTCTGGGGATATTCCTATTCCTTGGCAGAATGTTGAAGGCAATGTCTTCCAGGGAAGATGACTATGCATGGGGCTATGCATGATAGGCACGGCCTCTGCTGTGTGCTACAAACTTCTCAAAATCAGACTGCCTTCCTGGCTCCAGCGCCCTGAAGAGACCATCTGTCATGGTAGAGCATCCAGAATTGTCTCCCTTTGTGCCTTGCTGGAAAGGTAGGTCAAGTTCACTAAATCACAGGTAGGGGGCAAGGTTGAGGATGCCCAGGTGCCATTTGATATACTAGTGTTCCCTGTGTTGAATTAGCACTGGGAAAGAACTCTGGACCGCCAAATGTGTCTCGGACATGCCAAATGGCAATTCATCCCGAAAGTCCATTATGGCAAGGCATTCGCTTCGAAAGCCACTGCCAAAGCTGACTAGAACTTCTTTCTCAGGCAGTCCCAATCAGGATCATCAGCTGAGTAGGAGGGTCATCTGTGTATGTGTCACTTTCATTGGTTATTTAAAAAGGAAACTTTCATGGCCTATGTATAGCACAGAAAATCAGGTGGGTGGAGTAGACAGAACAGAATGCTGGGACGGAGGGAAGTGAGGCAAACGCAAAGAAGCTCTGGCCCAAGATGGCCCAAGATGGACACCTCCTGTTGCTATACACATTAATAGAAATGGGTAAATCAAGATGTGAGATTTAGCCGGTAAGAGGCTAGATCTAATGGGCCAAGCAGTGTTTAAATGAAGACAATTTGTGTTTTGTAATTTTGGGTGTAAAGCTAGCCGGGCGGGAGCCGGGCAGGACAACGAAAAACAGGCCTGCTCTGCTCCAGACTAAGATCGGCCATAATGAAAACAAGAGTCACAGAATGAAATTTCCAGTTCTTCTCTAGGTGTCATGGGAACCGTAGAAGGACCCACCATTATGACTCCTCCTTGTGACCTATTCTGAGGCCCCAGATGGGTGGCTCATGTCCTTGTCCTTTGGAATTTTCCAAGGTTGTCCATTTGGAATGCCATTCTGGACACCGAGGCCTATGGGTTTTCACATTCTAGGAATCAAGGCCAAAACTACTGGATCCTGGGCTTCTAACTTGAGTATCTTCTCTTAGAGTTTCAGAAATATGAACAGGTGAAGGAACAGGGCCTGGAGAGATCAAAGCCTATGGGCTAATCTTTCCACTTACCTGAAGAAAAGTGTGTTGACGTGTGCTCCAAGTCAGCATCCCCAGTCACTGAAAGGCAGAAGAGATGATGGGAACGTGAGCTGGGCTTTGGACATGGAGACTGGCTCAAGAGCAAAGTTTGACATGAGGTGCCATTTGAGGGAGCACTCAGTGTTCTTCTAAGGTCGTGCCCCTGGACCAAATGGGGGTCTTTGATGGGGAGAAACAGCATGGGGATTTTGGCCTGCACCCTGGCCCAAGCGGGCCCCAGGTAGACCAGGAACCCCACTGCCCCCGTCTTTTAGTCTGGGCCTCAGCGTAATCCTATTGAGCATGATTTTTATGTCATCATCTCTCTTCGTGACATTGGTTTGTCATCATTGACCCAGCTCTCGAGAGAGCGAAGCTCCGCCTGGGGTTTGGACAAAGTACCATTGCTTACCAGTGCCGCAAACAGTGTCTTGGAGGTATGTATTCACATGGTTGGCACAAAGGTTCAGCACGATGGATGCCCTGCTCTGATTTGATCAGAAGCCCTTCTGTTCTTGTTAACGGCCCCTTTGGGAAAGAAGAAACGTGTTGTCAGGGCCATCCTCGGCATGCACTTGATGACCAGAAAAGGACTGCTGATGCTGACCAGGGCCCGAGAGCATGATGCCGTGGAGGGGGATCATTGTGCCACGTGAGATATCACTGATCAATGGCCCGAGGACTAGTGCCAACCCTGAGTGATGGCCCCTTTTTAGCCTGCCCAAGCAAAGTTCAGTCACTCAGGAGCATGCTCTTCCCGCTGACTGCTCTGATTGCTAGCATGAGACTGCTGCCGATTGTCAATCAGTAGGAAGGGCTTTGATACCTTGGAATCTTGCCTTTCCAGCATCAGGCATTCAAAGTTCTGAGACCTGGCCTCCACTTGATATGCTACCCATGTGTCTCATTCATCTCTGCCTCCCATCATCCACACACTAATGGAGAAAGAATCCATTCTCTTATGACTGTTTTTGCACCACCAGAGATTGTGCCGGGTCTGGCCTTCTCTGCATCTCTGGGGATATTCCTATTCCTTGGCAGAATGTTGAAGGCAATGTCTTCCAGGGAAGATGACTATGCATGGGGCTATGCATGATAGGCACGGCCTCTGCTGTGTGCTACAAACTTCTCAAAATCAGACTGCCTTCCTGGCTCCAGCGCCCTGAAGAGACCATCTGTCATGGTAGAGCATCCAGAATTGTCTCCCTTTGTGCCTTGCTGGAAAGGTAGGTCAAGTTCACTAAATCACAGGTAGGGGGCAAGGTTGAGGATGCCCAGGTGCCATTTGATATACTAGTGTTCCCTGTGTTGAATTAGCACTGGGAAAGAACTCTGGACCGCCAAATGTGTCTCGGACATGCCAAATGGCAATTCATCCCGAAAGTCCATTATGGCAAGGCATTCGCTTCGAAAGCCACTGCCAAAGCTGACTAGAACTTCTTTCTCAGGCAGTCCCAATCAGGATCATCAGCTGAGTAGGAGGGTCATCTGTGTATGTGTCACTTTCATTGGTTATTTAAAAAGGAAACTTTCATGGCCTATGTATAGCACAGAAAATCAGGTGGGTGGAGTAGACAGAACAGAATGCTGGGACGGAGGGAAGTGAGGCAAACGCAAAGAAGCTCTGGCCCAAGATGGCCCAAGATGGACACCTCCTGTTGCTATACACATTAATAGAAATGGGTAAATCAAGATGTGAGATTTAGCCGGTAAGAGGCTAGATCTAATGGGCCAAGCAGTGTTTAAATGAAGACAATTTGTGTTTTGTAATTTTGGGTGTAAAGCTAGCCGGGCGGGAGCCGGGCAGGACGAAAAACAGGCCTGCTCTGCTCCAGACTAAGATCGGCCATAATGAAAACAAGAGTCACAGAATGAAATTTCCAGTTCTTCTCTAGGTGTCATGGGAACCGTAGAAGGACCCACCATTATGACTCCTCCTTGTGACCTATTCTGAGGCCCCAGATGGGTGGCTCATGTCCTTGTCCTTTGGAATTTTCCAAGGTTGTCCATTTGGAATGCCATTCTGGACACCGAGGCCTATGGGTTTTCACATTCTAGGAATCAAGGCCAAAACTACTGGATCCTGGGCTTCTAACTTGAGTATCTTCTCTTAGAGTTTCAGAAATATGAACAGGTGAAGGAACAGGGCCTGGAGAGATCAAAGCCTATGGGCTAATCTTTCCACTTACCTGAAGAAAAGTGTGTTGACGTGTGCTCCAAGTCAGCATCCCCAGTCACTGAAAGGCAGAAGAGATGATGGGAACGTGAGCTGGGCTTTGGACATGGAGACTGGCTCAAGAGCAAAGTTTGACATGAGGTGCCATTTGAGGGAGCACTCAGTGTTCTTCTAAGGTCGTGCCCCTGGACCAAATGGGGGTCTTTGATGGGGAGAAACAGCATGGGGATTTTGGCCTGCACCCTGGCCCAAGCGGGCCCCAGGTAGACCAGGAACCCCACTGCCCCCGTCTTTTAGTCTGGGCCTCAGCGTAATCCTATTGAGCATGATTTTTATGTCATCATCTCTCTTCGTGACATTGGTTTGTCATCATTGACCCAGCTCTCGAGAGAGCGAAGCTCCGCCTGGGGTTTGGACAAAGTACCATTGCTTACCAGTGCCGCAAACAGTGTCTTGGAGGTATGTATTCACATGGTTGGCACAAAGGTTCAGCACGATGGATGCCCTGCTCTGATTTGATCAGAAGCCCTTCTGTTCTTGTTAACGGCCCCTTTGGGAAAGAAGAAACGTGTTGTCAGGGCCATCCTCGGCATGCACTTGATGACCAGAAAAGGACTGCTGATGCTGACCAGGGCCCGAGAGCATGATGCCGTGGAGGGGGATCATTGTGCCACGTGAGATATCACTGATCAATGGCCCGAGGACTAGTGCCAACCCTGAGTGATGGCCCCTTTTTAGCCTGCCCAAGCAAAGTTCAGTCACTCAGGAGCATGCTCTTCCCGCTGACTGCTCTGATTGCTAGCATGAGACTGCTGCCGATTGTCAATCAGTAGGAAGGGCTTTGATACCTTGGAATCTTGCCTTTCCAGCATCAGGCATTCAAAGTTCTGAGACCTGGCCTCCACTTGATATGCTACCCATGTGTCTCATTCATCTCTGCCTCCCATCATCCACACACTAATGGAGAAAGAATCCATTCTCTTATGACTGTTTTTGCACCACCAGAGATTGTGCCGGGTCTGGCCTTCTCTGCATCTCTGGGGATATTCCTATTCCTTGGCAGAATGTTGAAGGCAATGTCTTCCAGGGAAGATGACTATGCATGGGGCTATGCATGATAGGCACGGCCTCTGCTGTGTGCTACAAACTTCTCAAAATCAGACTGCCTTCCTGGCTCCAGCGCCCTGAAGAGACCATCTGTCATGGTAGAGCATCCAGAATTGTCTCCCTTTGTGCCTTGCTGGAAAGGTAGGTCAAGTTCACTAAATCACAGGTAGGGGGCAAGGTTGAGGATGCCCAGGTGCCATTTGATATACTAGTGTTCCCTGTGTTGAATTAGCACTGGGAAAGAACTCTGGACCGCCAAATGTGTCTCGGACATGCCAAATGGCAATTCATCCCGAAAGTCCATTATGGCAAGGCATTCGCTTCGAAAGCCACTGCCAAAGCTGACTAGAACTTCTTTCTCAGGCAGTCCCAATCAGGATCATAGCTGAGTAGGAGGGTCATCTGTGTATGTGTCACTTTCATTGGTTATTTAAAAAGGAAACTTTCATGGCCTATGTATAGCACAGAAAATCAGGTGGGCGGAGTAGACAGAACAGAATGCTGGGACGGAGGGAAGTGAGGCAAACGCAAAGAAGCTCTGGCCCAAGATGGCCCAAGATGGACACCTCCTGTTGCTATACACATTAATAGAAATGGGTAAATCAAGATGTGAGATTTAGCCGGTAAGAGGCTAGATCTAATGGGCCAAGCAGTGTTTAAATGAAGACAATTTGTGTTTTGTAATTTTGGGTGTAAAGCTAGCCGGGCGGGAGCCGGGCGGGAGCCGGGTAGGACGAAAAACAGGCCTGCTCTGCTCCAGACTAAGATCGGCCATAATGAAAACAAGAGTCACAGAATGAAATTTCCAGTTCTTCTCTAGGTGTCATGGGAACCGTAGAAGGACCCACCATTATGACTCCTCCTTGTGACCTATTCTGAGGCCCCAGATGGGTGGCTCATGTCCTTGTCCTTTGGAATTTTCCAAGGTTGTCCATTTGGAATGCCATTCTGGACACCGAGGCCTATGGGTTTTCACATTCTAGGAATCAAGGCCAAAACTACTGGATCCTGGGCTTCTAACTTGAGTATCTTCTCTTAGAGTTTCAGAAATATGAACAGGTGAAGGAACAGGGCCTGGAGAGATCAAAGCCTATGGGCTAATCTTTCCACTTACCTGAAGAAAAGTGTGTTGACGTGTGCTCCAAGTCAGCATCCCCAGTCACTGAAAGGCAGAAGAGATGATGGGAACGTGAGCTGGGCTTTGGACATGGAGACTGGCTCAAGAGCAAAGTTTGACATGAGGTGCCATTTGAGGGAGCACTCAGTGTTCTTCTAAGGTCGTGCCCCTGGACCAAATGGGGGTCTTTGATGGGGAGAAACAGCATGGGGATTTTGGCCTGCACCCTGGCCCAAGCGGGCCCCAGGTAGACCAGGAACCCCACTGCCCCCGTCTTTTAGTCTGGGCCTCAGCGTAATCCTATTGAGCATGATTTTTATGTCATCATCTCTCTTCGTGACATTGGTTTGTCATCATTGACCCAGCTCTCGAGAGAGCGAAGCTCCGCCTGGGGTTTGGACAAAGTACCATTGCTTACCAGTGCCGCAAACAGTGTCTTGGAGGTATGTATTCACATGGTTGGCACAAAGGTTCAGCACGATGGATGCCCTGCTCTGATTTGATCAGAAGCCCTTCTGTTCTTGTTAACGGCCCCTTTGGGAAAGAAGAAACGTGTTGTCAGGGCCATCCTCGGCATGCACTTGATGACCAGAAAAGGACTGCTGATGCTGACCAGGGCCCGAGAGCATGATGCCGTGGAGGGGGATCATTGTGCCACGTGAGATATCACTGATCAATGGCCCGAGGACTAGTGCCAACCCTGAGTGATGGCCCCTTTTTAGCCTGCCCAAGCAAAGTTCAGTCACTCAGGAGCATGCTCTTCCCGCTGACTGCTCTGATTGCTAGCATGAGACTGCTGCCGATTGTCAATCAGTAGGAAGGGCTTTGATACCTTGGAATCTTGCCTTTCCAGCATCAGGCATTCAAAGTTCTGAGACCTGGCCTCCACTTGATATGCTACCCATGTGTCTCATTCATCTCTGCCTCCCATCATCCACACACTAATGGAGAAAGAATCCATTCTCTTATGACTGTTTTTGCACCACCAGAGATTGTGCCGGGTCTGGCCTTCTCTGCATCTCTGGGGATATTCCTATTCCTTGGCAGAATGTTGAAGGCAATGTCTTCCAGGGAAGATGGCTATGCATGGGGCTATGCATGATAGGCACGGCCTCTGCTGTGTGCTACAAACTTCTCAAAATCAGACTGCCTTCCTGGCTCCAGCGCCCTGAAGAGACCATCTGTCATGGTAGAGCATCCAGAATTGTCTCCCTTTGTGCCTTGCTGAAAAGGTAGGTCAAGTTCACTAAATCACAGGTAGGGGGCAAGGTTGAGGATGCCCAGGTGCCATTTGATATACTAGTGTTCCCTGTGTTGAATTAGCACTGGGAAAGAACTCTGGACCGCCAAATGTGTCTCGGACATGCCAAATGGCAATTCATCCCGAAAGTCCATTATGGCAAGGCATTCGCTTCGAAAGCCACTGCCAAAGCTGACTAGAACTTCTTTCTCAGGCAGTCCCAATCAGGATCATCAGCTGATGTAGGAGGGTCATCTGTTTATGTGTCACTTTCATTGGTTATTTAAAAAGGAAACTTTCATGGCCTATGTATAGCACAGAAAATCAGGTGGGTGGAGTAGACAGAACAGAATGCTGGGATGGAGGGAAGTGAGGCAAACGCAAAGAAGCTCTGGCCCAAGATGGCCCAAGATGGACACCTCCTGTTGCTATACACATTAATAGAAATGGGTAAATCAAGATGTGAGATTTAGCCGGTAAGAGGCTAGATCTAATGGGCCAAGCAGTGTTTAAATGAAGACAATTTGTGTTTTGTAATTTTGGGTGTAAAGCTAGCCGGGCGGGAGCCGGGCAGGACAAAAAACAGGCCTGCTCTGCTCCAGACTAAGATCGGCCATAATGAAAACAAGAGTCACAGAATGAAATTTCCAGTTCTTCTCTAGGTGTCATGGGAACCGTAGAAGGACCCACCATTATGACTCCTCCTTGTGACCTATTCTGAGGCCCCAGATGGGTGGCTCATGTCCTTGTCCTTTGGAATTTTCCAAGGTTGTCCATTTGGAATGCCATTCTGGACACCGAGGCCTATGGGTTTTCACATTCTAGGAATCAAGGCCAAAACTACTGGATCCTGGGCTTCTAACTTGAGTATCTTCTCTTAGAGTTTCAGAAATATGAACAGGTGAAGGAACAGGGCCTGGAGAGATCAAAGCCTATGGGCTAATCTTTCCACTTACCTGAAGAAAAGTGTGTTGACGTGTGCTCCAAGTCAGCATCCCCAGTCACTGAAAGGCAGAAGAGATGATGGGAACGTGAGCTGGGCTTTGGACATGGAGACTGGCTCAAGAGCAAAGTTTGACATGAGGTGCCATTTGAGGGAGCACTCAGTGTTCTTCTAAGGTCGTGCCCCTGGACCAAATGGGGGTCTTTGATGGGGAGAAACAGCATGGGGATTTTGGCCTGCACCCTGGCCCAAGCGGGCCCCAGGTAGACCAGGAACCCCACTGCCCCCGTCTTTTAGTCTGGGCCTCAGCGTAATCCTATTGAGCATGATTTTTATGTCATCATCTCTCTTCGTGACATTGGTTTGTCATCATTGACCCAGCTCTCGAGAGAGCGAAGCTCCGCCTGGGGTTTGGACAAAGTACCATTGCTTACCAGTGCCGCAAACAGTGTCTTGGAGGTATGTATTCACATGGTTGGCACAAAGGTTCAGCACGATGGATGCCCTGCTCTGATTTGATCAGAAGCCCTTCTGTTCTTGTTAACGGCCCCTTTGGGAAAGAAGAAACGTGTTGTCAGGGCCATCCTCGGCATGCACTTGATGACCAGAAAAGGACTGCTGATGCTGACCAGGGCCCGAGAGCATGATGCCGTGGAGGGGGATCATTGTGCCACGTGAGATATCACTGATCAATGGCCCGAGGACTAGTGCCAACCCTGAGTGATGGCCCCTTTTTAGCCTGCCCAAGCAAAGTTCAGTCACTCAGGAGCATGCTCTTCCCGCTGACTGCTCTGATTGCTAGCATGAGACTGCTGCCGATTGTCAATCAGTAGGAAGGGCTTTGATACCTTGGAATCTTGCCTTTCCAGCATCAGGCATTCAAAGTTCTGAGACCTGGCCTCCACTTGATATGCTACCCATGTGTCTCATTCATCTCTGCCTCCCATCATCCACACACTAATGGAGAAAGAATCCATTCTCTTATGACTGTTTTTGCACCACCAGAGATTGTGCCGGGTCTGGCCTTCTCTGCATCTCTGGGGATATTCCTATTCCTTGGCAGAATGTTGAAGGCAATGTCTTCCAGGGAAGATGACTATGCATGGGGCTATGCATGATAGGCACGGCCTCTGCTGTGTGCTACAAACTTCTCAAAATCAGACTGCCTTCCTGGCTCCAGCGCCCTGAAGAGACCATCTGTCATGGTAGAGCATCCAGAATTGTCTCCCTTTGTGCCTTGCTGGAAAGGTAGGTCAAGTTCACTAAATCACAGGTAGGGGGCAAGGTTGAGGATGCCCAGGTGCCATTTGATATACTAGTGTTCCCTGTGTTGAATTAGCACTGGGAAAGAACTCTGGACCGCCAAATGTGTCTCGGACATGCCAAATGGCAATTCATCCCGAAAGTCCATTATGGCAAGGCATTCGCTTCGAAAGCCACTGCCAAAGCTGACTAGAACTTCTTTCTCAGGCAGTCCCAATCAGGATCATCAGCTGAGTAGGAGGGTCATCTGTGTATGTGTCACTTTCATTGGTTATTTAAAAAGGAAACTTTCATGGCCTATGTATAGCACAGAAAATCAGGTGGGTGGAGTAGACAGAACAGAATGCTGGGACGGAGGGAAGTGAGGCAAACGCAAAGAAGCTCTGGCCCAAGATGGCCCAAGATGGACACCTCCTGTTGCTATACACATTAATAGAAATGGGTAAATCAAGATGTGAGATTTAGCCGGTAAGAGGCTAGATCTAATGGGCCAAGCAGTGTTTAAATGAAGACAATTTGTGTTTTGTAATTTTGGGTGTAAAGCTAGCCGGGCGGGAGCCGGGCAGGACGAAAAACAGGCCTGCTCTGCTCCAGACTAAGATCGGCCATAATGAAAACAAGAGTCACAGAATGAAATTTCCAGTTCTTCTCTAGGTGTCATGGGAACCGTAGAAGGACCCACCATTATGACTCCTCCTTGTGACCTATTCTGAGGCCCCAGATGGGTGGCTCATGTCCTTGTCCTTTGGAATTTTCCAAGGTTGTCCATTTGGAATGCCATTCTGGACACCGAGGCCTATGGGTTTTCACATTCTAGGAATCAAGGCCAAAACTACTGGATCCTGGGCTTCTAACTTGAGTATCTTCTCTTAGAGTTTCAGAAATATGAACAGGTGAAGGAACAGGGCCTGGAGAGATCAAAGCCTATGGGCTAATCTTTCCACTTACCTGAAGAAAAGTGTGTTGACGTGTGCTCCAAGTCAGCATCCCCAGTCACTGAAAGGCAGAAGAGATGATGGGAACGTGAGCTGGGCTTTGGACATGGAGACTGGCTCAAGAGCAAAGTTTGACATGAGGTGCCATTTGAGGGAGCACTCAGTGTTCTTCTAAGGTCGTGCCCCTGGACCAAATGGGGGTCTTTGATGGGGAGAAACAGCATGGGGATTTTGGCCTGCACCCTGGCCCAAGCGGGCCCCAGGTAGACCAGGAACCCCACTGCCCCCGTCTTTTAGTCTGGGCCTCAGCGTAATCCTATTGAGCATGATTTTTATGTCATCATCTCTCTTCGTGACATTGGTTTGTCATCATTGACCCAGCTCTCGAGAGAGCGAAGCTCCGCCTGGGGTTTGGACAAAGTACCATTGCTTACCAGTGCCGCAAACAGTGTCTTGGAGGTATGTATTCACATGGTTGGCACAAAGGTTCAGCACGATGGATGCCCTGCTCTGATTTGATCAGAAGCCCTTCTGTTCTTGTTAACGGCCCCTTTGGGAAAGAAGAAACGTGTTGTCAGGGCCATCCTCGGCATGCACTTGATGACCAGAAAAGGACTGCTGATGCTGACCAGGGCCCGAGAGCATGATGCCGTGGAGGGGGATCATTGTGCCACGTGAGATATCACTGATCAATGGCCCGAGGACTAGTGCCAACCCTGAGTGATGGCCCCTTTTTAGCCTGCCCAAGCAAAGTTCAGTCACTCAGGAGCATGCTCTTCCCGCTGACTGCTCTGATTGCTAGCATGAGACTGCTGCCGATTGTCAATCAGTAGGAAGGGCTTTGATACCTTGGAATCTTGCCTTTCCAGCATCAGGCATTCAAAGTTCTGAGACCTGGCCTCCACTTGATATGCTACCCATGTGTCTCATTCATCTCTGCCTCCCATCATCCACACACTAATGGAGAAAGAATCCATTCTCTTATGACTGTTTTTGCACCACCAGAGATTGTGCCGGGTCTGGCCTTCTCTGCATCTCTGGGGATATTCCTATTCCTTGGCAGAATGTTGAAGGCAATGTCTTCCAGGGAAGATGACTATGCATGGGGCTATGCATGATAGGCACGGCCTCTGCTGTGTGCTACAAACTTCTCAAAATCAGACTGCCTTCCTGGCTCCAGCGCCCTGAAGAGACCATCTGTCATGGTAGAGCATCCAGAATTGTCTCCCTTTGTGCCTTGCTGGAAAGGTAGGTCAAGTTCACTAAATCACAGGTAGGGGGCAAGGTTGAGGATGCCCAGGTGCCATTTGATATACTAGTGTTCCCTGTGTTGAATTAGCACTGGGAAAGAACTCTGGACCGCCAAATGTGTCTCGGACATGCCAAATGGCAATTCATCCCGAAAGTCCATTATGGCAAGGCATTCGCTTCGAAAGCCACTGCCAAAGCTGACTAGAACTTCTTTCTCAGGCAGTCCCAATCAGGATCATAGCTGAGTAGGAGGGTCATCTGTGTATGTGTCACTTTCATTGGTTATTTAAAAAGGAAACTTTCATGGCCTATGTATAGCACAGAAAATCAGGTGGGCGGAGTAGACAGAACAGAATGCTGGGACGGAGGGAAGTGAGGCAAACGCAAAGAAGCTCTGGCCCAAGATGGCCCAAGATGGACACCTCCTGTTGCTATACACATTAATAGAAATGGGTAAATCAAGATGTGAGATTTAGCCGGTAAGAGGCTAGATCTAATGGGCCAAGCAGTGTTTAAATGAAGACAATTTGTGTTTTGTAATTTTGGGTGTAAAGCTAGCCGGGCGGGAGCCGGGCGGGAGCCGGGTAGGACGAAAAACAGGCCTGCTCTGCTCCAGACTAAGATCGGCCATAATGAAAACAAGAGTCACAGAATGAAATTTCCAGTTCTTCTCTAGGTGTCATGGGAACCGTAGAAGGACCCACCATTATGACTCCTCCTTGTGACCTATTCTGAGGCCCCAGATGGGTGGCTCATGTCCTTGTCCTTTGGAATTTTCCAAGGTTGTCCATTTGGAATGCCATTCTGGACACCGAGGCCTATGGGTTTTCACATTCTAGGAATCAAGGCCAAAACTACTGGATCCTGGGCTTCTAACTTGAGTATCTTCTCTTAGAGTTTCAGAAATATGAACAGGTGAAGGAACAGGGCCTGGAGAGATCAAAGCCTATGGGCTAATCTTTCCACTTACCTGAAGAAAAGTGTGTTGACGTGTGCTCCAAGTCAGCATCCCCAGTCACTGAAAGGCAGAAGAGATGATGGGAACGTGAGCTGGGCTTTGGACATGGAGACTGGCTCAAGAGCAAAGTTTGACATGAGGTGCCATTTGAGGGAGCACTCAGTGTTCTTCTAAGGTCGTGCCCCTGGACCAAATGGGGGTCTTTGATGGGGAGAAACAGCATGGGGATTTTGGCCTGCACCCTGGCCCAAGCGGGCCCCAGGTAGACCAGGAACCCCACTGCCCCCGTCTTTTAGTCTGGGCCTCAGCGTAATCCTATTGAGCATGATTTTTATGTCATCATCTCTCTTCGTGACATTGGTTTGTCATCATTGACCCAGCTCTCGAGAGAGCGAAGCTCCGCCTGGGGTTTGGACAAAGTACCATTGCTTACCAGTGCCGCAAACAGTGTCTTGGAGGTATGTATTCACATGGTTGGCACAAAGGTTCAGCACGATGGATGCCCTGCTCTGATTTGATCAGAAGCCCTTCTGTTCTTGTTAACGGCCCCTTTGGGAAAGAAGAAACGTGTTGTCAGGGCCATCCTCGGCATGCACTTGATGACCAGAAAAGGACTGCTGATGCTGACCAGGGCCCGAGAGCATGATGCCGTGGAGGGGGATCATTGTGCCACGTGAGATATCACTGATCAATGGCCCGAGGACTAGTGCCAACCCTGAGTGATGGCCCCTTTTTAGCCTGCCCAAGCAAAGTTCAGTCACTCAGGAGCATGCTCTTCCCGCTGACTGCTCTGATTGCTAGCATGAGACTGCTGCCGATTGTCAATCAGTAGGAAGGGCTTTGATACCTTGGAATCTTGCCTTTCCAGCATCAGGCATTCAAAGTTCTGAGACCTGGCCTCCACTTGATATGCTACCCATGTGTCTCATTCATCTCTGCCTCCCATCATCCACACACTAATGGAGAAAGAATCCATTCTCTTATGACTGTTTTTGCACCACCAGAGATTGTGCCGGGTCTGGCCTTCTCTGCATCTCTGGGGATATTCCTATTCCTTGGCAGAATGTTGAAGGCAATGTCTTCCAGGGAAGATGGCTATGCATGGGGCTATGCATGATAGGCACGGCCTCTGCTGTGTGCTACAAACTTCTCAAAATCAGACTGCCTTCCTGGCTCCAGCGCCCTGAAGAGACCATCTGTCATGGTAGAGCATCCAGAATTGTCTCCCTTTGTGCCTTGCTGAAAAGGTAGGTCAAGTTCACTAAATCACAGGTAGGGGGCAAGGTTGAGGATGCCCAGGTGCCATTTGATATACTAGTGTTCCCTGTGTTGAATTAGCACTGGGAAAGAACTCTGGACCGCCAAATGTGTCTCGGACATGCCAAATGGCAATTCATCCCGAAAGTCCATTATGGCAAGGCATTCGCTTCGAAAGCCACTGCCAAAGCTGACTAGAACTTCTTTCTCAGGCAGTCCCAATCAGGATCATCAGCTGATGTAGGAGGGTCATCTGTTTATGTGTCACTTTCATTGGTTATTTAAAAAGGAAACTTTCATGGCCTATGTATAGCACAGAAAATCAGGTGGGTGGAGTAGACAGAACAGAATGCTGGGATGGAGGGAAGTGAGGCAAACGCAAAGAAGCTCTGGCCCAAGATGGCCCAAGATGGACACCTCCTGTTGCTATACACATTAATAGAAATGGGTAAATCAAGATGTGAGATTTAGCCGGTAAGAGGCTAGATCTAATGGGCCAAGCAGTGTTTAAATGAAGACAATTTGTGTTTTGTAATTTTGGGTGTAAAGCTAGCCGGGCGGGAGCCGGGCAGGACAAAAAACAGGCCTGCTCTGCTCCAGACTAAGATCGGCCATAATGAAAACAAGAGTCACAGAATGAAATTTCCAGTTCTTCTCTAGGTGTCATGGGAACCGTAGAAGGACCCACCATTATGACTCCTCCTTGTGACCTATTCTGAGGCCCCAGATGGGTGGCTCATGTCCTTGTCCTTTGGAATTTTCCAAGGTTGTCCATTTGGAATGCCATTCTGGACACCGAGGCCTATGGGTTTTCACATTCTAGGAATCAAGGCCAAAACTACTGGATCCTGGGCTTCTAACTTGAGTATCTTCTCTTAGAGTTTCAGAAATATGAACAGGTGAAGGAACAGGGCCTGGAGAGATCAAAGCCTATGGGCTAATCTTTCCACTTACCTGAAGAAAAGTGTGTTGACGTGTGCTCCAAGTCAGCATCCCCAGTCACTGAAAGGCAGAAGAGATGATGGGAACGTGAGCTGGGCTTTGGACATGGAGACTGGCTCAAGAGCAAAGTTTGACATGAGGTGCCATTTGAGGGAGCACTCAGTGTTCTTCTAAGGTCGTGCCCCTGGACCAAATGGGGGTCTTTGATGGGGAGAAACAGCATGGGGATTTTGGCCTGCACCCTGGCCCAAGCGGGCCCCAGGTAGACCAGGAACCCCACTGCCCCCGTCTTTTAGTCTGGGCCTCAGCGTAATCCTATTGAGCATGATTTTTATGTCATCATCTCTCTTCGTGACATTGGTTTGTCATCATTGACCCAGCTCTCGAGAGAGCGAAGCTCCGCCTGGGGTTTGGACAAAGTACCATTGCTTACCAGTGCCGCAAACAGTGTCTTGGAGGTATGTATTCACATGGTTGGCACAAAGGTTCAGCACGATGGATGCCCTGCTCTGATTTGATCAGAAGCCCTTCTGTTCTTGTTAACGGCCCCTTTGGGAAAGAAGAAACGTGTTGTCAGGGCCATCCTCGGCATGCACTTGATGACCAGAAAAGGACTGCTGATGCTGACCAGGGCCCGAGAGCATGATGCCGTGGAGGGGGATCATTGTGCCACGTGAGATATCACTGATCAATGGCCCGAGGACTAGTGCCAACCCTGAGTGATGGCCCCTTTTTAGCCTGCCCAAGCAAAGTTCAGTCACTCAGGAGCATGCTCTTCCCGCTGACTGCTCTGATTGCTAGCATGAGACTGCTGCCGATTGTCAATCAGTAGGAAGGGCTTTGATACCTTGGAATCTTGCCTTTCCAGCATCAGGCATTCAAAGTTCTGAGACCTGGCCTCCACTTGATATGCTACCCATGTGTCTCATTCATCTCTGCCTCCCATCATCCACACACTAATGGAGAAAGAATCCATTCTCTTATGACTGTTTTTGCACCACCAGAGATTGTGCCGGGTCTGGCCTTCTCTGCATCTCTGGGGATATTCCTATTCCTTGGCAGAATGTTGAAGGCAATGTCTTCCAGGGAAGATGGCTATGCATGGGGCTATGCATGATAGGCACGGCCTCTGCTGTGTGCTACAAACTTCTCAAAATCAGACTGCCTTCCTGGCTCCAGCGCCCTGAAGAGACCATCTGTCATGGTAGAGCATCCAGAATTGTCTCCCTTTGTGCCTTGCTGGAAAGGTAGGTCAAGTTCACTAAATCACAGGTAGGGGGCAAGGTTGAGGATGCCCAGGTGCCATTTGATATACTAGTGTTCCCTGTGTTGAATTAGCACTGGGAAAGAACTCTGGACCGCCAAATGTGTCTCGGACATGCCAAATGGCAATTCATCCCGAAAGTCCATTATGGCAAGGCATTCGCTTCGAAAGCCACTGCCAAAGCTGACTAGAACTTCTTTCTCAGGCAGTCCCAATCAGGATCATCAGCTGAGTAGGAGGGTCATCTGTGTATGTGTCACTTTCATTGGTTATTTAAAAAGGAAACTTTCATGGCCTATGTATAGCACAGAAAATCAGGTGGGCGGAGTAGACAGAACAGAATGCTGGGACGGAGGGAAGTGAGGCAAACGCAAAGAAGCTCTGGCCCAAGATGGCCCAAGATGGACACCTCCTGTTGCTATACACATTAATAGAAATGGGTAAATCAAGATGTGAGATTTAGCCGGTAAGAGGCTAGATCTAATGGGCCAAGCAGTGTTTAAATGAAGACAATTTGTGTTTTGTAATTTTGGGTGTAAAGCTAGCCGGGCGGGAGCCGGGCGGGAGCCGGGTAGGACGAAAAACAGGCCTGCTCTGCTCCAGACTAAGATCGGCCATAATGAAAACAAGAGTCACAGAATGAAATTTCCAGTTCTTCTCTAGGTGTCATGGGAACCGTAGAAGGACCCACCATTATGACTCCTCCTTGTGACCTATTCTGAGGCCCCAGATGGGTGGCTCATGTCCTTGTCCTTTGGAATTTTCCAAGGTTGTCCATTTGGAATGCCATTCTGGACACCGAGGCCTATGGGTTTTCACATTCTAGGAATCAAGGCCAAAACTACTGGATCCTGGGCTTCTAACTTGAGTATCTTCTCTTAGAGTTTCAGAAATATGAACAGGTGAAGGAACAGGGCCTGGAGAGATCAAAGCCTATGGGCTAATCTTTCCACTTACCTGAAGAAAAGTGTGTTGACGTGTGCTCCAAGTCAGCATCCCCAGTCACTGAAAGGCAGAAGAGATGATGGGAACGTGAGCTGGGCTTTGGACATGGAGACTGGCTCAAGAGCAAAGTTTGACATGAGGTGCCATTTGAGGGAGCACTCAGTGTTCTTCTAAGGTCGTGCCCCTGGACCAAATGGGGGTCTTTGATGGGGAGAAACAGCATGGGGATTTTGGCCTGCACCCTGGCCCAAGCGGGCCCCAGGTAGACCAGGAACCCCACTGCCCCCGTCTTTTAGTCTGGGCCTCAGCGTAATCCTATTGAGCATGATTTTTATGTCATCATCTCTCTTCGTGACATTGGTTTGTCATCATTGACCCAGCTCTCGAGAGAGCGAAGCTCCGCCTGGGGTTTGGACAAAGTACCATTGCTTACCAGTGCCGCAAACAGTGTCTTGGAGGTATGTATTCACATGGTTGGCACAAAGGTTCAGCACGATGGATGCCCTGCTCTGATTTGATCAGAAGCCCTTCTGTTCTTGTTAACGGCCCCTTTGGGAAAGAAGAAACGTGTTGTCAGGGCCATCCTCGGCATGCACTTGATGACCAGAAAAGGACTGCTGATGCTGACCAGGGCCCGAGAGCATGATGCCGTGGAGGGGGATCATTGTGCCACGTGAGATATCACTGATCAATGGCCCGAGGACTAGTGCCAACCCTGAGTGATGGCCCCTTTTTAGCCTGCCCAAGCAAAGTTCAGTCACTCAGGAGCATGCTCTTCCCGCTGACTGCTCTGATTGCTAGCATGAGACTGCTGCCGATTGTCAATCAGTAGGAAGGGCTTTGATACCTTGGAATCTTGCCTTTCCAGCATCAGGCATTCAAAGTTCTGAGACCTGGCCTCCACTTGATATGCTACCCATGTGTCTCATTCATCTCTGCCTCCCATCATCCACACACTAATGGAGAAAGAATCCATTCTCTTATGACTGTTTTTGCACCACCAGAGATTGTGCCGGGTCTGGCCTTCTCTGCATCTCTGGGGATATTCCTAGTCCTTGGCAGAATGTTGAAGGCAATGTCTTCCAGGGAAGATGGCTATGCATGGGGCTATGCATGATAGGCACGGCCTCTGCTGTGTGCTACAAACTTCTCAAAATCAGACTGCCTTCCTGGCTCCAGCGCCCTGAAGAGACCATCTGTCATGGTAGAGCATCCAGAATTGTCTCCCTTTGTGCCTTGCTGGAAAGGTAGGTCAAGTTCACTAAATCACAGGTAGGGGGCAAGGTTGAGGATGCCCAGGTGCCATTTGATATACTAGTGTTCCCTGTGTTGAATTAGCACTGGGAAAGAACTCTGGACCGCCAAATGTGTCTCGGACATGCCAAATGGCAATTCATCCCGAAAGTCCATTATGGCAAGGCATTCGCTTCGAAAGCCACTGCCAAAGCTGACTAGAACTTCTTTCTCAGGCAGTCCCAATCAGGATCATCAGCTGATGTAGGAGGGTCATCTGTTTATGTGTCACTTTCATTGGTTATTTAAAAAGGAAACTTTCATGGCCTATGTATAGCACAGAAAATCAGGTGGGTGGAGTAGACAGAACAGAATGCTGGGATGGAGGGAAGTGAGGCAAACGCAAAGAAGCTCTGGCCCAAGATGGCCCAAGATGGACACCTCCTGTTGCTATACACATTAATAGAAATGGGTAAATCAAGATGTGAGATTTAGCCGGTAAGAGGCTAGATCTAATGGGCCAAGCAGTGTTTAAATGAAGACAATTTGTGTTTTGTAATTTTGGGTGTAAAGCTAGCCGGGCGGGAGCCGGGCAGGACAAAAAACAGGCCTGCTCTGCTCCAGACTAAGATCGGCCATAATGAAAACAAGAGTCACAGAATGAAATTTCCAGTTCTTCTCTAGGTGTCATGGGAACCGTAGAAGGACCCACCATTATGACTCCTCCTTGTGACCTATTCTGAGGCCCCAGATGGGTGGCTCATGTCCTTGTCCTTTGGAATTTTCCAAGGTTGTCCATTTGGAATGCCATTCTGGACACCGAGGCCTATGGGTTTTCACATTCTAGGAATCAAGGCCAAAACTACTGGATCCTGGGCTTCTAACTTGAGTATCTTCTCTTAGAGTTTCAGAAATATGAACAGGTGAAGGAACAGGGCCTGGAGAGATCAAAGCCTATGGGCTAATCTTTCCACTTACCTGAAGAAAAGTGTGTTGACGTGTGCTCCAAGTCAGCATCCCCAGTCACTGAAAGGCAGAAGAGATGATGGGAACGTGAGCTGGGCTTTGGACATGGAGACTGGCTCAAGAGCAAAGTTTGACATGAGGTGCCATTTGAGGGAGCACTCAGTGTTCTTCTAAGGTCGTGCCCCTGGACCAAATGGGGGTCTTTGATGGGGAGAAACAGCATGGGGATTTTGGCCTGCACCCTGGCCCAAGCGGGCCCCAGGTAGACCAGGAACCCCACTGCCCCCGTCTTTTAGTCTGGGCCTCAGCGTAATCCTATTGAGCATGATTTTTATGTCATCATCTCTCTTCGTGACATTGGTTTGTCATCATTGACCCAGCTCTCGAGAGAGCGAAGCTCCGCCTGGGGTTTGGACAAAGTACCATTGCTTACCAGTGCCGCAAACAGTGTCTTGGAGGTATGTATTCACATGGTTGGCACAAAGGTTCAGCACGATGGATGCCCTGCTCTGATTTGATCAGAAGCCCTTCTGTTCTTGTTAACGGCCCCTTTGGGAAAGAAGAAACGTGTTGTCAGGGCCATCCTCGGCATGCACTTGATGACCAGAAAAGGACTGCTGATGCTGACCAGGGCCCGAGAGCATGATGCCGTGGAGGGGGATCATTGTGCCACGTGAGATATCACTGATCAATGGCCCGAGGACTAGTGCCAACCCTGAGTGATGGCCCCTTTTTAGCCTGCCCAAGCAAAGTTCAGTCACTCAGGAGCATGCTCTTCCCGCTGACTGCTCTGATTGCTAGCATGAGACTGCTGCCGATTGTCAATCAGTAGGAAGGGCTTTGATACCTTGGAATCTTGCCTTTCCAGCATCAGGCATTCAAAGTTCTGAGACCTGGCCTCCACTTGATATGCTACCCATGTGTCTCATTCATCTCTGCCTCCCATCATCCACACACTAATGGAGAAAGAATCCATTCTCTTATGACTGTTTTTGCACCACCAGAGATTGTGCCGGGTCTGGCCTTCTCTGCATCTCTGGGGATATTCCTATTCCTTGGCAGAATGTTGAAGGCAATGTCTTCCAGGGAAGATGGCTATGCATGGGGCTATGCATGATAGGCACGGCCTCTGCTGTGTGCTACAAACTTCTCAAAATCAGACTGCCTTCCTGGCTCCAGCGCCCTGAAGAGACCATCTGTCATGGTAGAGCATCCAGAATTGTCTCCCTTTGTGCCTTGCTGGAAAGGTAGGTCAAGTTCACTAAATCACAGGTAGGGGGCAAGGTTGAGGATGCCCAGGTGCCATTTGATATACTAGTGTTCCCTGTGTTGAATTAGCACTGGGAAAGAACTCTGGACCGCCAAATGTGTCTCGGACATGCCAAATGGCAATTCATCCCGAAAGTCCATTATGGCAAGGCATTCGCTTCGAAAGCCACTGCCAAAGCTGACTAGAACTTCTTTCTCAGGCAGTCCCAATCAGGATCATCAGCTGAGTAGGAGGGTCATCTGTGTATGTGTCACTTTCATTGGTTATTTAAAAAGGAAACTTTCATGGCCTATGTATAGCACAGAAAATCAGGTGGGCGGAGTAGACAGAACAGAATGCTGGGACGGAGGGAAGTGAGGCAAACGCAAAGAAGCTCTGGCCCAAGATGGCCCAAGATGGACACCTCCTGTTGCTATACACATTAATAGAAATGGGTAAATCAAGATGTGAGATTTAGCCGGTAAGAGGCTAGATCTAATGGGCCAAGCAGTGTTTAAATGAAGACAATTTGTGTTTTGTAATTTTGGGTGTAAAGCTAGCCGGGCGGGAGCCGGGCGGGAGCCGGGTAGGACGAAAAACAGGCCTGCTCTGCTCCAGACTAAGATCGGCCATAATGAAAACAAGAGTCACAGAATGAAATTTCCAGTTCTTCTCTAGGTGTCATGGGAACCGTAGAAGGACCCACCATTATGACTCCTCCTTGTGACCTATTCTGAGGCCCCAGATGGGTGGCTCATGTCCTTGTCCTTTGGAATTTTCCAAGGTTGTCCATTTGGAATGCCATTCTGGACACCGAGGCCTATGGGTTTTCACATTCTAGGAATCAAGGCCAAAACTACTGGATCCTGGGCTTCTAACTTGAGTATCTTCTCTTAGAGTTTCAGAAATATGAACAGGTGAAGGAACAGGGCCTGGAGAGATCAAAGCCTATGGGCTAATCTTTCCACTTACCTGAAGAAAAGTGTGTTGACGTGTGCTCCAAGTCAGCATCCCCAGTCACTGAAAGGCAGAAGAGATGATGGGAACGTGAGCTGGGCTTTGGACATGGAGACTGGCTCAAGAGCAAAGTTTGACATGAGGTGCCATTTGAGGGAGCACTCAGTGTTCTTCTAAGGTCGTGCCCCTGGACCAAATGGGGGTCTTTGATGGGGAGAAACAGCATGGGGATTTTGGCCTGCACCCTGGCCCAAGCGGGCCCCAGGTAGACCAGGAACCCCACTGCCCCCGTCTTTTAGTCTGGGCCTCAGCGTAATCCTATTGAGCATGATTTTTATGTCATCATCTCTCTTCGTGACATTGGTTTGTCATCATTGACCCAGCTCTCGAGAGAGCGAAGCTCCGCCTGGGGTTTGGACAAAGTACCATTGCTTACCAGTGCCGCAAACAGTGTCTTGGAGGTATGTATTCACATGGTTGGCACAAAGGTTCAGCACGATGGATGCCCTGCTCTGATTTGATCAGAAGCCCTTCTGTTCTTGTTAACGGCCCCTTTGGGAAAGAAGAAACGTGTTGTCAGGGCCATCCTCGGCATGCACTTGATGACCAGAAAAGGACTGCTGATGCTGACCAGGGCCCGAGAGCATGATGCCGTGGAGGGGGATCATTGTGCCACGTGAGATATCACTGATCAATGGCCCGAGGACTAGTGCCAACCCTGAGTGATGGCCCCTTTTTAGCCTGCCCAAGCAAAGTTCAGTCACTCAGGAGCATGCTCTTCCCGCTGACTGCTCTGATTGCTAGCATGAGACTGCTGCCGATTGTCAATCAGTAGGAAGGGCTTTGATACCTTGGAATCTTGCCTTTCCAGCATCAGGCATTCAAAGTTCTGAGACCTGGCCTCCACTTGATATGCTACCCATGTGTCTCATTCATCTCTGCCTCCCATCATCCACACACTAATGGAGAAAGAATCCATTCTCTTATGACTGTTTTTGCACCACCAGAGATTGTGCCGGGTCTGGCCTTCTCTGCATCTCTGGGGATATTCCTAGTCCTTGGCAGAATGTTGAAGGCAATGTCTTCCAGGGAAGATGGCTATGCATGGGGCTATGCATGATAGGCACGGCCTCTGCTGTGTGCTACAAACTTCTCAAAATCAGACTGCCTTCCTGGCTCCAGCGCCCTGAAGAGACCATCTGTCATGGTAGAGCATCCAGAATTGTCTCCCTTTGTGCCTTGCTGGAAAGGTAGGTCAAGTTCACTAAATCACAGGTAGGGGGCAAGGTTGAGGATGCCCAGGTGCCATTTGATATACTAGTGTTCCCTGTGTTGAATTAGCACTGGGAAAGAACTCTGGACCGCCAAATGTGTCTCGGACATGCCAAATGGCAATTCATCCCGAAAGTCCATTATGGCAAGGCATTCGCTTCGAAAGCCACTGCCAAAGCTGACTAGAACTTCTTTCTCAGGCAGTCCCAATCAGGATCATCAGCTGAGTAGGAGGGTCATCTGTGTATGTGTCACTTTCATTGGTTATTTAAAAAGGAAACTTTCATGGCCTATGTATAGCACAGAAAATCAGGTGGGCGGAGTAGACAGAACAGAATGCTGGGACGGAGGGAAGTGAGGCAAACGCAAAGAAGCTCTGGCCCAAGATGGCCCAAGATGGACACCTCCTGTTGCTATACACATTAATAGAAATGGGTAAATCAAGATGTGAGATTTAGCCGGTAAGAGGCTAGATCTAATGGGCCAAGCAGTGTTTAAATGAAGACAATTTGTGTTTTGTAATTTTGGGTGTAAAGCTAGCCGGGCGGGAGCCGGGCGGGAGCCGGGTAGGACGAAAAACAGGCCTGCTCTGCTCCAGACTAAGATCGGCCATAATGAAAACAAGAGTCACAGAATGAAATTTCCAGTTCTTCTCTAGGTGTCATGGGAACCGTAGAAGGACCCACCATTATGACTCCTCCTTGTGACCTATTCTGAGGCCCCAGATGGGTGGCTCATGTCCATGTCCTTTGGAATTTTCCAAGGTTGTCCATTTGGAATGCCATTCTGGACACCGAGGCCTATGGGTTTTCACATTCTAGGAATCAAGGCCAAAACTACTGGATCCTGGGCTTCTAACTTGAGTATCTTCTCTTAGAGTTTCAGAAATATGAACAGGTGAAGGAACAGGGCCTGGAGAGATCAAAGCCTATGGGCTAATCTTTCCACTTACCTGAAGAAAAGTGTGTTGACGTGTGCTCCAAGTCAGCATCCCCAGTCACTGAAAGGCAGAAGAGATGATGGGAACGTGAGCTGGGCTTTGGACATGGAGACTGGCTCAAGAGCAAAGTTTGACATGAGGTGCCATTTGAGGGAGCACTCAGTGTTCTTCTAAGGTCGTGCCCCTGGACCAAATGGGGGTCTTTGATGGGGAGAAACAGCATGGGGATTTTGGCCTGCACCCTGGCCCAAGCGGGCCCCAGGTAGACCAGGAACCCCACTGCCCCCGTCTTTTAGTCTGGGCCTCAGCGTAATCCTATTGAGCATGATTTTTATGTCATCATCTCTCTTCGTGACATTGGTTTGTCATCATTGACCCAGCTCTCGAGAGAGCAAAGCTCCGCCTGGGGTTTGGACAAAGTACCATTGCTTACCAGTGCCGCAAACAGTGTCTTGGAGGTATGTATTCACATGGTTGGCACAAAGGTTCAGCACGATGGATGCCCTGCTCTGATTTGATCAGAAGCCCTTCTGTTCTTGTTAACGGCCCCTTTGGGAAAGAAGAAACGTGTTGTCAGGGCCATCCTCGGCATGCACTTGATGACCAGAAAAGGACTGCTGATGCTGACCAGGGCCCGAGAGCATGATGCCGTGGAGGGGGATCATTGTGCCACGTGAGATATCACTGATCAATGGCCCGAGGACTAGTGCCAACCCTGAGTGATGGCCCCTTTTTAGCCTGCCCAAGCAAAGTTCAGTCACTCAGGAGCATGCTCTTCCCGCTGACTGCTCTGATTGCTAGCATGAGACTGCTGCCGATTGTCAATCAGTAGGAAGGGCTTTGATACCTTGGAATCTTGCCTTTCCAGCATCAGGCATTCAAAGTTCTGAGACCTGGCCTCCACTTGATATGCTACCCATGTGTCTCATTCATCTCTGCCTCCCATCATCCACACACTAATGGAGAAAGAATCCATTCTCTTATGACTGTTTTTGCACCACCAGAGATTGTGCCGGGTCTGGCCTTCTCTGCATCTCTGGGGATATTCCTAGTCCTTGGCAGAATGTTGAAGGCAATGTCTTCCAGGGAAGATGGCTATGCATGGGGCTATGCATGATAGGCACGGCCTCTGCTGTGTGCTACAAACTTCTCAAAATCAGACTGCCTTCCTGGCTCCAGCGCCCTGAAGAGACCATCTGTCATGGTAGAGCATCCAGAATTGTCTCCCTTTGTGCCTTGCTGGAAAGGTAGGTCAAGTTCACTAAATCACAGGTAGGGGGCAAGGTTGAGGATGCCCAGGTGCCATTTGATATACTAGTGTTCCCTGTGTTGAATTAGCACTGGGAAAGAACTCTGGACCGCCAAATGTGTCTCGGACATGCCAAATGGCAATTCATCCCGAAAGTCCATTATGGCAAGGCATTCGCTTCGAAAGCCACTGCCAAAGCTGACTAGAACTTCTTTCTCAGGCAGTCCCAATCAGGATCATCAGCTGAGTAGGAGGGTCATCTGTGTATGTGTCACTTTCATTGGTTATTTAAAAAGGAAACTTTCATGGCCTATGTATAGCACAGAAAATCAGGTGGGCGGAGTAGACAGAACAGAATGCTGGGACGGAGGGAAGTGAGGCAAACGCAAAGAAGCTCTGGCCCAAGATGGCCCAAGATGGACACCTCCTGTTGCTATACACATTAATAGAAATGGGTAAATCAAGATGTGAGATTTAGCCGGTAAGAGGCTAGATCTAATGGGCCAAGCAGTGTTTAAATGAAGACAATTTGTGTTTTGTAATTTTGGGTGTAAAGCTAGCCGGGCGGGAGCCGGGCGGGAGCCGGGTAGGACGAAAAACAGGCCTGCTCTGCTCCAGACTAAGATCGGCCATAATGAAAACAAGAGTCACAGAATGAAATTTCCAGTTCTTCTCTAGGTGTCATGGGAACCGTAGAAGGACCCACCATTATGACTCCTCCTTGTGACCTATTCTGAGGCCCCAGATGGGTGGCTCATGTCCATGTCCTTTGGAATTTTCCAAGGTTGTCCATTTGGAATGCCATTCTGGACACCGAGGCCTATGGGTTTTCACATTCTAGGAATCAAGGCCAAAATTACTGGATCCTGGGCTTCTAACTTGAGTATCTTCTCTTAGAGTTTCAGAAATATGAACAGGTGAAGGAACAGGGCCTGGAGAGATCAAAGCCTATGGGCTAATCTTTCCACTTACCTGAAGAAAAGTGTGTTGACGTGTGCTCCAAGTCAGCATCCCCAGTCACTGAAAGGCAGAAGAGATGATGGGAACGTGAGCTGGGCTTTGGACATGGAGACTGGCTCAAGAGCAAAGTTTGACATGAGGTGCCATTTGAGGGAGCACTCAGTGTTCTTCTAAGGTCGTGCCCCTGGACCAAATGGGGGTCTTTGATGGGGAGAAACAGCATGGGGATTTTGGCCTGCACCCTGGCCCAAGCGGGCCCCAGGTAGACCAGGAACCCCACTGCCCCCGTCTTTTAGTCTGGGCCTCAGCGTAATCCTATTGAGCATGATTTTTATGTCATCATCTCTCTTCGTGACATTGGTTTGTCATCATTGACCCAGCTCTCGAGAGAGCAAAGCTCCGCCTGGGGTTTGGACAAAGTACCATTGCTTACCAGTGCCGCAAACAGTGTCTTGGAGGTATGTATTCACATGGTTGGCACAAAGGTTCAGCACGATGGATGCCCTGCTCTGATTTGATCAGAAGCCCTTCTGTTCTTGTTAACGGCCCCTTTGGGAAAGAAGAAACGTGTTGTCAGGGCCATCCTCGGCATGCACTTGATGACCAGAAAAGGACTGCTGATGCTGACCAGGGCCCGAGAGCATGATGCCGTGGAGGGGGATCATTGTGCCACGTGAGATATCACTGATCAATGGCCCGAGGACTAGTGCCAACCCTGAGTGATGGCCCCTTTTTAGCCTGCCCAAGCAAAGTTCAGTCACTCAGGAGCATGCTCTTCCCGCTGACTGCTCTGATTGCTAGCATGAGACTGCTGCCGATTGTCAATCAGTAGGAAGGGCTTTGATACCTTGGAATCTTGCCTTTCCAGCATCAGGCATTCAAAGTTCTGAGACCTGGCCTCCACTTGATATGCTACCCATGTGTCTCATTCATCTCTGCCTCCCATCATCCACACACTAATGGAGAAAGAATCCATTCTCTTATGACTGTTTTTGCACCACCAGAGATTGTCCTGGGTCTGGCCTTCTCTGCATCTCTGGGGATATTCCTATTCCTTGGCAGAATGTTGAAGGCAATGTCTTCCAGGGAAGATGGCTATGCATGGGGCTATGCATGATAGGCACGGCCTCTGCTGTGTGCTACAAACTTCTCAAAATCAGACTGCCTTCCTGGCTCCAGCGCCCTGAAGAGACCATCTGTCATGGTAGAGCATCCAGAATTGTCTCCCTTTGTGCCTTGCTGGAAAGGTAGGTCAAGTTCACTAAATCACAGGTAGGGGGCAAGGTTGAGGATGCCCAGGTGCCATTTGATATACTAGTGTTCCCTGTGTTGAATTAGCACTGGGAAAGAACTCTGGACCGCCAAATGTGTCTCGGACATGCCAAATGGCAATTCATCCCGAAAGTCCATTATGGCAAGGCATTCGCTTCGAAAGCCACTGCCAAAGCTGACTAGAACTTCTTTCTCAGGCAGTCCCAATCAGGATCATCAGCTGATGTAGGAGGGTCATCTGTTTATGTGTCACTTTCATTGGTTATTTAAAAAGGAAACTTTCATGGCCTATGTATAGCACAGAAAATCAGGTGGGTGGAGTAGACAGAACAGAATGCTGGGATGGAGGGAAGTGAGGCAAACGCAAAGAAGCTCTGGCCCAAGATGGCCCAAGATGGACACCTCCTGTTGCTATACACATTAATAGAAATGGGTAAATCAAGATGTGAGATTTAGCCGGTAAGAGGCTAGATCTAATGGGCCAAGCAGTGTTTAAATGAAGACAATTTGTGTTTTGTAATTTTGGGTGTAAAGCTAGCCGGGCGGGAGCCGGGCAGGACAAAAAACAGGCCTGCTCTGCTCCAGACTAAGATCGGCCATAATGAAAACAAGAGTCACAGAATGAAATTTCCAGTTCTTCTCTAGGTGTCATGGGAACCGTAGAAGGACCCACCATTATGACTCCTCCTTGTGACCTATTCTGAGGCCCCAGATGGGTGGCTCATGTCCTTGTCCTTTGGAATTTTCCAAGGTTGTCCATTTGGAATGCCATTCTGGACACCGAGGCCTATGGGTTTTCACATTCTAGGAATCAAGGCCAAAACTACTGGATCCTGGGCTTCTAACTTGAGTATCTTCTCTTAGAGTTTCAGAAATATGAACAGGTGAAGGAACAGGGCCTGGAGAGATCAAAGCCTATGGGCTAATCTTTCCACTTACCTGAAGAAAAGTGTGTTGACGTGTGCTCCAAGTCAGCATCCCCAGTCACTGAAAGGCAGAAGAGATGATGGGAACGTGAGCTGGGCTTTGGACATGGAGACTGGCTCAAGAGCAAAGTTTGACATGAGGTGCCATTTGAGGGAGCACTCAGTGTTCTTCTAAGGTCGTGCCCCTGGACCAAATGGGGGTCTTTGATGGGGAGAAACAGCATGGGGATTTTGGCCTGCACCCTGGCCCAAGCGGGCCCCAGGTAGACCAGGAACCCCACTGCCCCCGTCTTTTAGTCTGGGCCTCAGCGTAATCCTATTGAGCATGATTTTTATGTCATCATCTCTCTTCGTGACATTGGTTTGTCATCATTGACCCAGCTCTCGAGAGAGCGAAGCTCCGCCTGGGGTTTGGACAAAGTACCATTGCTTACCAGTGCCGCAAACAGTGTCTTGGAGGTATGTATTCACATGGTTGGCACAAAGGTTCAGCACGATGGATGCCCTGCTCTGATTTGATCAGAAGCCCTTCTGTTCTTGTTAACGGCCCCTTTGGGAAAGAAGAAACGTGTTGTCAGGGCCATCCTCGGCATGCACTTGATGACCAGAAAAGGACTGCTGATGCTGACCAGGGCCCGAGAGCATGATGCCGTGGAGGGGGATCATTGTGCCACGTGAGATATCACTGATCAATGGCCCGAGGACTAGTGCCAACCCTGAGTGATGGCCCCTTTTTAGCCTGCCCAAGCAAAGTTCAGTCACTCAGGAGCATGCTCTTCCCGCTGACTGCTCTGATTGCTAGCATGAGACTGCTGCCGATTGTCAATCAGTAGGAAGGGCTTTGATACCTTGGAATCTTGCCTTTCCAGCATCAGGCATTCAAAGTTCTGAGACCTGGCCTCCACTTGATATGCTACCCATGTGTCTCATTCATCTCTGCCTCCCATCATCCACACACTAATGGAGAAAGAATCCATTCTCTTATGACTGTTTTTGCACCACCAGAGATTGTGCCGGGTCTGGCCTTCTCTGCATCTCTGGGGATATTCCTATTCCTTGGCAGAATGTTGAAGGCAATGTCTTCCAGGGAAGATGGCTATGCATGGGGCTATGCATGATAGGCACGGCCTCTGCTGTGTGCTACAAACTTCTCAAAATCAGACTGCCTTCCTGGCTCCAGCGCCCTGAAGAGACCATCTGTCATGGTAGAGCATCCAGAATTGTCTCCCTTTGTGCCTTGCTGGAAAGGTAGGTCAAGTTCACTAAATCACAGGTAGGGGGCAAGTTTGAGGATGCCCAGGTGCCATTTGATATACTAGTGTTCCCTGTGTTGAATTAGCACTGGGAAAGAACTCTGCACCGCCAAATGTGTCTCGGACATGCCAAATGGCAATTCATCCCGAAAGTCCATTATGGCAAGGCATTCGCTTCGAAAGCCACTGCCAAAGCTGACTAGAACTTCTTTCTCAGGCAGTCCCAATCAGGATCATCAGCTGAGTAGGAGGGTCATCTGTGTATGTGTCACTTTCATTGGTTATTTAAAAAGGAAACTTTCATGGCCTATGTATAGCACAGAAAATCAGGTGGGCGGAGTAGACAGAACAGAATGCTGGGACGGAGGGAAGTGAGGCAAACGCAAAGAAGCTCTGGCCCAAGATGGCCCAAGATGGACACCTCCTGTTGCTATACACATTAATAGAAATGGGTAAATCAAGATGTGAGATTTAGCCGGTAAGAGGCTAGATCTAATGGGCCAAGCAGTGTTTAAATGAAGACAATTTGTGTTTTGTAATTTTGGGTGTAAAGCTAGCCGGGCGGGAGCCGGGCGGGAGCCGGGTAGGACGAAAAACAGGCCTGCTCTGCTCCAGACTAAGATCGGCCATAATGAAAACAAGAGTCACAGAATGAAATTTCCAGTTCTTCTCTAGGTGTCATGGGAACCGTAGAAGGACCCACCATTATGACTCCTCCTTGTGACCTATTCTGAGGCCCCAGATGGGTGGCTCATGTCCATGTCCTTTGGAATTTTCCAAGGTTGTCCATTTGGAATGCCATTCTGGACACCGAGGCCTATGGGTTTTCACATTCTAGGAATCAAGGCCAAAACTACTGGATCCTGGGCTTCTAACTTGAGTATCTTCTCTTAGAGTTTCAGAAATATGAACAGGTGAAGGAACAGGGCCTGGAGAGATCAAAGCCTATGGGCTAATCTTTCCACTTACCTGAAGAAAAGTGTGTTGACGTGTGCTCCAAGTCAGCATCCCCAGTCACTGAAAGGCAGAAGAGATGATGGGAACGTGAGCTGGGCTTTGGACATGGAGACTGGCTCAAGAGCAAAGTTTGACATGAGGTGCCATTTGAGGGAGCACTCAGTGTTCTTCTAAGGTCGTGCCCCTGGACCAAATGGGGGTCTTTGATGGGGAGAAACAGCATGGGGATTTTGGCCTGCACCCTGGCCCAAGCGGGCCCCAGGTAGACCAGGAACCCCACTGCCCCCGTCTTTTAGTCTGGGCCTCAGCGTAATCCTATTGAGCATGATTTTTATGTCATCATCTCTCTTCGTGACATTGGTTTGTCATCATTGACCCAGCTCTCGAGAGAGCAAAGCTCCGCCTGGGGTTTGGACAAAGTACCATTGCTTACCAGTGCCGCAAACAGTGTCTTGGAGGTATGTATTCACATGGTTGGCACAAAGGTTCAGCACGATGGATGCCCTGCTCTGATTTGATCAGAAGCCCTTCTGTTCTTGTTAACGGCCCCTTTGGGAAAGAAGAAACGTGTTGTCAGGGCCATCCTCGGCATGCACTTGATGACCAGAAAAGGACTGCTGATGCTGACCAGGGCCCGAGAGCATGATGCCGTGGAGGGGGATCATTGTGCCACGTGAGATATCACTGATCAATGGCCCGAGGACTAGTGCCAACCCTGAGTGATGGCCCCTTTTTAGCCTGCCCAAGCAAAGTTCAGTCACTCAGGAGCATGCTCTTCCCGCTGACTGCTCTGATTGCTAGCATGAGACTGCTGCCGATTGTCAATCAGTAGGAAGGGCTTTGATACCTTGGAATCTTGCCTTTCCAGCATCAGGCATTCAAAGTTCTGAGACCTGGCCTCCACTTGATATGCTACCCATGTGTCTCATTCATCTCTGCCTCCCATCATCCACACACTAATGGAGAAAGAATCCATTCTCTTATGACTGTTTTTGCACCACCAGAGATTGTGCCGGGTCTGGCCTTCTCTGCATCTCTGGGGATATTCCTATTCCTTGGCAGAATGTTGAAGGCAATGTCTTCCAGGGAAGATGGCTATGCATGGGGCTATGCATGATAGGCACGGCCTCTGCTGTGTGCTACAAACTTCTCAAAATCAGACTGCCTTCCTGGCTCCAGCGCCCTGAAGAGACCATCTGTCATGGTAGAGCATCCAGAATTGTCTCCCTTTGTGCCTTGCTGGAAAGGTAGGTCAAGTTCACTAAATCACAGGTAGGGGGCAAGGTTGAGGATGCCCAGGTGCCATTTGATATACTAGTGTTCCCTGTGTTGAATTAGCACTGGGAAAGAACTCTGGACCGCCAAATGTGTCTCGGACATGCCAAATGGCAATTCATCCCGAAAGTCCATTATGGCAAGGCATTCGCTTCGAAAGCCACTGCCAAAGCTGACTAGAACTTCTTTCTCAGGCAGTCCCAATCAGGATCATCAGCTGATGTAGGAGGGTCATCTGTTTATGTGTCACTTTCATTGGTTATTTAAAAAGGAAACTTTCATGGCCTATGTATAGCACAGAAAATCAGGTGGGTGGAGTAGACAGAACAGAATGCTGGGATGGAGGGAAGTGAGGCAAACGCAAAGAAGCTCTGGCCCAAGATGGCCCAAGATGGACACCTCCTGTTGCTATACACATTAATAGAAATGGGTAAATCAAGATGTGAGATTTAGCCGGTAAGAGGCTAGATCTAATGGGCCAAGCAGTGTTTAAATGAAGACAATTTGTGTTTTGTAATTTTGGGTGTAAAGCTAGCCGGGCGGGAGCCGGGCAGGACAAAAAACAGGCCTGCTCTGCTCCAGACTAAGATCGGCCATAATGAAAACAAGAGTCACAGAATGAAATTTCCAGTTCTTCTCTAGGTGTCATGGGAACCGTAGAAGGACCCACCATTATGACTCCTCCTTGTGACCTATTCTGAGGCCCCAGATGGGTGGCTCATGTCCTTGTCCTTTGGAATTTTCCAAGGTTGTCCATTTGGAATGCCATTCTGGACACCGAGGCCTATGGGTTTTCACATTCTAGGAATCAAGGCCAAAACTACTGGATCCTGGGCTTCTAACTTGAGTATCTTCTCTTAGAGTTTCAGAAATATGAACAGGTGAAGGAACAGGGCCTGGAGAGATCAAAGCCTATGGGCTAATCTTTCCACTTACCTGAAGAAAAGTGTGTTGACGTGTGCTCCAAGTCAGCATCCCCAGTCACTGAAAGGCAGAAGAGATGATGGGAACGTGAGCTGGGCTTTGGACATGGAGACTGGCTCAAGAGCAAAGTTTGACATGAGGTGCCATTTGAGGGAGCACTCAGTGTTCTTCTAAGGTCGTGCCCCTGGACCAAATGGGGGTCTTTGATGGGGAGAAACAGCATGGGGATTTTGGCCTGCACCCTGGCCCAAGCGGGCCCCAGGTAGACCAGGAACCCCACTGCCCCCGTCTTTTAGTCTGGGCCTCAGCGTAATCCTATTGAGCATGATTTTTATGTCATCATCTCTCTTCGTGACATTGGTTTGTCATCATTGACCCAGCTCTCGAGAGAGCGAAGCTCCGCCTGGGGTTTGGACAAAGTACCATTGCTTACCAGTGCCGCAAACAGTGTCTTGGAGGTATGTATTCACATGGTTGGCACAAAGGTTCAGCACGATGGATGCCCTGCTCTGATTTGATCAGAAGCCCTTCTGTTCTTGTTAACGGCCCCTTTGGGAAAGAAGAAACGTGTTGTCAGGGCCATCCTCGGCATGCACTTGATGACCAGAAAAGGACTGCTGATGCTGACCAGGGCCCGAGAGCATGATGCCGTGGAGGGGGATCATTGTGCCACGTGAGATATCACTGATCAATGGCCCGAGGACTAGTGCCAACCCTGAGTGATGGCCCCTTTTTAGCCTGCCCAAGCAAAGTTCAGTCACTCAGGAGCATGCTCTTCCCGCTGACTGCTCTGATTGCTAGCATGAGACTGCTGCCGATTGTCAATCAGTAGGAAGGGCTTTGATACCTTGGAATCTTGCCTTTCCAGCATCAGGCATTCAAAGTTCTGAGACCTGGCCTCCACTTGATATGCTACCCATGTGTCTCATTCATCTCTGCCTCCCATCATCCACACACTAATGGAGAAAGAATCCATTCTCTTATGACTGTTTTTGCACCACCAGAGATTGTGCCGGGTCTGGCCTTCTCTGCATCTCTGGGGATATTCCTATTCCTTGGCAGAATGTTGAAGGCAATGTCTTCCAGGGAAGATGGCTATGCATGGGGCTATGCATGATAGGCACGGCCTCTGCTGTGTGCTACAAACTTCTCAAAATCAGACTGCCTTCCTGGCTCCAGCGCCCTGAAGAGACCATCTGTCATGGTAGAGCATCCAGAATTGTCTCCCTTTGTGCCTTGCTGGAAAGGTAGGTCAAGTTCACTAAATCACAGGTAGGGGGCAAGGTTGAGGATGCCCAGGTGCCATTTGATATACTAGTGTTCCCTGTGTTGAATTAGCACTGGGAAAGAACTCTGGACCGCCAAATGTGTCTCGGACATGCCAAATGGCAATTCATCCCGAAAGTCCATTATGGCAAGGCATTCGCTTCGAAAGCCACTGCCAAAGCTGACTAGAACTTCTTTCTCAGGCAGTCCCAATCAGGATCATCAGCTGAGTAGGAGGGTCATCTGTGTATGTGTCACTTTCATTGGTTATTTAAAAAGGAAACTTTCATGGCCTATGTATAGCACAGAAAATCAGGTGGGCGGAGTAGACAGAACAGAATGCTGGGACGGAGGGAAGTGAGGCAAACGCAAAGAAGCTCTGGCCCAAGATGGCCCAAGATGGACACCTCCTGTTGCTATACACATTAATAGAAATGGGTAAATCAAGATGTGAGATTTAGCCGGTAAGAGGCTAGATCTAATGGGCCAAGCAGTGTTTAAATGAAGACAATTTGTGTTTTGTAATTTTGGGTGTAAAGCTAGCCGGGCGGGAGCCGGGCGGGAGCCGGGTAGGACGAAAAACAGGCCTGCTCTGCTCCAGACTAAGATCGGCCATAATGAAAACAAGAGTCACAGAATGAAATTTCCAGTTCTTCTCTAGGTGTCATGGGAACCGTAGAAGGACCCACCATTATGACTCCTCCTTGTGACCTATTCTGAGGCCCCAGATGGGTGGCTCATGTCCTTGTCCTTTGGAATTTTCCAAGGTTGTCCATTTGGAATGCCATTCTGGACACCGAGGCCTATGGGTTTTCACATTCTAGGAATCAAGGCCAAAACTACTGGATCCTGGGCTTCTAACTTGAGTATCTTCTCTTAGAGTTTCAGAAATATGAACAGGTGAAGGAACAGGGCCTGGAGAGATCAAAGCCTATGGGCTAATCTTTCCACTTACCTGAAGAAAAGTGTGTTGACGTGTGCTCCAAGTCAGCATCCCCAGTCACTGAAAGGCAGAAGAGATGATGGGAACGTGAGCTGGGCTTTGGACATGGAGACTGGCTCAAGAGCAAAGTTTGACATGAGGTGCCATTTGAGGGAGCACTCAGTGTTCTTCTAAGGTCGTGCCCCTGGACCAAATGGGGGTCTTTGATGGGGAGAAACAGCATGGGGATTTTGGCCTGCACCCTGGCCCAAGCGGGCCCCAGGTAGACCAGGAACCCCACTGCCCCCGTCTTTTAGTCTGGGCCTCAGCGTAATCCTATTGAGCATGATTTTTATGTCATCATCTCTCTTCGTGACATTGGTTTGTCATCATTGACCCAGCTCTCGAGAGAGCGAAGCTCCGCCTGGGGTTTGGACAAAGTACCATTGCTTACCAGTGCCGCAAACAGTGTCTTGGAGGTATGTATTCACATGGTTGGCACAAAGGTTCAGCACGATGGATGCCCTGCTCTGATTTGATCAGAAGCCCTTCTGTTCTTGTTAACGGCCCCTTTGGGAAAGAAGAAACGTGTTGTCAGGGCCATCCTCGGCATGCACTTGATGACCAGAAAAGGACTGCTGATGCTGACCAGGGCCCGAGAGCATGATGCCGTGGAGGGGGATCATTGTGCCACGTGAGATATCACTGATCAATGGCCCGAGGACTAGTGCCAACCCTGAGTGATGGCCCCTTTTTAGCCTGCCCAAGCAAAGTTCAGTCACTCAGGAGCATGCTCTTCCCGCTGACTGCTCTGATTGCTAGCATGAGACTGCTGCCGATTGTCAATCAGTAGGAAGGGCTTTGATACCTTGGAATCTTGCCTTTCCAGCATCAGGCATTCAAAGTTCTGAGACCTGGCCTCCACTTGATATGCTACCCATGTGTCTCATTCATCTCTGCCTCCCATCATCCACACACTAATGGAGAAAGAATCCATTCTCTTATGACTGTTTTTGCACCACCAGAGATTGTGCCGGGTCTGGCCTTCTCTGCATCTCTGGGGATATTCCTATTCCTTGGCAGAATGTTGAAGGCAATGTCTTCCAGGGAAGATGGCTATGCATGGGGCTATGCATGATAGGCACGGCCTCTGCTGTGTGCTACAAACTTCTCAAAATCAGACTGCCTTCCTGGCTCCAGCGCCCTGAAGAGACCATCTGTCATGGTAGAGCATCCAGAATTGTCTCCCTTTGTGCCTTGCTGGAAAGGTAGGTCAAGTTCACTAAATCACAGGTAGGGGGCAAGGTTGAGGATGCCCAGGTGCCATTTGATATACTAGTGTTCCCTGTGTTGAATTAGCACTGGGAAAGAACTCTGGACCGCCAAATGTGTCTCGGACATGCCAAATGGCAATTCATCCCGAAAGTCCATTATGGCAAGGCATTCGCTTCGAAAGCCACTGCCAAAGCTGACTAGAACTTCTTTCTCAGGCAGTCCCAATCAGGATCATCAGCTGATGTAGGAGGGTCATCTGTTTATGTGTCACTTTCATTGGTTATTTAAAAAGGAAACTTTCATGGCCTATGTATAGCACAGAAAATCAGGTGGGTGGAGTAGACAGAACAGAATGCTGGGATGGAGGGAAGTGAGGCAAACGCAAAGAAGCTCTGGCCCAAGATGGCCCAAGATGGACACCTCCTGTTGCTATACACATTAATAGAAATGGGTAAATCAAGATGTGAGATTTAGCCGGTAAGAGGCTAGATCTAATGGGCCAAGCAGTGTTTAAATGAAGACAATTTGTGTTTTGTAATTTTGGGTGTAAAGCTAGCCGGGCGGGAGCCGGGCAGGACAAAAAACAGGCCTGCTCTGCTCCAGACTAAGATCGGCCATAATGAAAACAAGAGTCACAGAATGAAATTTCCAGTTCTTCTCTAGGTGTCATGGGAACCGTAGAAGGACCCACCATTATGACTCCTCCTTGTGACCTATTCTGAGGCCCCAGATGGGTGGCTCATGTCCTTGTCCTTTGGAATTTTCCAAGGTTGTCCATTTGGAATGCCATTCTGGACACCGAGGCCTATGGGTTTTCACATTCTAGGAATCAAGGCCAAAACTACTGGATCCTGGGCTTCTAACTTGAGTATCTTCTCTTAGAGTTTCAGAAATATGAACAGGTGAAGGAACAGGGCCTGGAGAGATCAAAGCCTATGGGCTAATCTTTCCACTTACCTGAAGAAAAGTGTGTTGACGTGTGCTCCAAGTCAGCATCCCCAGTCACTGAAAGGCAGAAGAGATGATGGGAACGTGAGCTGGGCTTTGGACATGGAGACTGGCTCAAGAGCAAAGTTTGACATGAGGTGCCATTTGAGGGAGCACTCAGTGTTCTTCTAAGGTCGTGCCCCTGGACCAAATGGGGGTCTTTGATGGGGAGAAACAGCATGGGGATTTTGGCCTGCACCCTGGCCCAAGCGGGCCCCAGGTAGACCAGGAACCCCACTGCCCCCGTCTTTTAGTCTGGGCCTCAGCGTAATCCTATTGAGCATGATTTTTATGTCATCATCTCTCTTCGTGACATTGGTTTGTCATCATTGACCCAGCTCTCGAGAGAGCAAAGCTCCGCCTGGGGTTTGGACAAAGTACCATTGCTTACCAGTGCCGCAAACAGTGTCTTGGAGGTATGTATTCACATGGTTGGCACAAAGGTTCAGCACGATGGATGCCCTGCTCTGATTTGATCAGAAGCCCTTCTGTTCTTGTTAACGGCCCCTTTGGGAAAGAAGAAACGTGTTGTCAGGGCCATCCTCGGCATGCACTTGATGACCAGAAAAGGACTGCTGATGCTGACCAGGGCCCGAGAGCATGATGCCGTGGAGGGGGATCATTGTGCCACGTGAGATATCACTGATCAATGGCCCGAGGACTAGTGCCAACCCTGAGTGATGGCCCCTTTTTAGCCTGCCCAAGCAAAGTTCAGTCACTCAGGAGCATGCTCTTCCCGCTGACTGCTCTGATTGCTAGCATGAGACTGCTGCCGATTGTCAATCAGTAGGAAGGGCTTTGATACCTTGGAATCTTGCCTTTCCAGCATCAGGCATTCAAAGTTCTGAGACCTGGCCTCCACTTGATATGCTACCCATGTGTCTCATTCATCTCTGCCTCCCATCATCCACACACTAATGGAGAAAGAATCCATTCTCTTATGACTGTTTTTGCACCACCAGAGATTGTGCCGGGTCTGGCCTTCTCTGCATCTCTGGGGATATTCCTATTCCTTGGCAGAATGTTGAAGGCAATGTCTTCCAGGGAAGATGGCTATGCATGGGGCTATGCATGATAGGCACGGCCTCTGCTGTGTGCTACAAACTTCTCAAAATCAGACTGCCTTCCTGGCTCCAGCGCCCTGAAGAGACCATCTGTCATGGTAGAGCATCCAGAATTGTCTCCCTTTGTGCCTTGCTGGAAAGGTAGGTCAAGTTCACTAAATCACAGGTAGGGGGCAAGGTTGAGGATGCCCAGGTGCCATTTGATATACTAGTGTTCCCTGTGTTGAATTAGCACTGGGAAAGAACTCTGGACCGCCAAATGTGTCTCGGACATGCCAAATGGCAATTCATCCCGAAAGTCCATTATGGCAAGGCATTCGCTTCGAAAGCCACTGCCAAAGCTGACTAGAACTTCTTTCTCAGGCAGTCCCAATCAGGATCATCAGCTGAGTAGGAGGGTCATCTGTGTATGTGTCACTTTCATTGGTTATTTAAAAAGGAAACTTTCATGGCCTATGTATAGCACAGAAAATCAGGTGGGCGGAGTAGACAGAACAGAATGCTGGGACGGAGGGAAGTGAGGCAAACGCAAAGAAGCTCTGGCCCAAGATGGCCCAAGATGGACACCTCCTGTTGCTATACACATTAATAGAAATGGGTAAATCAAGATGTGAGATTTAGCCGGTAAGAGGCTAGATCTAATGGGCCAAGCAGTGTTTAAATGAAGACAATTTGTGTTTTGTAATTTTGGGTGTAAAGCTAGCCGGGCGGGAGCCGGGCGGGAGCCGGGTAGGACGAAAAACAGGCCTGCTCTGCTCCAGACTAAGATCGGCCATAATGAAAACAAGAGTCACAGAATGAAATTTCCAGTTCTTCTCTAGGTGTCATGGGAACCGTAGAAGGACCCACCATTATGACTCCTCCTTGTGACCTATTCTGAGGCCCCAGATGGGTGGCTCATGTCCTTGTCCTTTGGAATTTTCCAAGGTTGTCCATTTGGAATGCCATTCTGGACACCGAGGCCTATGGGTTTTCACATTCTAGGAATCAAGGCCAAAACTACTGGATCCTGGGCTTCTAACTTGAGTATCTTCTCTTAGAGTTTCAGAAATATGAACAGGTGAAGGAACAGGGCCTGGAGAGATCAAAGCCTATGGGCTAATCTTTCCACTTACCTGAAGAAAAGTGTGTTGACGTGTGCTCCAAGTCAGCATCCCCAGTCACTGAAAGGCAGAAGAGATGATGGGAACGTGAGCTGGGCTTTGGACATGGAGACTGGCTCAAGAGCAAAGTTTGACATGAGGTGCCATTTGAGGGAGCACTCAGTGTTCTTCTAAGGTCGTGCCCCTGGACCAAATGGGGGTCTTTGATGGGGAGAAACAGCATGGGGATTTTGGCCTGCACCCTGGCCCAAGCGGGCCCCAGGTAGACCAGGAACCCCACTGCCCCCGTCTTTTAGTCTGGGCCTCAGCGTAATCCTATTGAGCATGATTTTTATGTCATCATCTCTCTTCGTGACATTGGTTTGTCATCATTGACCCAGCTCTCGAGAGAGCGAAGCTCCGCCTGGGGTTTGGACAAAGTACCATTGCTTACCAGTACCGCAAACAGTGTCTTGGAGGTATGTATTCACATGGTTGGCACAAAGGTTCAGCACGATGGATGCCCTGCTCTGATTTGATCAGAAGCCCTTCTGTTCTTGTTAACAGCCCCCTTGGGAAAGAAGAAACACCGTGTTGTCATCCTCGGCGTGCACTTGATGACCAGAAAAGGACTGCTGATGCTGACCAGGGCCCGAGAGCATGATTCCGTGGAGGGGGATCATTGTGCCACTCGAGATATCCCTGATCAATGGCCCGAGGACTAGTGCCAACACTGAGTGATGGCCCCTTTTTAGCCTGCCCAAGCAAAGTTCAGTCACTCAGGAGCATGCTCTTCCCGCTGACTGCTCTGATTGCTAGCATGAGAGTGCTGCCGATTGTCAATCAGAAGGCAGGGCTTTGATACCTTGGAATCTTGCCTTTCCAGCATCAGGCATTCTAAGGTCTGAGACCTGGCCTCCACTTGACATGCTACCCATGTGTCTCATTCAACTCTGCCTCCCATCATCCACACACTAATGGAGAAAGAATCCATTCTCTTATGACTGTTTTTGCACCACCAGAGATTGTGCTGGGTCTGGCCTTCTCTGCATCTCTGGGGATATTCCTAGTCCTAGGCAGAATGTTGAAGGCAATGTCTTCAAGGGAAGATGGCTATGCATGGGGCTATGCATGATAGGCACGGCCTCTGCTGTGTGCTACAAACTTCTCAAAATCAGACTGCCTTCCTGGCTCCAGCGCCCTGAAGAGACCATCTTTCTTGGTAGAGCATCCAGAATTGTCTCCCTTTTTGCCTTGCTGGAAAGGTAGGTCAAGTTCACTAAATCACAGGTAGAGGAGGCAAGGTTGAGGATGCCCAGGTGCCATTTGATATACTAATGTTCCCTGTGTTGAATTAGCACTGGGAAAGAACTCTGGACCGCCAAATGTGTCCCGGACATGCCAAATGGCAATTCATCCCGAAAGTCCATTATGGCAAGGCATTCGCTTCGAAAGCCACTGCCAAAGCTGATTAGAACTTCTTTTTCAGGCAGTCCCAATCAGGATCATCAGCTGATATAGGAGGGTCATCTGTCTATGTGTCACTTTCATTGGTTATTTAAAAAGGAAACTTTCTTGGCCTATGGATAGCACAGAAAATCAGGTGGGCGGAGTAGACAGAAGAGAATGCTGGGACGGAGGGAAGTGAGGCAAACGCAAAGAAGCTCTGGCCCAAGATGGCCCAAGATGGACACCTCCTGTTGCTATACACATTAATAGAAATGGCTAAATCAAGATGTGAGATTTAGCCGGTAAGAGGCTAGATCTAATGGGCCAAGCAGTGTTTAAATGAAGACAATTTGTGTGTTGCAATTTTTGGTGTAAAGCTAGCCGGGCGGGAGCCGGGCAGGACGAAAAACAGGCCTGCTCTGCTCCAGACTAAGATCAGCCATAATGAAAACAAGAGTCACGGAATTAAATTTCCAGTTCTTCTCTAGGTGTCATGGGAACCGTAGAAGGACCCACCATTATGAGTCCTCCTTGTGACCTATTCTGAGGCCCCAGATCGGTGGCTCATGTCCATGTCCTTTGGAATTTTCCAAGGTTGTCCATTTGGAATGCCATTCTGGACACCGAGGCCTATGGGTTTTCACATTCTAGGAATCAAGGCCAAAACTACTGGATCCTGGGCTTCTAACTTGAGTATCTTCTCTTAGAGTTTCAGAAATATGAACAGGTGAAGGAACAGGGCCTGGAGAGATCAAAGCCTATGGGCTAATCTTTCCACTTACCTGAAGAAAAGTGTGTTGACGTGTGCTCCAAGTCAGCATCCCAGTCACTGAAAGGCAGAAGAGATGATGGGAACGTGAGCTGGGCTTTGGACAAGGAGACTGGCTCAAGAGCAAAGTTTGACATGAGGTGCCATTTGAGGGAGCACTCAGTGTTCTTCTAAGGTCGTGCCCCTGGACCAAATGCGGGTCTCCGATGGGGAGAAACAGCATGGGGATTTTGGCCTGCACCCTGGCCCAAGCGGGCCCCAGGTAGACCAGGAACCCCACTGCCCCCGTCCTTTAGTATGGGCCTCAGCGTAATCCTATTGAGCATGATTTTTATGTCATCATCTCTCTTCGTGACATTGGTTTGTCATCATTGACCCAGCTCTCGAGAGAGCAAAGCTCCGCCTGGGGTTTGGACAAAGTACCATTGCTTACCAGTACCGCAAACAGTGTCTTGGAGGTATGTATTCACATGGTTGGCACAAAGGTTCAGCACGATGGATGCCCTGCTCTGATTTGATCAGAAGCCCTTCTGTTCTTGTTAACGGCCCCTTTGGGAAAGAAGAAACGTGTTGTCAGGGCCATCCACGGCATGCACTTGATGACCAGAAAAGGACTGCTGATGCTGACCAGGGCCCGAGAGCATGATTCCGTGGAGGGGGATCTTTGTGGCACTCGAGATATCCCTGATCAATGGCCCGAGGACTAGTGCCAACCCTGAGTGATGGCCCCTTTTTAGCCTGCCCAAGCAAAGTTCAGTCACTCAGGAGCATGCTCTTCCCGCTGACTGCTCTGATTGCTAGCATGAGAGTGCTGCCGATTGTCAATCAGAAGGCAGGGCTTTGATACCTTGGAATCTTGCCTTTCCAGCATCAGGCATTCTAAGGTCTGAGACCTGGCCTCCACTTGACATGCTACCCATGTGTCTCATTCAACTCTGCCTCCCATCATCCACACACTAATGGAGAAAGAATCCATTCTCTTATGACTGTTTTTCCACCACCAGAGATTGTGCTGGGTCTGGCCTTCTCTGCATCTCTGGGGATATTCCTAGTCCTAGGCAGAATGTTGAAGGCAATGTCTTCCAGGGAAGATGGCTATGCATGGGTCTATGCATGATAGTCACTGCCTCTGCTGTGTGCTACAAACTTCTCAAAATCAGACTGCCTTCCTGGCTCCAGCGCCCTGAAGAGACCATCTTTCTTGGTAGAGCATCCAGAATTGTCTCCCTTTTTGCCTTGCTGGGAAGGTAGGTCAAGTTCACTAAATCACAGGTAGAGGAGGCAAGGTTGAGGATGCCCAGGTGCCATTTGATATACTAGTGTTCCCTGTGTTGAATTAGCACTGGGAAAGAACTCTGGACCGCCAAATGTGTCCCGGACATGCCAAATGGCAATTCATCCCGAAAGTCCATTATGGCAAGGCATTCGCTTCGAAAGCCACTGCCAAAGCTGATTAGAACTTCTTTTTCAGGCAGTCCCAATCAGGATCATCAGCTGATATAGGAGGGTCATCTGTCTATGTGTCACTTTCATTGGTTATTTAAAAAGGAAACTTTCTTGGCCTATGGATAGCACAGAAAATCAGGTGGGCGGAGTAGACAGAAGAGAATGCTGGGACGGAGGGAAGTGAGGCAAACGCAAAGAAGCTCTGGCCCAAGATGGCCCAAGATGGACACCTCCTGTTGCTATACACATTAATAGAAATGGGTAAATCAAGATGTGAGATTTAGCCGGTAAGAGGCTAGATCTAATGGGCCAAGCAGTGTTTAAATGAAGACAATTTGTGTGTTGCAATTTTTGGTGTAAAGCTAGCCGGGCGGGAGCCGGGCAGGACGAAAAACAGGCCTGCTCTGCTCCAGACTAAGATCAGCCATAATGAAAACAAGAGTCACGGAATTAAATTTCCAGTTCTTCTCTAGGTGTCATGGGAACCGTAGAAGGACCCACCATTATGAGTCCTCCTTGTGACCTATTCTGAGGCCCCAGATCGGTGGCTCATGTCCATGTCCTTTGGAATTTTCCAAGGTTGTCCATTTGGAATGCCATTCTGGACACCGAGGCCTATGGGTTTTCACATTCTAGGAATCAAGGCCAAAACTACTGGATCCTGGGCTTCTAACTTGAGTATCTTCTCTTAGAGTTTCAGATAATGAACAGGTGAAGGAACAGGGCCTGGAGAGATCAAAGCCTATGGGCTAATCTTTCCACTTACCTGAAGAAAAGTGTGTTGACGTGTGCTCCAAGTCAGCATCCCCAGTCACTGAAAGGCAGAAGAGATGATGGGAACGTGAGCTGGGCTTTGGACAAGGAGACTGGCTCAAGAGCAAAGTTTGACATGAGGTGCCATTTGAGGGAGCACTCAGTGTTCTTCTAAGGTCGTGCCCCTGGACCAAATGCGGGTCTCCGATGGGGAGAAACAGCATGGGGATTTTGGCCTGCACCCTGGCCCAAGCGGGCCCCAGGTAGACCAGGAACCCCACTGCCCCCGTCCTTTAGTATGGGCCTCAGCGTAATCCTATTGAGCATGATTTTTATGTCATCATCTCTCTTCGTGACATTGGTTTGTCATCATTGACCCAGCTCTCGAGAGAGCTGAGCTCTGCCTGGGGTTTGGAAAAAGTACCATTGCTTACCAGTACCGCAAACAGTGTCTTGGAGGTATGTATTCACATGGTTGGCACAAAGGTTCAGCACGATGGATGCCCTGCTCTGATTTGATCAGAAGCCCTTCTGTTCTTGTTAACGGCCCCTTTGGGAAAGAAGAAACGTGTTGTCAGGGCCATCCTCGGCATGCACTTGATGACCAGAAAAGGACTGCTGATGCTGACCAGGGCCCGAGAGCATGATTCCGTGGAGGGGGATCTTTGTGCCACTCGAGATATCCCTGATCAATGGCCCGAGGACTAGTGCCAACCCTGAGTGATGGCCCCTTTTTAGCCTGCCCAAGCAAAGTTCAGTCACTCAGGAGCATGCTCTTCCCGCTGACTGCTCTGATTGCTAGCATGAGACTGCTGCCGATTGTCAATCAGTAGGCAGGGCTTTGATACCTTGGAATCTTGCCTTTCCAGCATCAGGCATTCTAAGGTCTGAGACCTGGCCTCCACTTGACATGCTACCCATGTGTCTCATTCAACTCTGCCTCCCATCATCCACACATTAATGGAGAAAGAATCCATTCTCTTATGACTGTTTTTGCACCACCAGAGATTGTGCTGGGTCTGGCCTTCTCTGCATCTCTAGGGATATTCCTAGTCCTAGGCAGAATGTTGAAGGCAATGTCTTCAAGGGAAGATGGCTATGCATGGGGCTATGCATGATAGGCACGGCCTCTGCTGTGTGCTACAAACTTCTCAAAATCAGACTGCCTTCCTGGCTCCAGCGCCCTGAAGAGACCATCTGTCATGGTAGAGCATCCAGAATTGTCTCCCTTTTTGCCTTGCTGGAAAGGCAGGTCAAGTTCACTAAATCACAGGTAGAGGTGGCAAGGTTGAGGATGCCCAGGTGCCATTTGATATACTAGTGTTCCCTGTGTTGAATTAGCACTGGGAAAGAACTCTGGACCGCCAAATGTGTCCCGGACATGCCAAATGGCAATTCATCCCGAAACTCCATTATGGCATGGCATTCGCTTTGAAAGCCACTGCCAAAGCTGACTAGAACTTCTTTCTCGGGCAGTCCCAATCAGGATCATCAGCTGATGTAGGAGGGTCATCTGTCTATGTGTCACTTTCATTGGTTATTTAAAAAGGAAACTTTCTTGGCCTATGGATAGCACAGAAAATCAGGTGGGTGGAGTAGACAGAACAGAATGCTGGGACGGAGGGAAGTGAGGCAAACACAAAGAAGCTCTGGCCCAAGATGGCCCAAGATGGACACCTCCTGTTGCTATACACATTAATAGAAATGTGGATGCCCTGCTCTGATTTGATCAGAAGCCCTTCTGTTCTTGTTAACAGCCCCCTTGGGAAAGAAGAAACACCGTGTTGTCATCCTCGGCGGGCACTTGATGACCAGAAACGGACTGCTGATGCTGACCAGGGCCCGAGAGCATGATTCCGTGGAGGGGGATCATTGTGCCACTCGAGATATCCCTGATCAATGGCCCAAGGACTAGTGCCAACCCTGAGTGATGGCCCCTTTTTAGCCTGCCCAAGCAAAGTTCAGTCACTCAGGAGCATGCTCTTCCCGCTGACTGCTCTGATTGCTAGCATGAGACTGCTGCCGATTGTCAATCAGTAGGCAGGGCTTTGATACCTTGGAATCTTGCCTTTCCAGCATCAGGCATTCTAAGGTCTGAGACCTGGCCTCAACTTGACATGCTACCCATGTGTCTCATTCAACTCTGCCTCCCATCATCCACACACTAATGGTGAAAGAATCTATTCTCTTATGACTGTTTTTGCACCACCAGAGATTGTACTGGGTCTGGCCTTCTCTGCATCTCTGGGGATATTCCTAGTCCTAGGCAGAATGTTGAAGGCAATGTCTTCAAGGGAAGATGGCTATGCATGGGGCTATGCATGATTGGCACGGCCTCTGCTGTGTGCTACAAACTTCTCAAAATCAGACTGCCTTCCTGGCTCCAGCGCCCTGAAGAGACCATCTTTCTTGGTAGAGCATCCAGAATTGTCTCCCTTTTTGCCTTGCTGGAAAGGTAGGTCAAGTTCACTAAATCACAGGTAGAGGAGGCAAGGTTGAGGATGCCCAGGTGCCATTTGATATACTAATGTTCCCTGTGTTGAATTAGCACTGGGAAAGAACTCTGGACCGCCAAATGTTTCCCGGACATGCCAAATGGCAATTCATCCCGAAAGTCCATTATGGCAAGGCATTCGCTTCGAAAGCCACTGCCAAAGCTGATTAGAACTTCTTTTTCAGGCAGTCCCAATCAGGATCATCAGCTGATATAGGAGGGTCATCTGTCTATGTGTCACTTTCATTGGTTATTTAAAAAGGAAACTTTCTTGGCCTATGGATAGCACAGAAAATCAGGTGGGCTGAGTAGACAGAAGAGAATGCTGGGACGGAGGGAAGTGAGGCAAACGCAAAGAAGCTCTGGCCCAAGATGGCCCAAGATGGACACCTCCTGTTGCTATACACATTAATAGAAATGGCTAAATCAAGATGTGAGATTTAGCCAGTAAGAGGCTAGATCTAATGGGCCAAGCAGTGTTTAAATGAAGACAATTTGTGTGTTGCAATTTTTGGTGTAAAGCTAGCAGGGCGGGAGCCGGGCAGGACGAAAAACAGGCCTGCTCTGCTCCAGACTAAGATCAGCCATAATGAAAACAAGAGTCAAGGAATTAAATTTCCAGTTCTTCTCTAGGTGTCATGGGAACCGTAGAAGGACCCACCATTATGAGTCCTCCTTGTGACCTATTCTGAGGCCCCAGATCGGTGGCTCATGTCCATGTCCTTTGGAATTTTCCAAGGTTGTCCATTTGGAATGCCATTCTGGACACCGAGGCCTATGGGTTTTCACATTCTAGGAATCAAGGCCAAAACTACTGGATCCTGGGCTTCTAACTTGAGTATCTTCTCTTAGAGTTTCAGAAATATGAACAGGTGAAGGAACAGGGCCTGGAGAGATCAAAGCCTATGGGCTAATCTTTCCACTTACCTGAAGAAAAGTGTGTTGACGTGTGCTCCAAGTCAGCATCCCCAGTCCCTGAAAGGCAGAAGAGATGATGGGAACGTGAGCTGGGCTTTGGACATGGAGACTGGCTCAAGAGCAAAGTTTGACATGAGGTGCCATTTGAGGGAGCACTCAGTGTTCTTCTAAGGTCGTGCCCCTGGACCAAATGCGGGTCTGCGATGGGGAGAAACAGCATGGGGATTTTGGCCTGCACCCTGGCCCAAGCGGGCCCCAGGTAGACCAGGAACCCCACTGCCCCCGTCTTTTAGTCTGGGCCTCAGCGTAATCCTATTGAGCATGATTTTTATGTCATCATCTCTCTTCGTGACATTGGTTTGTCATCATTGACCCAGCTCTCGAGAGAGCAAAGCTCCGCCTGGGGTTTGGACAAAGTACCATTGCTTACCAGTACCGCAAACAGTGTCTTGGAGGTATGTATTCACATGGTTGGCACAAAGGTTCAGCACGATGGATGCCCTGCTCTGATTTGATCAGAAGCCCTTCTGTTCTTGTTAACGGCCCCTTTGGGAAAGAAGAAACGTGTTGTCAGGGCCATCCACGGCATGCACTTGATGACCAGAAAAGGACTGCTGATGCTGACCAGGGCCCGAGAGCATGATTCCGTGGAGGGGGATCTTTGTGGCACTCGAGATATCCCTGATCAATGGCCCGAGGACTAGTGCCAACCCTGAGTGATGGCCCCTTTTTAGCCTGCCCAAGCAAAGTCCAGTCACTCAGGAGCATGCTCTTCCCGCTGACTGCTCTGATTGCTAGCATGAGAGTGCTGCCGATTGTCAATCAGACGGCAGGGCTTTGATACCTTGGAATCTTGCCTATCCAGCATCAGGCATTCTAAGGTCTGAGACCTGGCCTCCACTTGACATGCTACCCATGTGTCTCATTCAACTCTGCCTCCCATCATCCACACACTAATGGAGAAAGAATCCATTCTCTTATGACTGTTTTTGCACCACCAGAGATTGTGCTGGGTCTGGCCTTCTCTGCATCTCTGGGGATATTCCTAGTCCTAGGCAGAATGTTGAAGGCAATGTCTTCCAGGGAAGATGGCTATGCATGGGGCTATGCATGATAGGCACGGCCTCTGCTGTGTGCTACAAACTTCTCAAAATCAGACTGCCTTCCTGGCTCCAACGCCCTGAAGAGACCATCTTTCTTGGTAGAGCATCCAGAATTGTCTCCCTTTTTGCCTTGCTGGAAAGGTAGGTCAAGTTCACTAAATCACAGGTAGAGGAGGCAAGGTTGAGGATGCCCAGGTGCCATTTGATATACTAGTGTTCCCTGTGTTGAATTAGCACTGGAAAAGAACTCTGGACCACCAAATGTTTCCCGGACATGCCAAATCTCAATTCATCCCGAAAGTCCATTATGGCAAGGCATTCGCTTCGAAAGCCACTGCCAAAGCTGATTAGAACTTCTTTTTCAGGCAGTCCCAATCAGGATCATCAGCTGATATAGGAGGGTCATCTGTCTATGTGTCACTTTCATTGGTTATTTAAAAAGGAAACTTTCTTGGCCTATGGATAGCACAGAAAATCAGGTGGGCGGAGTAGACAGAAGAGAATGCTGGGACGGAGGGAAGTGAGGCAAACGCAAAGAAGCTCTGGCCCAAGATGGCCCAAGATGGACACCTCCTGTTGCTATACACATTAATAGAAATGGGTAAATCAAGATGTGAGATTTAGCCGGTAAGAGGCTAGATCTAATGGGCCAAGCAGTGTTTAAATGAAGACAATTTGTGTGTTGCAATTTTTGGTGTAAAGCTAGCCGGGCGGGAGCCGGGCAGGACGAAAAACAAGCCTGCTCTGCTCCAGACTAAGATCAGCCATAATGAAAACAAGAGTCACGGAATTAAATTTCCAGTTCTTCTCTAGGTGTCATGGGAACCGTAGAAGGACCCACCATTATGAGTCCTCCTTGTGACCTATTCTGAGGCCCCAGATCGGTGGCTCATGTCCATGTCCTTTGGAATTTTCCAAGGTTGTCCATTTGGAATGCCATTCTGGACACCGAGGCCTATGGGTTTTCACATTCTAGGAATCAAGGCCAAAACTACTGGATCCTGGGCTTCTAACTTGAGTATCTTCTCTTAGAGTTTCAGAAATATGAACAGGTGAAGGAACAGGGCCTGGAGAGATCAAAGCCTATGTGCTAATCTATCCACTTACCTGAAGAAAAGTGTGTTGACGTGTGCTCCAAGTCAGCATCCCCAGTCACTGAAAGGCAGAAGAGATGATGGGAACGTGAGCTGGGCTTTGGACATGGAGACTGGCTCAAGAGCAAAGTTTGACATGAGGTGCCATTTGAGGGAGCACTCAGTGTTCTTCTAAGGTCGTGCCCCTGGACCAAATGCGGGTCTCCGATGGGGAGAAACAGCATGGGGATTTTGGCCTGCACCCTGGCCCAAGCGGGCCCCAGGTAGACCAGGAACCCCACTGCCCCCGTCCTTTAGTCTGGGCCTCAGCGTAATCCTATTGAGCATGATTTTTATGTCATCATCTCTCTTCGTGACATTGGTTTGTCATCATTGACCCAGCTCTCGAGAGAGCAAAGCTCCGCCTGGGGTTTGGACAAAGTACCATTGCTTACCAGTGCCGCAAACAGTGTCTTGGAGGTATGTATTCACATGGTTGGCACAAAGGTTCAGCACGATGGATGCCCTGCTCTGATTTGATCAGAAGCCCTTCTGTTCTTGTTAACGGCCCCTTTGGGAAAGAAGAAACGTGTTGTCAGGGCCATCCACGGCATGCACTTGATGACCAGAAAAGGACTGCTGATGCTGACCAGGGCCCGAGAGCATGATTCCGTGGAGGGGGATCTTTGTGCCACTCGAGATATCCCTGATCAATGGCCCGAGGACTAGTGCCAACCCTGAGTGATGGCCCCTTTTTAGCATGCCCAGGCAAAGTTCAGTCACTCAGGAGCATGCTCTTCCCGCTGACTGCTCTGATTGCTAGCATGAGACTGCTGCCGATTGTCAATCAGTAGGCAGGGCTTTGATACCTTGGAATCTTGCCTTTCCAGCATCAGGCATTCTAAGGTCTGAGACCTGGCTACCATTGACATGCTACCCATGTGTCTCATTCAACTCTGCCTCCCATCATCCACACATTAATGGAGAAAGAATCCATTCTCTTATGACTGTTTTTGCACCACCAGAGATTGTCCTGGGTCTGGCCTTCTCTGCATCTCTAGGGATATTCCTAGTCCTAGGCAGAATGTTGAAGGCAATGTCTTCAAGGGAAGATGGCTATGCATGGGGCTATGCATGATAGGCACGGCCTCTGCTGTGTTCTACAAACTTCTCAAAATCAGACTGCCTTCCTGGCTCCAGCGCCCTGAAGAGACCATCTGTCATGGTAGAGCATCCAGAATTGTCTCCCTTTTTGCCTTGCTGGAAAGGCAGGTCAAGTTCACTAAATCACAGGTAGAGGTGGCAAGGTTGAGGATGCCCAGGTGCCATTTGATATACTAGTGTTCCCTGTGTTGAATTAGCACTGGGAAAGAACTCTGGACCGCCAAATGTGTCCCGGACATGCCAAATGGCAATTCATCCCGAAACTCCATTATGGCATGGCATTCGCTTTGAAAGCCACTGCCAAAGCTGACTAGAACTTCTTTCTCGGGCAGTCCCAATCAGGATCATCAGCTGATGTAGGAGGGTCATCTGTCTATGTGTCACTTTCATTGGTTATTTAAAAAGGAAACTTTCTTGGCCTATGGATAGCACAGAAAATCAGGTGGGTGGAGTAGACAGAACAGAATGCTGGGACGGAGGGAAGTGAGGCAAACACAAAGAAGCTCTGGCCCAAGATGGCCCAAGATGGACACCTCCTGTTGCTATACACATTAATAGAAATGTGGATGCCCTGCTCTGATTTGATCAGAAGCCCTTCTGTTCTTGTTAACAGCCCCCTTGGGAAAGAAGAAACACCGTGTTGTCATCCTCGGCGGGCACTTGATGACCAGAAACGGACTGCTGATGCTGACCAGGGCCCGAGAGCATGATTCCGTGGAGGGGGATCATTGTGCCACTCGAGATATCCCTGATCAATGGCCCGAGGACTAGTGCCAACCCTGAGTGATGGCCCCTTTTTAGCCTGCCCAAGCAAAGTTCAGTCACTCAGGAGCATGCTCTTCCCGCTGACTGCTCTGATTGCTAGCATGAGACTGCTGCCGATTGTCAATCAGTAGGCAGGGCTTTGATACCTTGGAATCTTGCCTTTCCAGCATCAGGCATTCTAAGGTCTGAGACCTGGCCTCCACTGGACATGCTACCCATGTGTCTCATTCAACTCTGCCTCCCATCATCCACACACTAATGGAGAAAGAATCCATTCTCTTATGACTGTTTTTGCACCACCAGAGATTGTCCTGGGTCTGGCCTTCTCTGCATCTCTGGGGATATTCCTAGTCCTAGGCAGAATGTTGAAGGCAATGTCTTCAAGGGAACATGGCTATGCATGGGGCTATGCATGATTGGCACGGCCTCTGCTGTGTGCTACAAACTTCTCAAAATCAGACTGCCTTCCTGGCTCCAGCGCCCTGAAGAGACCATCTTTCTTGGTAGAGCATCCAGAATTGTCTCCCTTTTTGCCTTGCTGGAAAGGTAGGTCAAGTTCACTAAATCACAGGTAGAGGAGGCAAGGTTGAGGATGCCCAAGTGCCATTTGATATACTAATGTTCCCTGTGTTGAATTAGCACTGGGAAAGAACTCTGGACCGCCAAATGTTTCCCGGACATGCCAAATGGCAATTCATCCCGAAAGTCCATTATGGCAAGGCATTCGCTTCGAAAGCCACTGCCAAAGCTGATTAGAACTTCTTTTTCAGGCAGTCCCAATCAGGATCATCAGCTGATATAGGAGGTTCATCTGTCTATGTGTCACTTTCATTGGTTATTTAAAAAGGAAACTTTCTTGGCCTATGGATAGCACAGAAAATCAGGTGGGCGGAGTAGACAGAAGAGAATGCTGGGACGGAGGGAAGTGAGGCAAACGCAAAGAAGCTCTGGCCCAAGATGGCCCAAGATGGACACCTCCTGTTGCTATACACATTAATAGAAATGGGTAAATCAAGATGTGAGATTTAGCCGGTAAGAGGCTAGATCTAATGGGCCAAGCAGTGTTTAAATGAAGACAATTTGTGTGTTGCAATTTTTGGTGTAAAGCTAGCCGGGCGGGAGCCGGGCAGGACGAAAAACAAGCCTGCTCTGCTCCAGACTAAGATCAGCCATAATGAAAACAAGAGTCACGGAATTAAATTTCCAGTTCTTCTCTAGGTGTCATGGGAACCGTAGAAGGACCCACCATTATGAGTCCTCCTTGTGACCTATTCTGAGGCCCCAGATCGGTGGCTCATGTCCATGTCCTTTGGAATTTTCCAAGGTTGTCCATTTGGAATGCCATTCTGGACACCGAGGCCTATGGGTTTTCACATTCTAGGAATCAAGGCCAAAACTACTGGATCCTGGGCTTCTAACTTGAGTATCTTCTCTTAGAGTTTCAGAAATATGAACAGGTGAAGGAACAGGGCCTGGAGAGATCAAAGCCTATGTGCTAATCTATCCACTTACCTGAAGAAAAGTGTGTTGACGTGTGCTCCAAGTCAGCATCCCCAGTCACTGAAAGGCAGAAGAGATGATGGGAACGTGAGCTGGGCTTTGGACATGGAGACTGGCTCAAGAGCAAAGTTTGACATGAGGTGCCATTTGAGGGAGCACTCAGTGTTCTTCTAAGGTCGTGCCCCTGGACCAAATGCGGGTCTCCGATGGGGAGAAACAGCATGGGGATTTTGGCCTGCACCCTGGCCCAAGCGGGCCCCAGGTAGACCAGGAACCCCACTGCCCCCGTCCTTTAGTCTGGGCCTCAGCGTAATCCTATTGAGCATGATTTTTATGTCATCATCTCTCTTCGTGACATTGGTTTGTCATCATTGACCCAGCTCTCGAGAGAGCAAAGCTCCGCCTGGGGTTTGGACAAAGTACCATTGCTTACCAGTGCCGCAAACAGTGTCTTGGAGGTATGTATTCACATGGTTGGCACAAAGGTTCAGCACGATGGATGCCCTGCTCTGATTTGATCAGAAGCCCTTCTGTTCTTGTTAACGGCCCCTTTGGGAAAGAAGAAACGTGTTGTCAGGGCCATCCACGGCATGCACTTGATGACCAGAAAAGGACTGCTGATGCTGACCAGGGCCCGAGAGCATGATTCCGTGGAGGGGGATCTTTGTGCCACTCGAGATATCCCTGATCAATGGCCCGAGGACTAGTGCCAACCCTGAGTGATGGCCCCTTTTTAGCATGCCCAGGCAAAGTTCAGTCACTCAGGAGCATGCTCTTCCCGCTGACTGCTCTGATTGCTAGCATGAGACTGCTGCCGATTGTCAATCAGTAGGCAGGGCTTTGATACCTTGGAATCTTGCCTTTCCAGCATCAGGCATTCTAAGGTCTGAGACCTGGCTACCATTGACATGCTACCCATGTGTCTCATTCAACTCTGCCTCCCATCATCCACACATTAATGGAGAAAGAATCCATTCTCTTATGACTGTTTTTGCACCACCAGAGATTGTCCTGGGTCTGGCCTTCTCTGCATCTCTAGGGATATTCCTAGTCCTAGGCAGAATGTTGAAGGCAATGTCTTCAAGGGAAGATGGCTATGCATGGGGCTATGCATGATAGGCACGGCCTCTGCTGTGTTCTACAAACTTCTCAAAATCAGACTGCCTTCCTGGCTCCAGCGCCCTGAAGAGACCATCTGTCATGGTAGAGCATCCAGAATTGTCTCCCTTTTTGCCTTGCTGGAAAGGCAGGTCAAGTTCACTAAATCACAGGTAGAGGTGGCAAGGTTGAGGATGCCCAGGTGCCATTTGATATACTAGTGTTCCCTGTGTTGAATTAGCACTGGGAAAGAACTCTGGACCGCCAAATGTGTCCCGGACATGCCAAATGGCAATTCATCCCGAAACTCCATTATGGCATGGCATTCGCTTTGAAAGCCACTGCCAAAGCTGACTAGAACTTCTTTCTCGGGCAGTCCCAATCAGGATCATCAGCTGATGTAGGAGGGTCATCTGTCTATGTGTCACTTTCATTGGTTATTTAAAAAGGAAACTTTCTTGGCCTATGGATAGCACAGAAAATCAGGTGGGTGGAGTAGACAGAACAGAATGCTGGGACGGAGGGAAGTGAGGCAAACACAAAGAAGCTCTGGCCCAAGATGGCCCAAGATGGACACCTCCTGTTGCTATACACATTAATAGAAATGTGGATGCCCTGCTCTGATTTGATCAGAAGCCCTTCTGTTCTTGTTAACAGCCCCCTTGGGAAAGAAGAAACACCGTGTTGTCATCCTCGGCGGGCACTTGATGACCAGAAACGGACTGCTGATGCTGACCAGGGCCCGAGAGCATGATTCCGTGGAGGGGGATCATTGTGCCACTCGAGATATCCCTGATCAATGGCCCGAGGACTAGTGCCAACCCTGAGTGATGGCCCCTTTTTAGCCTGCCCAAGCAAAGTTCAGTCACTCAGGAGCATGCTCTTCCCGCTGACTGCTCTGATTGCTAGCATGAGACTGCTGCCGATTGTCAATCAGTAGGCAGGGCTTTGATACCTTGGAATCTTGCCTTTCCAGCATCAGGCATTCTAAGGTCTGAGACCTGGCCTCCACTGGACATGCTACCCATGTGTCTCATTCAACTCTGCCTCCCATCATCCACACACTAATGGAGAAAGAATCCATTCTCTTATGACTGTTTTTGCACCACCAGAGATTGTCCTGGGTCTGGCCTTCTCTGCATCTCTGGGGATATTCCTAGTCCTAGGCAGAATGTTGAAGGCAATGTCTTCAAGGGAACATGGCTATGCATGGGGCTATGCATGATTGGCACGGCCTCTGCTGTGGGCTACAAACTTCTCAAAATCAGACTGCCTTCCTGGCTCCAGCGCCCTGAAGAGACCATCTTTCTTGGTAGAGCATCCAGAATTGTCTCCCTTTTTGCCTTGCTGGAAAGGTAGGTCAAGTTCACTAAATCACAGGTAGAGGAGGCAAGGTTGAGGATGCCCAAGTGCCATTTGATATACTAATGTTCCCTGTGTTGAATTAGCACTGGGAAAGAACTCTGGACCGCCAAATGTTTCCCGGACATGCCAAATGGCAATTCATCCCGAAAGTCCATTATGGCAAGGCATTCGCTTCGAAAGCCACTGCCAAAGCTGATTAGAACTTCTTTTTCAGGCAGTCCCAATCAGGATCATCAGCTGATATAGGAGGTTCATCTGTCTATGTGTCACTTTCATTGGTTATTTAAAAAGGAAACTTTCTTGGCCTATGGATAGCACAGAAAATCAGGTGGGCGGAGTAGACAGAAGAGAATGCTGGGACGGAGGGAAGTGAGGCAAACGCAAAGAAGCTCTGGCCCAAGATGGCCCAAGATGGACACCTCCTGTTGCTATACACATTAATAGAAATGGCTAAATCAAGATGTGAGATTTAGCCAGTAAGAGGCTAGATCTAATGGGCCAAGCAGTGTTTAAATGAAGACAATTTGTGTGTTGCAATTTTTGGTGTAAAGCTAGCCGGGCGGGAGCCGGGCAGGACGAAAAACAGGCCTGCTCTGCTCCAGACTAAGATCAGCCATAATGAAAACAAGAGTCACGGAATTAAATTTCCAGTTCTTCTCTAGGTGTCATGGGAACCGTAGAAGGACCCACCATTATGAGTCCTCCTTGTGACCTATTCTGAGGCCCCAGATCGGTGGCTCATGTCCATGTCCTTTGGAATTTTCCAAGGTTGTCCATTTGGAAAGCCATTCTGGACACCGAGGCCTATGGGTTTTCACATTCTAGGAATCAAGGCCAAAACTACTGGATCCTGGGCTTCTAACTTGAGTATCTTCTCTTAGAGTTTCAGAAATATGAACAGGTGAAGGAACAGGGCCTGGAGAGATCAAAGCCTATGGGCTAATCTTTCCACTTACCTGAAGAAAAGTGTGTTGACGTGTGCTCCAAGTCAGCATCCCCAGTCACTGAAAGGCAGAAGAGATGATGGGAACGTGAGCTGGGCTTTGGACATGGAGACTGGCTCAAGAGCAAAGTTTGACATGCGGTGCCATTTGAGGGAGCACTCAGTGTTCTTCTAAGGTCGTGCCCCTGGACCAAATGCGGGTCTGCGATGGGGAGAAACAGCATGGGGATTTTGGCCTGCACCCTGGCCCAAGCAGGCCCCAGGTAGACCAGGAACCCCACTGCCCCCGTCTTTTAGTCTGGGCCTCAGCGTAATCCTATTGAGCATGATTTTTATGTCATCATCTCTCTTCGTGACATTGGTTTGTCACCATTGACCCAGCTCTTGAGAGATCAAAGCTCCGCCTGGGGTTTGGACAAAGTACCATTGCTTACCAGTGCCGCAAACAGTGTCTTGGAGGTATGTATTCACATGGTTGGCACAAAGGTTCAGCACGATGGATGCCCTGCTCTGATTTGATCAGAAGCCCTTCTGTTCTTGTTAACGGCCCCTTTGGGAAAGAAGAAACAACGTGTTGTCACTCTCGGCGTGCACTTGATGACCAGAAGAGGACTGCTGATGCTGACCAGGGCTCGAGAACATGATTCCGTGGAGGGGGATCATTGTGCCACTCGAGATATCCCTGATCAATGGCCCGAGGACTAGTGCCAACCCTGAGTGATGGCCCCTTTTTAGCATGCCCAAGCAAAGTTCAGTCACTCAGGAGTATGCTCTTCCCGCTGACTGCTCTGATTGCTAGCATGAGACTGCTGCCGATTGTCAATCAGTAGGCAGGGCTTTGATACCTTGGAATCTTGCCTTTCCAGCATCAGGCATTCTAAGGTCTGAGACCTGGCCTCCACTTGACATGCTACCCATGTGTCTCATTCAACTCTGCCTCCCATCATCCACACATTAATGGAGAAAGATTCCATTCTCTTATGACTGTTTTTGCACCACCAGAGATTGTCCTGGGTCTGGCCTTCACTACATCTCTAGGGATATTCCTAGTCCTAGGCAGAATGTTGAAGGCAATGTCTTCAAGGGAAGATGGCTATGCATGGGGCTATGCATGATAGGCACGGCCTCTGCTGTGTGCTACAAACTTCTCAAAATCAGACTGCCTTCCTGGCTCCAGCGCCCTGAAGAGACCATCTGTCATGGTAGAGCATCCAGAATTGTCTCCCTTTTTGCCTTGCTGGAAAGGCAGGTCAAGTTCACTAAATCACAGTTAGAGGAGGCAAGGTTGAGGATGCCCAGGTGCCATTTGATATACTAGTGTTCCCTGTGTTGAATTAGCACTGGGAAAGAACTCTGGACCGCCAAATGTGTCCCGGACATGCCAAATGGCAATTCATCCCGAAACTCCATTATGGCATGGCATTCGCTTTGAAAGCCACTGCCAAAGCTGACTAGAACTTCTTTCTCAGGCAGTCCCAATCAGGATCATCAGCTGATGTAGGAGGGTCATCTGTCTATGTGTCACTTTCATTGGTTATTTAAAAAGGAAACTTTCTTGGCCTATGGATAGCACAGAAAATCAGGTGGGTGGAGTAGACAGAACAGAATGCTGGGACGGAGGGAAGTGAGGCAAACACAAAGAAGCTCTGGCCCAAGATGGCCCAAGATGGACACCTCCTGTTGCTATACACATTAATAGAAATGTGGATGCTCTGCTCTGATTTGATCAGAAGCCCTTCTGTTCTTGTTAACAGCCCCCTTGGGAAAGAAGAAACACCGTGTTGTCATCCTCGGCGTGCACTTGATGACCAGAAACGGACTGCTGATGCTGACCAGGGCCCGAGAGCATGATTCCGTGGAGGGGGATCATTGTGCCACTCGAGATATCCCTGATCATTGGCCCGAGGACTAGTGCCAACCCTGAGTGATGGCCCCTTTTTAGCCTGCCCAAGCAAAGTTCAGTCACTCAGGAGCATGCTCTTCCCGCTGACTGCTCTGATTGCTAGCATGAGACTGCTGCCGATTGTCAATCAGTAGGCAGGCCTTGATACCTTGGAATCTTGCCTTTCCAGCATCAGGCATTCTAAGGTCTGAGACCTGGCCTCCACTTGACATGCTACCCATGTGTCTCATTCAACTCTGCCTCCCATCATCCACACACTAATGGAGAAAGAATCCATTCTCTTATGACTGTTTTTGCACCACCAGAGATTGTGCTGGGTCTGGCCTTCTCTGCATCTCTGGGGATATTCCTAGTCCTAGGCAGAATGTTGAAGGCAATGTCTTCCAGGGAAGATGGCTATGCATGGGGCTATGCATGATAGGCACGGCCTCTGCTGTGTGCTACAAACTTCTCAAAACCAGACTGCCTTCCTGGCTCCAGCGCCCTGAAGAGACCATCTTTCTTGGTAGAGCATCCAGAATTGTCTCCCTTTTTGCCTTGCTGGAAAGGTAGGTCAAGTTCACTAAATCACAGGTAGAGGAGGCAAGGTTGAGGATGCCCAGGTGCCATTTGATATACTAGTGTTCCCTGTGTTGAATTAGCACTGGGAAAGAACTCTGGACCGCCAAATGTGTCCCGGACATGCCAAATGGCAATTCATCCCGAAAGTCCATTATGGCAAGGCATTCGCTTCGAAAGCCACTGCCAAAGCTGATTAGAACTTCTTTTTCAGGCAGTCACAATCAGGATCATCAGCTGATGTAGGAGGGTCATCTGTCTATGTGGCACTTTCATTGGTTATTTAAAAAGGAAACTTTCTTGGCCTATGGATAGCACAGAAAATCAGGTGGGTGGAGTAGACAGAACAGAATGCTGGGATGGAGGGAAGTGAGGCAAACGCAAAGAAGCTCTGGCCCAAGATGGCCCAAGATGGACACCTCCTGTTGCTATACACATTAATAGAAATGGGTAAATCAAGATGTGAGATTTAGCCGGTAAGAGGCTAGATCTAATGGGCCAAGCAGTGTTTAAATGAAGACAATTTGTGTGTTGCAATTTTTGGTGTAATGCTAGCCGGGCGGGAGCCGGGCAGGACGAAAAACAGGCCTGCTCTGCTCCAGACTAAGATCAGCCATAATGAAAACAAGAGTCATAGAATTAAATTTCCAGTTCTTCTCTAGGTGTCATGGGAACCGTAGAAGGACCCACCATTATGAGTCCTCCTTGTGACCTATTCTGAGGCCCCAGATCGGTGGCTCATGTCCATGTCCTTTGGAATTTTCCAAGGTGGTCCATTTGGAAAGCCATTCTGGACACCGAGGCCTATGCGTTTTCACATTCTAGGAATCAAGGCCAAAACTACTGGATCCTGGGCTTCTAACTTGAGTATCTTCTCTTAGAGTTTCAGAAATATGAACAGGTGAAGGAACAGGGCCTGGAGAGATCAAAGCCTATGGGCTAATCTTTCCACTTACCTGAAGAAAAGTGTGTTGACGTGTGCTCCAAGTCAGCATCCCCAGTCACTGAAAGGCAGAAGAGATGATGGGAACGTGAGCTGGGCTTTGGACATGGAGACTGGCTCAAGAGCAAAGTTTGACATGAGGTGCCATTTGAGGGAGCACTCAGTGTTCTTCTAAGGTCGTGCCCCTGGACCAAATGCGGGTCTTTGATGGGGAGAAACAGCATGGGGATTTTGGCCTGCACCCTGGCCCAAGCGGGCCCCAGGTAGACCAGGAACCCCACTGCCCCCGTCTTTTAGTCTGGGCCTCAGCGTAATCCTATTGAGCATGATTTTTATGTCATCATCTCTCTTCGTGACATTGGTTTGTCATCATTGACCCAGCTCTCGAGAGAGCAAAGCTCCGCCTGGGGTTTGGACAAAGTACCATTGCTTACCAGTGCCGCAAACAGTGTCTTGGAGGTATGTATTCACATGTTTGGCACAAAGGTTCAGCACGATGGATGCCCTGCTCTGATTTGATCAGAAGCCCTTCTGTTCTTGTTAACGGCCCCTTTGGGAAAGAAGAAACAACGTGTTGTCACTCTCGGCGTGCACTTGATGACCAGAAGAGGACTGCTGATGCTGACCAGGGCTCGAGAACATGATTCCGTGGAGGGGGATCATTGTGCCACTCGAGATATCCCTGATCAATGGCCCGAGGACTAGTGCCAACCCTGAGTGATGGCCCCTTTTTAGCATGCCCAAGCAAAGTTCAGTCACTCAGGAGTATGCTCTTCCCGCTGACTGCTCTGATTGCTAGCATGAGACTGCTGCCGATTGTCAATCAGTAGGCAGGGCTTTGATACCTTGGAATCTTGCCTTTCCAGCATCAGGCATTCTAAGGTCTGAGACCTGGCCTCCACTTGACATGCTACCCATGTGTCTCATTCAACTCTGCCTCCCATCATCCACACATTAATGGAGAAAGAATCCATTCTCTTATGACTGTTTTTGCACCACCAGAGATTGTCCTGGGTCTGGCCTTCTCTACATCTCTAGGGATATTCCTAGTCCTAGGCAGAATGTTGAAGGCAATGTCTTCAAGGGAAGATGGCTATGCATGGGGCTATGCATGATAGGCACGGCCTCTGCTGTGTGCTACAAACTTCTCAAAATCAGACTGCCTTCCTGGCTCCAGCGCCCTGAAGAGACCATCTGTCATGGTAGAGCATCCAGAATTGTCTCCCTTTTTGCCTTGCTGGAAAGGCAGGTCAAGTTCACTAAATCACAGGTAGAGGAGGCAAGGTTGAGGATGCCCAGGTGCCATTTGATATACTAGTGTTCCCTGTGTTGAATTAGCACTGGGAAAGAACTCTGGACCGCCAAATGTGTCCCGGACATGAAAAATGGCAATTCATCCCGAAACTCCATTATGGCATGGCATTCGCTTTGAAAGCCACTGCCAAAGCTGACTAGAACTTCTTTCTCGGGCAGTCCCAATCAGGATCATCAGCTGATGTAGGAGGGTCATCTGTCTATGTGTCACTTTCATTGGTTATTTAAAAAGGAAACTTTCTTGGCCTATGGATAGCACAGAAAATCAGGTGGGTGGAGTAGACAGAACAGAATGCTGGGACGGAGGGAAGTGAGGCAAACACAAAGAAGCTCTGGCCCAAGATGGCCCAAGATGGACACCTCCTGTTGCTATACACATTAATAGAAATGTGGATGCTCTGCTCTGATTTGATCAGAAGCCCTTCTGTTCTTGTTAACAGCCCCCTTGGGAAAGAAGAAACTCCGTGTTGTCATCCTCGGCGTGCACTTGATGACCAGAAACGGACTGCTGATGCTGACCAGGGCCCGAGAGCATGATTCCGTGGAGGGGGATCATTGTGCCACTCGAGATATCCCTGATCATTGGCCCGAGGACTAGTGCCAACCCTGAGTGATGGCCCCTTTTTAGCCTGCCCAAGCAAAGTTCAGTCACTCAGGAGCATGCTCTTCCCGCTGACTGCTCTGATTGCTAGCATGAGACTGCTGCCGATTGTCAATCAGTAGGCAGGCCTTGATACCTTGGAATCTTGCCTTTCCAGCATCAGGCATTCTAAGGTCTGAGACCTGGCCTCCACTTGACATGCTACCCATGTGTCTCATTCAACTCTGCCTCCCATCATCCACACACTAATGGAGAAAGAATCCATTCTCTTATGACTGTTTTTGCACCACCAGAGATTGTGCTGGGTCTGGCCTTCTCTGCATCTCTGGGGATATTCCTAGTCCTAGGCAGAATGTTGAAGGCAATGTCTTCCAGGGAAGATGGCTATGCATGGGGCTATGCATGATAGGCACGGCCTCTGCTGTGTGCTACAAACTTCTCAAAACCAGACTGCCTTCCTGGCTCCAGCGCCCTGAAGAGACCATCTTTCTTGGTAGAGCATCCAGAATTGTCTCCCTTTTTGCCTTGCTGGAAAGGTAGGTCAAGTTCACTAAATCACAGGTAGAGGAGGCAAGGTTGAGGATGCCCAGGTGCCATTTGATATACTAGTGTTCCCTGTGTTGAATTAGCACTGGGAAAGAACTCTGGACCGCCAAATGTGTCCCGGACATGCCAAATGGCAATTCATCCCGAAAGTCCATTATGGCAAGGCATTCGCTTCGAAAGCCACTGCCAAAGCTGATTAGAACTTCTTTTTCAGGCAGTCACAATCAGGATCATCAGCTGATATAGGAGGGTCATCTGTCTATGTGGCACTTTCATTGGTTATTTAAAAAGGAAACTTTCTTGGCCTATGGATAGCACAGAAAATCAGGTGGGTGGAGTAGACAGAACAGAATGCTGGGATGGAGGGAAGTGAGGCAAACGCAAAGAAGCTCTGGCCCAAGATGGCCCAAGATGGACACCTCCTGTTGCTATACACATTAATAGAAATGGGTAAATCAAGATGTGAGATTTAGCCGGTAAGAGGCTAGATCTAATGGGCCAAGCAGTGTTTAAATGAAGACAATTTGTGTGTTGCAATTTTTGGTGTAATGCTAGCCGGGCGGGAGCCGGGCAGGACGAAAAACAGGCCTGCTCTGCTCCAGACTAAGATCAGCCATAATGAAAACAAGAGTCATAGAATTAAATTTCCAGTTCTTCTCTAGGTGTCATGGGAACCGTAGAAGGACCCACCATTATGAGTCCTCCTTGTGACCTATTCTGAGGCCCCAGATCGGTGGCTCATGTCCATGTCCTTTGGAATTTTCCAAGGTGGTCCATTTGGAAAGCCATTCTGGACACCGAGGCCTATGGGTTTTCACATTCTAGGAATCAAGGCCAAAACTACTGGATCCTGGGCTTCTAACTTGAGTATCTTCTCTTAGAGTTTCAGAAATATGAACAGGTGAAGGAACAGGGCCTGGAGAGATCAAAGCCTATGGGCTAATCTTTCCACTTACCTGAAGAAAAGTGTGTTGACGTGTGCTCCAAGTCAGCATCCCCAGTCACGGAAAGGCAGAAGAGATGATGGGAACGTGAGCTGGGCTTTGGACATGGAGACTGGCTCAAGAGCAAAGTTTGACATGAGGTGCCATTTGAGGGAGCACTCAGTGTTCTTCTAAGGTCGTGCCCCTGGACCAAATGCGGGTCTGCGATGGGGAGAAACAGCATGGGGATTTTGGCCTGCACCCTGGCCCAAGCGGGCCCCAGGTAGACCAGGAACCCCACTGCCCCCGTCCTTTAGTCTGGGCCTCAGCGTAATCCTATTGAGCATGATTTTTATGTCATCATCTCTCTTCGTGACATTGGTTTGTCATCATTGACCCAGCTCTCGAGAGAGCAAAGCTCCGCCTGGGGTTTGGACAAAGTACCATTGCTTACCAGTGCCGCAAACAGTGTCTTGGAGGTATGTATTCACATGGTTGGCACAAAGGTTCAGCACGATGGATGCCCTGCTCTGATTTGATCAGAAGCCCTTCTGTTCTTGTTAACTGCCCCCTTGGGAAAGAAGAAACGTGTTGTCAGGGCCATCCACGGCATGCACTTGATGACCAGAAAAGGACTGCTGATGCTGACCAGGGCCCGAGAGCATGATTCCGTGGAGGGGGATCATTGTGCCACGCGAGATATCCCTGATCAATGGCCCGAGGACTAGTGCCAACCCTGAGTGATGGCCCCTTTTTAGCCTGCCCAAGCAAAGTCCAGTCACTCAGGAGCATGCTCTTCCCGCTGACTGCTCTGATTGCTAGCATGAGAGTGCTGCCGATTGTCAATCAGTAGGCAGGCCTTTGATACCTTGGAAACTTGCCTTTCCAGCATCAGGCATTCTAAGGTCTGAGACCTGGCCTCCACTTGACATGCTACCCATGTGTTTCATTCAACTCTGCCTCCCATCATCCACACACTAATGGAGAAAGAATCCATTCTCTTATGACTGTTTTTGCACCACAAGAGATTGTGCTGGGTCTGGCCTTCTCTGCATCTCTGGGGATATTCCTAGTCCTAGGAAGAATGTTGAAGGCAATGTCTTCCAGGGAATATGGCTATGCATGGGGCTATGCATGATAGGCACGGCCTCTGCTGTGGGCTACAAACTTCTCAAAACCAGACTGCCTTCCTGGCTCCATCGCCCTGAAGAGACCATCTTTCTTGGTAGAGCATCCAGAATTGTCTCCCTTTTTGCCATGCTGGAAAGGTAGGTCAAGGTCACTAAATCACAGGTAGAGGAGGCAAGGTTGAGGATGCCCAGGTGCCATTTGATATACTAGTGTTCTCTGTGTTGAATTAGCACTGGGAAAGAACTCTGGACCGCCAAATGTGTCCCGGACATGCCAAATGGCAATTCATCCCGAAAGTCCATTATGGCAAGGCATTCGCTTCGAAAGCCACTGCCAAAGCTGACTAGAACTTCTTTCTCAGGCAGTCCCAATCAGGATCATCAGCTGATGTAGGAGGGTCATCTGTCTATGTGTCACTTTCATTGGTTATTTAAAAAGGAAACTTTCTTGGCCTATGGATAGCACAGAAAATCAGGTGGGTGGAGTAGACAGAACAGAATGCTGGGACGGAGGGAAGTGAGGCAAACACAAAGAAGCTCTGGCCCAAGATGGCCCAAGATGGACACCTCCTGTTGCTATACACATTAATAGAAATGTGGATGCCCTGCTCTGATTTGATCAGAAGCCCTTCTGTTCTTGTTAACAGCCCCCTTGGGAAAGAAGAAACACCGTGTTGTCATCCTCGGCGTGCACTTGATGACCAGAAACGGACTGCTGATGCTGACCAGGGCCCGAGAGCATGATTCCGTGGAGGGGGATCATTGTGCCACTCGAGATATCCCTGATCATTGGCCCGAGGACTAGTGCCAACCCTGAGTGATGGCCCCTTTTTAGCCTGCTCAAGCAAAGTCCAGGCACTCAGGAGCATGCTCTTCCCGCTGACTGCTCTGATTGCTAGCATGAGACTGCTGCCGATTGTCAATCAGTAGGCAGGGCTTTGATACCTTGGAATCTTGCCTTTCCAGCATCAGGCATTCTAAGGTCTGAGACCTGGCTACCATTGACATGCTACCCATGTGTCTCATTCAACTCTGCCTCCCATCATCCACACACTAATGGAGAAAGAATCCATTCTCTTATGACTGTTTTTGCACCACCAGAGATTGTGCTGGGTCTGGCCTTCTCTGCATCTCTGGGGATATTCCTAGTCCTAGGCAGAATGTTGAAGGCAATGTCTTCCAGGGAAGATGGCTATGCATGGGGCTATGCATGATAGGCACGGCCTCTGCTGTGGGCTACAAACTTCTCAAAACCAGACTGCCTTCCTGGCTCCAGCGCCCTGAAGAGACCATCTTTCTTGGTAGAGCATCCAGAATTGTCTCCCTTTTTGCCTTGCTGGAAAGGTAGGTCAAGTTCACTAAATCACAGGTAGAGGAGGCAAGGTTGAGGATGCCCAGGTGCCATTTGATATACTAGTGTTCCCTGTGTTGAATTAGCACTGGGAAAGAACTCTGGACCGCCAAATGTGTCCCGGACATGCCAAATGGCAATTCATCCCGAAAGTCCATTATGGCAAGGCATTCGCTTCGAAAGCCACTGCCAAAGCTGACTAGAACTTCTTTCTCGGGCAGTCCCAATCAGGATCATCAGCTGATGTAGGAGGGTCATCTGTCTATGTGTCACTTTCATTGGTTATTTAAAAAGGAAACTTTCTTGGCCTATGGATAGCACAGAAAATCAGGTGGGCGGAGTAGACAGAAGAGAATGCTGGGACGGAGGGAAGTGAGGCAAACGCAAAGAAGCTCTGGCCCAAGATGGCCCAAGATGGACACCTCCTGTTGCTATACACATTAATAGAAATGGGTAAATCAAGATGTGAGATTTAGCCAGTAAGATTCTAGATCTAATGGGCCAAGCAGTGTTTAAATGAAGACAATTTGTGTGTTGCAATTTTTGGTGTAAAGCTAGCCGGGCGGGAGCCAGGCAGGACGAAAAACAGGCCTGCTCTGCTCCAGACTAAGATCGGCCATAATGAAAACAAGAGTCACAGAATTAAATTTCCTGTTCTTCTCTAGGTGTCATGGGAACCGTAGAAGGACCCACCATTATGACTCCTCCTTGTGACCTATTCTGAGGCCCCAGATCTGTGGCTCATGTCCATGTCCTTTGGAATTTTCCAAGGTTGTTCATTTGGAATGCCATTCTGGACACCGAGGCCTATGGGTTTTCACATTCTAGGAATCAAGGCCAAAACTACTGGATCCTGGGCTTCTAACTTGAGTATCTTCTCTTAGAGTTTCAGAAATATGAACAGGTGAAGGAACAGGGCCTGGAGAGATCAAAGCCTATGGGCTAATCTTTCCACTTACCTGAAGAAAAGTGTGTTGACGTGTGCTCCAAGACAGCATCCCCAGTCACTGAAAGGCAGAAGAGATGATGGGAACGTGAGCTGGGCTTTGGACATGGAGACTGGCTCAAGAGCAAAGTTTGACATGAGGTGCCATTTGAGGGAGCACTCAGTGTTCTGCTAAGGTCGTGCCCCTGGACCAAATGCGGGTCTGCGATGGGGAGAAACAGCATGGGGATTTTGGCCTGCACCCTGGCCCAAGCGGGCCCCAGGTAGACCAGGAACCCCACTGCCCCCGTCTTTTAGTCTGGGCCTCAGCGTAATCCTATTGAGCATGATTTTTATGTCATCATCTCTCTTCGTGACATTGGTTTGTCATCATTGACCCAGCTCTCGAGAGAGCAAAGCTCCGCCTGGGGTTTGGACAAAGTACCATTGCTTACCAGTGCCGCAAACAGTGTCTTGGAGGTATGTATTCACATGGTTGGCACAAAGGTTCAGCACGATGGATGCCCTGCTCTGATTTGATCAGAAGCCCTTCTGTTCTTGTTAACTGCCCCCTTGGGAAAGAAGAAACGTGTTGTCAGGGCCATCCACGGCATGCACTTGATGACCAGAAAAGGACTGCTGATGCTGACCAGGGCCCGAGAGCATGATTCCGTGGAGGGGGATCATTGTGCCACTCGAGATATCCCTGATCAATGGCCCGAGGACTAGTGCCAACCCTGAGTGATGGCCCCTTTTTAGGCTGCCCAAGCAAAGTCCAGGCACTCAGGAGCATGCTCTTCCCGCTGACTGCTCTGATTGCTAGCATGAGACTGCTGCCGATTGTCAATCAGTAGGCAGGCCTTTGATACCTTGGAATCTTGCCTTTCCAGCATCAGGCATTCTAAGGTCTGAGACCTGGCTACCATTGACATGCTACCCATGTGTCTCATTCAACTCTGCCTCCCATCATCCACACACTAATGGAGAAAGAATCCATTCTCTTATGACTGTTTTTGCACCACCAGAGATTGTGCTGGGTCTGGCCTTCTCTGCATCTCTGGGGATATTCCTAGTCCTAGGCAGAATGTTGAAGGCAATGTCTTCCAGGGAAGATGGCTATGCATGGGGCTATGCATGATAGGCACGGCCTCTGCTGTGGGCTACAAACTTCTCAAAACCAGACTGCCTTCCTGGCTCCAGCGCCCTGAAGAGACCATCTTTCTTGGTAGGGCATCCAGAATTGTCTCCCTTTTTGCCTTGCTGGAAAGGTAGGTCAAGTTCACTAAATCACAGGTAGAGGAGGCAAGGTTGAGGATGCCCAGGTGCCATTTGATATACTAGTGTTCCCTGTGTTGAATTAGCACTGGGAAAGAACTCTGGACCGCCAAATGTGTCCCGGACATGCCAAATGGCAATTCATCCCGAAAGTCCATTATGGCAAGGCATTCGCTTCGAAAGCCACTGCCAAAGCTGACTAGAACTTCTTTCTCAGGCAGTCCCAATCAGGATCATCAGCTGATATAGGAGGGTCATCTGTCTATGTGTCACTTTCATTGGTTATTTAAAAAGGAAACTTTCTTGGCCTATGGATAGCACAGAAAATCAGGTGGGCGGAGTAGACAGAACAGAATGCTGGGACGGAGGGAAGTGAGGCAAACGCAAAGAAGCTCTGGCCCAAGATGGCCCAAGATGGACACCTCCTGTTGCTATACACATTAATAGAAATGGGTAAATCAAGATGTGAGATTTAGCCGGTAAGAGGCTATATCTAATGGGCCAAGCAGTGTTTAAATGAAGACAATTTGTGTGTTGCAATTTTTGGTGTAAAGCTAGCCGGGTGGGAGCCAGGCAGGACGAAAAACAGGCCTGCTCTGCTCCAGACTAAGATCGGCCATAATGAAAACAAGAGTCACAGAATGAAATTTCCAGTTCTTCTCTAGGTGTCATGGGAACCGTAGAAGGACCCACCATTATGACTCCTCCTTGTGACCTATTCTGAGGCCCCAGATCTGTGGCTCATGTCCATGTCCTTTGGAATTTTCCAAGGTTGTCCATTTGGAATGCCATTCTGGACACCGAGGCCTATGGGTTTTCACATTCTAGGAATCAAGGCCAAAACTACTGGATCCTGGGCTTCTAACTTGAGTATCTTCTCTTAGAGTTTCCGAAATATGAACAGGTGAAGGAACAGGGCCTGGAGAGATCAAAGCCTATGGGCTAATCTTTCCACTTACCTGAAGAAAAGTGTGTTGACGTGTGCTCCAAGTCAGCATCCCCAGTCACTGAAAGGCAGAAGAGATGATGGGAACGTGAGCTGGGCTTTGGACATGGAGACTGGCTCAAGAGCAAAGTTTGACATGAGGTGCCATTTGAGGGAGCACTCAGTGTTCTTCTAAGGTCGTGCCCCTGGACCAAATGCGGGTCTGCGATGGGGAGAAACAGCATGGGGATTTTGGCCTGCACCCTGGCCCAAGCGGGCCCCAGGTAGACCAGGAACCCCACTGCCCCCGTCTTTTAGTCTGGGCCTCAGCGTAATCCTATTGAGCATGATTTTTATGTCATCATCTCTCTTCGTGACATTGGTTTGTCATCATTGACCCAGCTCTCGAGAGAGCAAAGCTCCGCCTGGGGTTTGGACAAAGTACCATTGCTTACCAGTGCCGCAAACAGTGTCTTGGAGGTATGTATTCACATGGTTGGCACAAAGGTTCAGCACGATGGATGCCCTGCTCTGATTTGATCAGAAGCCCTTCTGTTCTTGTTAACTGCCCCCTTGGGAAAGAAGAAACGTGTTGTCAGGGCCATCCACGGCATGCACTTGATGACCAGAAAAGGACTGCTGATGCTGACCAGGGCCCGAGAGCATGATTCCGTGGAGGGGGATCATTGTGCCACTCGAGATATCCCTGATCAATGGCCCGTGGACTAGTGCCAACCCTGAGTGATGGCCCCTTTTTAGCCTGCTCAAGCAAAGTCCAGGCACTCAGGAGCATGCTCTTCCCGCTGACTGCTCTGATTGCTAGCATGAGACTGCTGCCGATTGTCAATCAGTAGGCAGGGCTTTGATACCTTGGAATCTTGCCTTTCCAGCATCAGGCATTCTAAGGTCTGAGACCTGGCTACCATTGACATGCTACCCATGTGTCTCATTCAACTCTGCCTCCCATCATCCACACACTAATGGAGAAAGAATCCATTCTCTTATGACTGTTTTTGCACCACCAGAGATTGTGCTGGGTCTGGCCTTCTCTGCATCTCTGGGGATATTCCTAGTCCTAGGCAGAATGTTGAAGGCAATGTCTTCCAGGGAAGATGGCTATGCATGGGGCTATGCATGATAGGCACGGCCTCTGCTGTAGGCTACAAACTTCTCAAAACCAGACTGCCTTCCTGGCTCCAGCGCCCTGAAGAGACCATCTTTCTTGGTAGAGCATCCAGAATTGTCTCCCTTTTTGCCTTGCTGGAAAGGTAGGTCAAGTTCACTAAATCACAGGTAGAGGAGGCAAGGTTGAGGATGCCCAGGTGCCATTTGATATACTAGTGTTCCCTGTGTTGAATTAGCACTGGGAAAGAACTCTGGACCGCCAAATGTGTCCCGGACATGCCAAATGGCAATTCATCCCGAAAGTCCATTATGGCAAGGCATTCGCTTCGAAAGCCACTGCCAAAGCTGACTAGAACTTCTTTCTCAGGCAGTCCCAATCAGGATCATCAGCTGATATAGGAGGGTCATCTGTCTATGTGTCACTTTCATTGGTTATTTAAAAAGGAAACTTTCTTGGCCTATGGATAGCACAGAAAATCAGGTGGGCGGAGTAGACAGAACAGAATGCTGGGACGGAGGGAAGTGAGGCAAACGCAAAGAAGCTCTGGCCCAAGATGGCCCAAGATGGACACCTCCTGTTGCTATACACATTAATAGAAATGGGTAAATCAAGATGTGAGATTTAGCCGGTAAGAGGCTAGATCTAATGGGCCAAGCAGTGTTTAAATGAAGACAATTTGTGTGTTGCAATTTTTGGTGTAAAGCTAGCCGGGCGGGAGCCAGGCAGGACGAAAAACAGGCCTGCTCTGCTCCAGACTAAGATCGGCCATAATGAAAACAAGAGTCACAGAATTAAATTTCCAGTTCTTCTCTTGGTGTCATGGGAACCGTAGAAGGACCCACCATTATGACTCCTCCTTGTGACCTATTCTGAGGCCCCAGATCGGTGGCTCATGTCCATGTCCTTTGGAATTTTCCAAGGTTGTCCATTTGGAATGCCATTCTGGACACCGAGGCCTATGGGTTTTCACATTCTAGGAATCAAGGCCAAAACTACTGGATCCTGGGCTTCTAACTTGAGTATCTTCTCTTAGAGTTTCCGAAATATGAACAGGTGAAGGAACAGGGCCTGGAGAGATCAAAGCCTATGGGCTAATCTTTCCACTTACCTGAAGAAAAGTGTGTTGACGTGTGCTCCAAGTCAGCATCCCCAGTCACTGAAAGGCAGAAGAGATGATGGGAACGTGAGCTGGGCTTTGGACATGGAGACTGGCTCAAGAGCAACGTTTGACATGAGGTGCCATTTGAGGGAGCACTCAGTGTTCTTCTAAGGTCGTGCCCCTGGACCAAATGCGGGTCTGCGATGGGGAGAAACAGCATGGGGATTTTGGCCTGCACCCTGGCCCAAGCGGGCCCCAGGTAGACCAGGAACCCCACTGCCCCCGTCTTTTAGTCTGGGCCTCAGCGTAATCCTATTGAGCATGATTTTTATGTCATCATCTCTCTTCGTGACATTGGTTTGTCATCATTGACCCAGCTCTCGAGAGAGCAAAGCTCCGCCTGGGGTTTGGACAAAGTACCATTGCTTACCAGTGCCGCAAACAGTGTCTTGGAGGTATGTATTCACATGGTTGGCACAAAGGTTCAGCACGATGGATGCCCTGCTCTGATTTGATCAGAAGCCCTTCTGTTCTTGTTAACTGCCCCCTTGGGAAAGAAGAAACGTGTTGTCAGGGCCATCCACGGCATGCACTTGATGACCAGAAAAGGACTGCTGATGCTGACCAGGGCCCGAGAGCATGATTCCGTGGAGGGGGATCATTGTGCCACGCGAGATATCCCTGATCAATGGCCCGAGGACTAGTGCCAACCCTGAGTGATGGCCCCTTTTTAGCCTGCCCAAGCAAAGTCCAGTCACTCAGGAGCATGCTCTTCCCGCTGACTGCTCTGATTGCTAGCATGAGAGTGCTGCCGATTGTCAATCAGTAGGCAGGCCTTTGATACCTTGGAAACTATCCTTTCCAGCATCAGGCATTCTAAGGGCTGAGACCTGGCCTCCACTTGACATGCTACCCATGTGTCTCATTCAACTCTGCCTCCCATCATCCACACACTAATGGAGAAAGAATCCATTCTCTTATGACTGTTTTTGCACCACCAGAGATTGTGCTGGGTCTGGCCTTCTCTGCATCTCTGGGGATATTCCTAGTCCTAGGCAGAATGTTGAAGGCAATATCTTCCAGGGAAGATGGCTATGCATGGGGCTATGCATGATAGGCACGGCCTCTGCTGTGGGCTACAAACTTC